ATTGTCTTTATATTACATTTATAGATTTGATGTTCAGAAAAAGAAAACTAGAAATTGGCATTTTTCATTAATCTTTATTGAAAAACAAATAGTAGTGATTCTGAATATAGAAAATAAATACAGAATAATGAAGGACAAAAACTTGATGTTTAAAACATTCTATATAAAATGTTTTTTATTCCAGGAATTAAAAAATAAAGATGATTATTATGTTAAAATGTTACGTAAATTTGATGAAAATGTCAAACTACTTGTTGAACGTATGAATGAACAAGTTAAAAGTCGTCGAATGTATTATGCACGTGAATTACATGCTATTGAAGAAGCATTTATAAAAGAACGACAAGAATTATTAGATAAATATAATCGTGAATGGACAGAAAAATTAGAAGAACGACGTTTTAAAGAAGTAAATATGATTTGTATTTTATTTAAAAAAAAATAAAAGTTTTGTTTTTCTTTTTTTTTTTTATTTAGGAACAATTTGTTGTATCACGTTTTGAACGTCATGATACATTTGAACGCGAATTACAACGTTTACGTATAAAACAAGCTGAAGAATTTAATGCAACTAAAGTTAAATTAGAAAATCAAGTACAAGAACAACAACGTAAAATAGAAGAAATGAAAGCTATTTATCAATTAAGTCAAGAAAAATATGAATATAATTATAAAGTATTAAAAAAACGTGATGAAGAAAATTTATTAACTATTGGTGTACAAAAAAATCGTAAAATTAAATTAAATGATTTATTAACAGGTCTTAAACGAAAATTAACACAAAAAGAAAAACAATTTAAAAGTGAAAGTATTCAAGCAGCTGAAGAATATAAACGAACATTAGGAAATATTCAAGAAATTAAACGAAAAGCAAAGTAAATATGTTTTTGATACACATGCAAACGATACAACGAAAGGAGGTTTTCTTTCATTAGTGACAAAATAATACGAGAAAAAGAAAAACTATTTCTAAGTTTGATGTCTCTGATAATAATGCAAATGTTGATACTGGTTCACATTTATGTTTTCTCTTTCGAAGTAGTGACATTATCAGATAGGAACTAGAAGAAGCTTTAAGTTTATTTCTCCTATCACAAAGGCTGACGAGGGAACATATCCAACTGATTCCGAGCTTTCGGCTTCATCTTTTGGCTACAGGTAGGCCTCAGTGAGACTAAGAAAACCCTAGAAGCGTTCGTTCCCATGGCATATTAGTGAAGAGTTATGGCCGTTTTACTGGATTTTTTACTCGGGACAGGGTATTTCCAAAAACCTTAAAACAAATAATTTTGACCTGAAATTTTGCCTATAGATAGATCTATTAGTTATTAGAAAGTCCTGAAAATTTTAAAGAAAATGAACGTGCCTTTCTCGAGATATTCATTTTTCAAAACAAACAGCCTCTTATTACAGAAGGACCAAATTGCAAAGTTCATTGGAAATTAAATATCTCAAGAAAGGTATGTTCATTTTTTTTGAAATTTTCAGGACTTTCTAATAACTAATAGATCTATCTATCGGCAAAATTTCAGGTCAAAATTATTTGTTTTAAGGTTTTTGGAAATATCCTGTCCCGAGTAAAAAATCCAGTAAAACGGCCATAACTCTTCACTAATATGCCATGGAAACGAACGCTTCTAAGGTTTTCTTAGTCTCACTGAGGCCTACCTGTAGCCAAAAGGTGAAGCCGAAAGCTCGGAATCAGTTGGATATGTTCCCTCGTGAGTTCCACTTAAAAAGAGACTGAAGCGAGCTAATCGAAAGGGTCTACAGCTTTTCGACAGGTGCGATCAGAAGACTGAGCTTCCCTACAACTTTTTTTCTAGTCATGCCACTATTTTTGAAGCTGGAAAGCGTTGTTTTTGTGAACGTAGCTATATATAATTCTCAATAGAACATCTAACAATTCGAGAAAAGCATAACTGATCGTTCAAGAAACGTCCGTGTCCTGATCTTCAGGCTGAATAAAACACTGACTATGAAGATTCTATCAGCATTAACTTATCAATAAATATTAATACGTACTAGATGATAGCTATTATTCTTTTTCGAAGATAGTTAAAACATTGATTGAATAATCAATTCTAAAATATTTACTTCACTAGAGTTCATATTATCGATCAAATTGAGTTGTATTTCGATACGAAACGAAAGTCAATAGTTGAATATTTATTGAAAATTTTCAATAGGTGCACAATCAGATAGATATGATAATATCGAATTGACTAATATTTACTAACGATTAGGCATGTACTGAAGCTTTGAACATCGCTCTTATCTATGATAGATCCACACGAAATAGAATAAATGATGCAAAAGCCGAAGATTTGAAGATATTCTTAAAGGGGTCAATAAAGTTCAGAAATGCCCAAACTTAATTGAACAGTAGGGTGTTTCTATGATTGCTCATATACCTCAAGAAACACTTGGGCAATTACTCAAGTACTAGAGCCGTACGGAATATTCAGAATTTGAGGCTCGAAAAAACTTTATCCTACAAAATTACCAATTGGTCGACATTATGTGAACTATTTGAATAGTTTCTAAATTCAAGCGAAAACCGTTCGCTTCGAACACTAGAACTAGAGTTCGGGCTCGATGCATTACTTCATGCAAATTTTAATAAGATAATTTTGATTGATATTTCATTCCTAATGAAAAGATTTCTAAATAATTTTCTTTTTTCAAGATGTTTTTTGGATTTAGAATAATTCAATATTTATAAACAAATATTTCTTTTCATGAATTTCTTGAGCAGTCTGAATCGCACACAAAAAAAAAAAAGAATCTAATACAATATGAAAAGTTTCTATTTTAAATCTAATAATTAATATTTATCTAATTTCATTTATTTTCTTCTTATTTAGACATTTTTTAACAGCTGATATGGAAAAATTTCATGAATTATGGATAATGAATGAAGAACGTTGTAAAGAAATGACACAAAAATTACTTGATGCTGATAGAATTATATTCGAACAACAACTTGGTCTTACTTGGACACCACCAGATCTTGATTTTATGAATAATATTGGTCCAATTGATGCAACAAAAATACCTAAACCATCAATTGATGTTGTACGAGAAATCTTAACCAATCAACAAGAAGATAATTCTACTCAACAAACAACTAGTCATTTATCAAATAAATCAATGAAAAATATGCTTGAATTACTTTGTGATGAAGGAGTAAGTAAAATAGATTCGAAAGAAAAAAAATGTTTGTTTTTTTACTTAATTTATAAAAATTCCTTTTTTTCTTAAAGGATTTTCTTATTGAACCAAAACTATTAGCATTACTTGAACCATTAGAAGCAAATGAAAAAAATTTAATTAAATTAGATGCTATTTTTCGTGCATTAAAAATTGAAAATGAAGAAGATATTAAGGCCATGGCTAAATATTTTATTGATTATATTCAACAAAATAATGATCAACAATCAAAAGTCTATGTATCAAGTGGTGCTGGTCCTGAACAAGAAGATGGAGATACAGATGTACAGTTTTGTTTCTAAAATAAATAACGAATTACTCTAATTGGTTTATTTTTTTTCAGACAAGTCATCAACAAATAACTGATACCGCTGATAATCGTGTTGAATTAATACATCCAAATCATGTACTCAAAGCATTAAAAGAATTTCTTGAAGAATATCGAAGTCATCGAAAGTATTTTTTTTTTCCTAATATATTCATTTAAACAATAATATTATTATTGTAATAAGAGCTACATCACAAGCTGCTTATCAAGTAGCAACACTTGATGATCGTGATGATACATTGGATGTTGAATATTGGTCGAAATATCCAAATGTTGTTGATGAAAGACAAGAACGTCTATGGGATGCACTTCTATCAGGTCTTCAAAAATATCAGTATGTTTTTTTTTTGTTTATTTCATTTCATGTATAAATTTTCTATTATATTTATTTAGTTCGATATTAAATGCTCGTGCAAAATTAATTGATGAAAATAATGCATTAGCGAAACAAAATGATGAATTACGTCTTCTTCTTTCGAAATATATGCAATCGAAAGTAAATCAAGAATTACAAATACCACCATCACAAATTATTCAATTACAACTTGCTGAACAATCGGCAGGAAACGGTCCAGGTGTCTTTTAAGATTTTTGTGAAAAACTATCGACTTTTTTTTTTTCTTCAACCATGCACTACATTATTTTTTTGTCTTTTGTTGATGAACAAATTTTAAAGAAATATCGGAAAAATATAATGATTATGAATTTCGAGTATGCAAAGTTTATCTTTATAGCTAATCGATAAAAAAGAATGTATATAATAAAGATGGCTAACAAAGATTATCGATACTATTCGCATATTTTCAAAAGAAACATTATACAGTATAAATTTATTAGATAAATAACATATAGGAAAATTAATTAACTATTTAATAAAGTTTTCTTCGATAACAAATAAAACAAAAAATAGTTGTTATTTTTTTTCTCGAAAAAGGTTCAAATAAAAGATCATTAGCTCATTAAAAAGAAACAAAAAAAGTCGATTATATTTAGATTCATATAGTAAATCATATTTATATAATATCAATATCAATTATAAGTAAAATTATATTAAAACAATCCTTCTGAAAACTTTTCATATAAATATCATCAATACAAATCTATCAAATAAATCACTTGATTTATCTATGATTATCTAAATTGATTTCTATAAAAAAAAAAAGATAGTTATTTTCTTAATTGATTCAATAATTGCAAATATAATTAATTATTAAAAAATAAAATCCTTATATATAATCTTATTAAAATAAGTAGAATATTTTTAATGAACAAACTATTATATTCGATGCAACAGAAAAAGTTAAAACATACAAAATCTTGACAAAAAATATCTAGAATTTTTAGTCGCAGCAAAATAAATATATAGATTTATAAATAAAATAAAGCGAATAACAAAAATAATGAACTATATTAATCATCTAATGATTATTAAAGATTTTCATGAATAAATAATTATTCCTTATTTATCTATTAATACTTTTGATTCACGTGCTTCAGAAGTTCGATTCCATGGTTGTTCTTCACCATTAAATAAAATACAATAAGCAACACAACCTAATGCACCAATACCAGCTGAAATATTAAATATAAGACGCCAAGCATCAGTTGTTTGCTAAACCAAAAAACAAAAGAAAATAATTTAATAAGCATTTATCTTATTAAATCAAAATCTTACATTCTTATTTGTAATAGCACCTACGACATAAGGTCCAACAAAACCAGGTATGGTTCCCAGAGAATTCGTAATACCTACCAATGTTCCTAATAGAAAAAAAGAAAAAACTCAAATCATATATAAATAAAAACTATTAAAAAAATTATTACCAGCATAATTTGATGCAACATCAAGATGAGAAATTAATGCACCACATGAATGTAAACCAAGAAAAGCAACAGCAAGAATACAACAAATAACTGCACCTACATGATTACATCCCATATAACCAATTGCAACCAAAAATGAACATGTACCCATAGTACCTTATAATAAAAAATGAAAAATTTTTTCAAAATTTTTCTTTATCTTTTCTTTCTTACCAATAATTGTTTGTATTTTTCGAAGTTTTGTTATTGATAAAATATTTCGTGTTCGTATACGATCTACTATAGGTCCAAATATGACTGTGACCAAAAATTGTGCAAAATAAGGTATAGCAAATAAAACACCATTCTAAATCATCAAAGAATTAAAGAAAGAAATTTTAAAAAAAATCAAAGTCAACTTAAAGTTTCGATGATTTTTTACTACAGTAAGACTTTCTCTATTTAAAAGTGTAAAGATTATCAACTTCTACTGCGTACTATTGACATGTCAACGATACGCAAAAGAATTTGATAATACGTACATAGAGATATAAGCCGATAGGTTGAGCTGCCGCTTCCATGATATAAAAATAGATATTTGATTTTAAATATTTCTGACGTATCAGATTAGTATTTGAAGATATTATCAGGTGGATTTTTTTCAATAAACTTTCTAACAGCATGCATTATTAAATAAAAGAAGTCTTTATCAATAAGCCTAAATATATCTTGCTATGTAGTTAAAATCTTCTCATCATTTTTCTATTACCTGATGTAAATTGAAATTAAGTATAGTAGCAAAATAAGTCGGCAATGATGTTAATAAAGTATAATAAATATAATTATTACAAACATGCATTATAGCAATACCATATACAGGTGGACAACGAATTATATGTTTCCATGGTGTTTTGCGATGCTTAAAAAAATATAGAAAAAATATTAATAAATATTATTTTGTTTCTATACTTGGCGATGATGTTGTGTTGTATGCTTATTAAGAAAAAGACGTTCTTTTTCTGATATACGTGGATGATGATCTGGTGAATTAAAACCAAAAATACACCAACCAACAAACCATAAACAAGAGAGTACACCTAATAATCAATAAATACATGTCAGTTAATTTTCATTTAATACAAATTTTTACCAAAAACATAAAATGCTGATGGCCATCCACCAAGAAAATGTTCTTCAATCATAATACTAACCAATGGTGTCGTAATAATTATTCCAAAATTTGCGCCAGTTTGTGATATTGGTGGAATTGTACTACGTTCTGATGCTGGTATCTTTAAAAAAAAAAACGAGAATTTCATTTTCTAAATAAAGTTAATGTCCTTCAATTTATACCCATTTTCCCCAGAGAGCAGCTGCTGATGGAAATCCTGGACCACATACAATACCAGTTAAAAAGCGTATTGCAATTAATAATCCAACATGAGTACGAGCTGCTAATGGTGTTAATAATGTTAATAAACCTGCTATTAATACACATCCACCAAGTATCCATTTAGCACCAAATTTTTCGGCAAGATTTCCTATACAAAAAGAAAAGCATTTCTTATTTAGAGAGAAATTATTTGGAACTTATTTAATTACCTCCTATTCTATAACGAAAAACAAAAGAAAACAAAATTCATTTTAGAAACGAAAAAAAAAATCAATGTATTTATTAATTTTCTTACAATTGCATTATAATATAACCATAAAAAAATGCTCCGAGAACAATTCCTTCAATAGTTGGACTCCAATCAAATTCATATCTCTAATGAAAAATATATAGATTATTTATTTATAAGATAAATCTAATCAATTAGATATATATATATATATATACTGGTGGAGGTGTTGTAGAATTTTTATCTTGCGGTAGACATGATTGAACTGATTCATTTAAAGCACTTTGTGGTGTTACCTAAAAACAAATAAATATTAATTCTATTACATATCATATCATTAATATACAAACCATGGCAACAATAGCTACAGATAAATTGACTCGCATAGCATAAAGACAAAAGAAACCAAAGAAAGCCCATGTAGCAATAATATAACGTGCAGGTATATTTGAACATAGAAATGTGCCTGTCACAGGTGATTCCACTCGATTTTCATTTAATAGAGGTTCTGTAACTGAGTTTTCTTCGTTAATTGAATTAGTATCCACAATAGTTTCATTTAAAATATTTATTAAAATTGGTTCATGTTGTTGATCATCTGTTCTCGATATTAATAATGGGTCATTATCATCATCAGTTTTAGTTTCTGAACGCATACTTGAACATCTTTCATACATTGTATCTTACGTTTTATATACTAAACATATACATAAATTCAGAACAACCTTTTTTTTTACTAGTTAGCAAACGATATTTACTGCAATATGGTCAAAAATATTCAAAAACATATAGAAAGATATGGTTTTTATCGTTTTATACTTTTATCTTTGTACTATTGCCCTGTGTTTCACATTGATTAACCAATATGACTAAGATAGATAGATAAAAATGTTCTTGAATTCTTAAAAAGTTCTCATGGTGGCATCGTTATAGAGAAAGTTTTCATCGAGGTAGAAATCAATACAATCCAAAGATATGTTTTAAAATTTTATAGAATATGCTTTACCCATTAAGAAATCGAATTTGAACATTAGTTACTCTGATTATATAATATACTTTTCATAATATATATTTCTATATGAATTAAATTAATTTTATTCATTACATGGAGTGATTAAAGAAAAACATGATTGAATTGAAATTTTTAGCATTAAACAGTAAATTTTGAGTTCTTTTTTTGTGCATAGTATTGCTGAGAAAAACAATATTTTTATTTTTAGATGTGCTTTAATCCACACAACAAAAAATTTTCTTCACCGAAAATCAACATACAACTGATTTATTACGGACACTTAAAATTCTTCATTTCTTTTTATTGAATCAATGTGTTTTTTTTTTTTGTTGAATGTACTTGAATATTTTTCTAAACTGTTACAATTTATTAAGCAAAACATGCAGCAAATATGCCATATTAAACAATACAATTATTGTAATTGAAAAACTACTATAGCTATGAAGCATACGACCTTGTTTGTATGTATTTCTTTCTATAAACTTTACAATCATAGTGGTAAGAAAATTAAAAAAACAAACAAAAATTTATTTCAATGTCATCTCACAAAAACATTTCCATGGTAAATTTCTCTAGTCGTTCTTATTGGTTAAATATCATCACTTCGGTATACGTTAAGTTCCTCTATAAATAAAATTATTCATTAACTATTATTAATAAATATAAACTTTTTATATTTTTTATAAAAAAATAATTATTAAAAAAACTTCATATAAATTTTCTAGTTAAAATGCATACATGTATTATTTAGAATTTCCCCACAACTGGGGTAAGCGTTTAAGAGAATCCAACGAGTTAAGAGAAACAGTGTAAAATGAATAGAGATCACGGTATAGCTTTCATAGCGGACCAATAGGATTCGGAGTCTGTAAAGTATGGATGTTCCATATTTTACTAAAACTGAAGCTCATTGGTTCGCCATTAGAACTCCAATGTGACCTCTATTCATTTTACAGTATTTCTCTCAACTCATTGGATTCCCTTAAACGGTTACCACATCATCCTCTTCTATTGTCGCTTATGTAAGTTAACGGGCGTAAGCATTTCTTTCCTCTCGTATTCGACATCGTTATTCGTGACATTTCATTCTTACCGATTATAGCGTAAAAATATCTACAGGTAAAAAGAAATAATTGTTATTGTTTTTATAGATCAATACGTTTTTATGTGTATTAGATCGACAACGTGGATCACTTGAGTAAATGTGTTTGTGTACGTAAAAACAAAATAACAAGGAAGTGAATATACGAAACACAGACAAAAAAGAAGAGAAGATGATTGATTGGTTAACTATTGTAGTTGCTTTGGTAATTATCATCACATTAACTGTTATATTTGGATTTGTTGCATGGAAAATTAACATGCCCGATCCATTAATGTCAACAAGTTCAACAGGAAAAAAAGATGATACAAATCAACTTTTTGATTCAACAAATGAGAAGAAAAAAAAAGATAAATCTAATAATGAATCAACAAAAAAGAAGCGTAAAGAACAAAAAAAATTAAAACGTGAGAATAAAGAAGAAGATCATCAACGACATAAAGTTAAATTTCAAGAACCATTCGTACAAACAAGTGAAGATAGTGATAATGAAAGAGAAGAAAGTGAACAAGTAAATCATAATTTAATCAAAATAAATTGTTTTTTTTTTTTTTTAATTTTTTATCTTTTAGGAATCACCAACACCAACACCACCAACTATTACAATATCATCAAAAGCTCGTAAACGTAATAAAAACAAGACATCAACTCATGTTGAAGGTATTCTTGTTAATAAAGATGAAAAAAGTCCAGTTACAAATCAAGCTGCAACAATTCTTCATCCATTATTAGCAACTACAATACCAAAAGATGAAGTTGAATTAGCTAAACAACATACTAAAACTCATACGAAATCATCAAATAAACAAACGGTACCATCTGCTTTTGTACCAGTTAAAAAACCAACACCACCATCAACAAATGTTAATCAAGGAGTTCAAAAACATCAACAGGAACAACCATTTACTACTGTTGTTAATAATCGACATAAAACTGTAACACCACCATCACAACAACAACAACAGAATAAACCAGCTAATACAACAACAGCTGTATCTGTCCCTTCAATTCAACAATCAGCACCGGTTCAAGTTCAACATGAACAATTAGCTCAACGTCAATCAACACCAGTTCAAGTTCAACATGAACAAATAGTTCAACGTCAACCAGCACCAGCACCAGTTCAAGTACAACATGAACAATTAGTTCAACGTGAGCCAACTCGTCAACAACAGCAACAACAACCAGAAACACCAACTCAACTCAATGGTGTAAATATAGCTGCATCGTCTATAAAGCAACCAATTGCTGTTTCACCAATGAAACTTGCTGATCTTGTTAAAAGTAAGTTGTAAGCTAAAAATGCTTTTGCTGATATTTTAAGATAATGGTTTTTTTTGTAATGAAAGTTAAGTTTAATTTTACTCATGATATTGTTAGGAAAAAAATTTATCCATACTTTTTGAAAATATTGTTTGATTCTTGAGAAGACGGCTTTCGGTATTTTGTTAGAGGGAGAATAAACTAAAAATCCGGTCGCAAAGATTTTCATTCTCGAAGTGATGACCGTAGAAAAGGACACTCGGCCCTCTCATAAGAGACAACCTGTTACCAGGCTGCCTTTCTTCAATCCTAGTCGCCTTGCAACAACATCGTCTACTTATTTTCATTTTCTATTAGAGAGAGACATGTGATGATTTGAAATCTGATTTCTGTCGGAAAATTACCACTAAACTGTAAAGGAAAAGTCCTCTCCACTAATTGAGAACTATGAATGCAAAAAAAAAGCCATAAAAACGGGTTCGTATTCAGAAGGTTTCACGATTATATATAAAATTAATTTTCCTCAAATTTTGATTTTAGGGAAACCACACGACGTATATATGTATTGCGTATGTCCATTTTTATAGGATTTTCTCAATTTTTTAAGCCAAACTTTGACTACTAAAATATTGTTTGAAAATGTGCAAAACAACATTTTCTTTTATGTAACTCGACAAACTTTCTCTAGCGATGACAAAAACAAGTTTTTTTTTTTTTTTCAAATCTCAATTTGTTAGTACCTTAATAATATATCTAATTTTTAGCACTTCCAACAACACAAACTGTTGTTACTGAACTTATGTTAGCACTTGATGCAGTTCCTTTATCCACTGATGAACTAGATATAATTATGCATAAAATTGCTAATAAACAATCTGTTATCAATAAAGATTGGTCAAAAGTATTTATTTAAACGAAAAAAAAGATTTCTTAATAAATATTCTATCTACATTTTAGTTACAACATGGTCAAAAAGTTGATCCACAAGCACATATTGGTCAAGTTTTAGATGAATCAGCACGAGCATTTGAAGAAGGTATTTATGTATAATTTAATTTTTAAAATTATCTAATTATTTTTATTTAAGATATGAAACATAATGCTATGAAACGTATACAAGAATTAACTGATGAACGTAATAATGATAAACGTCGAATAAATGAGTTAGTAAAAGAAAAAAGTGATAAAGATATGGATATACAAGTACTTCATGCACAATTAAATGCACTTCAACAACATCCACAACAACAAATTCATACATATCAAGCTGAATTTAAAAGACTTACTGATGAAAATGCACAATTAAAACAACGATTAAGTCAACAACAACATTTTCAACAGCAACAACAATTTTCACCATTAAATATAATGAATACTAGTGGTGATTCAGCAAATGTTCAATTGCGTGTATTAACTGAACAAACAAAAAAATTATCAGTTGATAATGCTAATTTAGAAAAACAACTTAATGCTAAAGAATTATTATTTCAAGAAACACAAAAAGAAAAAGAGGAATTACTTCGGTAAGATAATAAGCATCAAAATCTGGTCTTTAATCGAGAACACTATTATTAATATACACATAGATATCCAGAAGAATCACTTCAAAAGTTAAATCTTGTCAAATCCTATCAGAATTCTATAAATTCTTGTAGACATATTGTCGGAAATTGCGTGACGGAATTACATCCATATCTATGGTGTTGAAATCTAGTACTTATCAACTAAGTAGTAATTTGTTGAATGAAGACTGAAAAGTGAATTATAAATTGCGGGTTAACACTTCGCGCTCATTTTTTCCGGTCATCCCTATGTAATTTACTTCCGGTATTTTATCCAGATTTCCTCTTCCGAAGTGACAATTTAAAAATCCTAGAGGATGAACACCTATTTTTAAAGGCACAAGCACATACTTTGTGGTGTAATAACAGTAAAGTCCAAAAACGGCCAACATGGTCGGCGGATATGCGCTACTTCCTTGATCCTACACTGAATACAACAATCCTAACTCCTGACTTTTGTACTTACGAATGAGTGTGTAAGTGAACTGATACGCCTATGCATATTGTATAAATGTGGCCGCTAACGCATACTTGATCCATCTCTGTAGCAGTGAGCTCGAAACTTGTGGAAAAAAGATTTGAAAGTTTCAAGAAATAATACAATGCGAGTGTTGGATATTCATCGCACTCGCATCATCATATTTGTTGGCTATTCCATTATATAGCTTTCTCTCGGTAGATATTAATGAAATATTTCTGGTTTTACTTTACTCATTATCGAATTATAGTTGAAATTTTTTTGTAAAAATTTTTAGTTCAAATCAACAATTAGCACAAAAAGCTTTAGAAACACAAAAACAAATTCAGCATAATGAAGAAAAATTACTTAAAGACTTAAATGAAAATCGTACATTACATATGAATCAATTAAATGAATATAAATGCCGTATTGAACAATCAGAAATCGATAATGAAAAATTACGACACGAAAAAATTCAACTTGAATCAATACAACCATTAAAATTAAATAATGAAGAACGTGATCAATTTCAACAAGAAATAAATAGATTAAAACAACAATTAACCGAAGAAAATGAACAATATAAAAAGAAAATCAATGAATTTCAAGTAACAAAAAAATAAACTTTTTTTTCTTTACTTATTTTCTATAAAAATTGTAATACATTTAGAATCAATCTCAATCTCATGAAAATGATTTACGACAAGAAATCGAACAACTTAAAAAAAATATCGAACAAATTCAACATGACGAGTAAATAAATATTCAAGTAAAATTCTTTAAACAAATTCTTTTTCTTTTCTTTTTAGAACTCGAAATAATGAACTAGCAGCTAAAACTGCACAAATTAATCAATTACAAGTAGAACTTGAAGAAGCCAAAGCTAAAACTGCTCAAATGGATCAATTACGAGCAGAAATTGAAGAGTCTAAAGCTAAAAATTCACAAATAGATCAATTACTAGCAGAACTTGAAGGAGCCAAAGCTAAAGCTGCTCAAATGGATCAATTAAGAGCAGAAATGGAAGAGTCTAAAGTTAAAAATTCACAGACCGATCAATTACAAGCAGAACTTGAAGAAGCCAAAGCTAAAACTGCTCAAATGGATCAATTACGAGCAGAACTTGAAGAAACCAAAGCTAAAACTGCTCAAATGGATCAATTACAAGCAGAACTTGAAGAAGCCAAAGCTAAAACTGCTCAAATGGATCAATTACGAGCAGAAGTTGAAGAGTCTAAAGCTAAAATTTTACAAATCGATCAACTACGGGCAGAACTTGAAGAAGCTAAAACTAAAACTGCACAAAACGATCAATTACGAGCAGAACTTGAAGAAACCAAAGCTAAAACTGCTCAAATTGATCAATTAAGAGCAGAACTTGAAGAAGCCAAAGCTAAAACTGCTCAAATGGATCAATTAATAGCAGAAATTGAAGAATCTAAAGCTAAAAATTCACAAATAGATCAACTACGAGCAGAACTTGAAGAATCCAAAGCTAAAACTGCTCAAATAGATCAATTAAAAGTGGAACTCGAAGAAGCTAAAGCTAAAAATACACAAGTCGATAAATTACGAGCAGAACTTGAAGAAGCTAAAGCTACAAATGATGTAAGTTATTTTTGTTTTTTGCTTGTAGAAATTAATATATATCAACGCTCAAATTGATGTGCTGACCGCTTTGATGAAAACATTTTTTTACTGAATTTTCATTGATTTTTCAGTCTAATTTTCTCACTGAGCGAACGCACATATTTATCGATCTTTTCAATCTCTCTGTCTCTCTCTCTCTCTCTCTCTCACTTTTTGTTTGTTTTATTTTTATCATAGAAAGTACGCATACGAAACTGGAAAGTGATGAACGAATTAATATCGGCCGAGGAAAAACTTGCTGCTCTAACGCGATCTAATACAAAAACTGAATAGAAAAAAAGAACACATTTATTAATTAAACAAAAAGAGATTTTTTATAAAATAAAAAAAAAAAAACAAAGCATCTGAAAACAAATAATCTTTATAATTTTATGGGTTTTCTTTTTCTGTTTCGTTGGTTTTTATATCTATTCATAAAATGCAATAAAAACTATTTAAAAGCAAATTGCTCTAGTTCTACATAATCCTTGGGTTTTTTTTCTGTTCTTTTCTCGTTTTATCTTTTCAATGGGGATGCTTATGTATTTGAATGAACATATTGCTATTCTTTTTTTTTTTTTTTTGCGAATGTCATTTAATAGTTAATGCATGTTAGTTCAAATTTTTTTGGGGATTTATTTTGTTTATTCTAGGCTATAAAATTACAATCAAATGAACATTTTCAACAAGAACAAGATAAACAAAAACAAATTTTTATTGAACTTCTTGAACAAGACATCAGAAATCAATTACCAAATGACAATAAAGTAAATATTGATTCGATTGTAATTAGATTCAATTTTTAGCAAAAAAAATTTCATTTGATATTTATCTTATATTAAAATCGAGCAAATAAAATGAAAGAGTATTGAGTACATATGTATTATAATTTAGAAATCAAATATTTTGCTTAAATTTTATGATTTTTCGCATAAAAACAAATTCAAAAAGAAAAAACATAGTTATGGAACTTACGTCTGGAATGATACTAATAAGATTTGTTTACTACGAATAGTACTTTTACAAAAACATAGATTTAGTTAATCTAATTATTCGTCATATCAATTAGCTTTTATCATATCGAGAATTATTTGATTAGTTAATAATCTACTGAAATTTTTCTTTCGATAATATATAAAATATTCCAGTGAATACCGACATTAATTTAAAAATATGTTTTTTTTTTTTTTCTTCGAAAAGGATTTTAATTCATGGTTTTCATCATATCAAACGATATTAACATCAAGTATTGAATCAACAAAGGTAAATACTTCTTTAGTTTAGTGGTTTAAATAGAATTAAATCATTTGAACTCGAGTTCGAATCTGACTGATATCACACATGTAAATAAAATATCTTTTCATGTTATGATGAACAGCCTTAATCCATTCTCTGATAGCATAAATGATTTATTTCATCAATGCCTTGCCCGTGCCAATTCAATATGCACATAGTTCCTTTCCGAGTATCAAGGTTCTCTTGATTACAGTATTGAAAGTGAAATATGTTGCGTTCCATGGTCAGTCGCATTCTAAGGCTCGTCATGAGTAAATCAATTGTGTAAAGATTTGAAAACATGGCATCTGAACAAGAAAATGATATTTTATATTCATATAATATTATTTTTATTTATTAATTATCTAGGATAATATACGAATGGAAAATATTTCATTATCCTTTTGAAAGTTCGAGAAAACTTTCTTTTTCTTTACACTGATAATATAAAACAGTACTGTCTATTTTATCATTATTCAACTACTGTCATAATAATAAAATTTCGATAAGACCTATTTATTATGATATGTGATGATAACATTAGATTATAATGTCTTAGCTGTGTATTTCTCTTATTTCTCAGCCATCTATATATGTTACAGTATACAAAAAAGTAATGACAATGAAACATAAAATCCAGAAAAAAGTCGTTATATCTAACTCATATATAGAAAGAAAGAATAGATCATGCAACGGATACGTTCTAGAGTCTGTCGGATCGGTTCGAGTCTAAAAATTTTAGACTCGTCAGACTCTAATACACACACACAATGAAAACAATCTGATGTAATGCTATCATCAAGTATTCATTACAACTGACTTTTATCAAACTTTTATTATCATGATACTAGTTGAAGGACAATGAAATAAAAAGTACTCGGTTTTACGATTTATGTATGTAAAGAGAACGTATCCTTGAACTTTCTACAGGTCGTTGAAGTGCATTGTTCATTACTGTTTATATGTCCTAAGTAATTATTTTTAAATATTATTTTAGCGAGCTTTACAAGATGAATCTGCAGCACTTAAACGTGAAAATGCTCAACTTTATATAAATATGCATGAAGTTGTAAGTGAAAATTTATCTTTTTTGAAAATTTTTATAATTTAATCTATTATAGGAAAGTCAATTAAAAGAAATTGAACAAACAGTACAAACTAAAGAAGAAAGTTTACTTGCTGATTTGAAAAGCGTAAATTTTAGATAAAGATTTCTTTTTTGTTATGATAATTTGTTTTTCAAAATTTTATTTATTAGAAAGATGCAACATTAGGAAGTATTCTTGGTGAAAATGAACAATTAAACGGTGAATTACAACGCTTACGTTCTGAAATTAATCGTTTACAAATAGCTCATGATACAGCAGTTGATGAAACACGTGCATTAAAACTTCAACTTGAGGAACAACGTCTGATTGCTAATACTCCGTCTATTGCTGACGTAAGTATATGGATATAGTTAAAATTCTTTGCATGTTTATTCAATTAGATTATTTTAGTAGTAGAAAATAATATCTTAGCTTTTGTATGCTTTTAAATATATATATATTTATATGTATGTTGCTTGTATTCTAACTCGTTAATAATCTAGGATGAATCACTCGAAGTTTTAAATCTACAATCACCACTTGCACCTGAAACCGATTCTCGTGTTGATCAATTGAATGAATTGATTCGATCAAGCAAAGAAGCTCTCGAGACTCAAGATTCTTTTGTTCAACAACTTGATAAACATTTGAACGAAATGCATCGTAGTGGTACCGGAGAGGTACGCTCCGAATATCCACTAAAAAAAAAGAATTATTTTCTTATTCTATCTTTATAAAACTCAAAAATTAACGTTGCATGTCTAGTGCACTTCTTTTTATATCAAATCAAAAATTCGAGACTAAGACAAAATAAAAACAAGAAACTTTTCATTTGAATTTTTTTTAATTTTTTCGTATATTTTTAGGTATCAACATCAAATGTCGATCAATCAACAGTATCTTCTTCCGATCAACCAAAGTCCGAATTTTGATCGTGCAAAAGAAACTTTCTTTTTTTTCTTTTACACATTGTTAGGCTTTAAATTATTATATCAGCGAAAAACAAAATGAACGAAGAAAAAAATCATTGCGTGTTGATTGTTCTTTCGTTATCGTTTTTTTCTCTTTCTGGTGCTGTTTCTTTTTTTTTTATAAATACGACATACGTCGATTTATATTCTTTGCCATGGCTTTTTACGTTTTTCTCTTATTCTTGCTATTGTTATTTAAAAAAAGAACACTACTTTTTTAGTAATGGTTTTGATTAAACGTATAAAAATCACGCTTAATTATTTATCAAAAAAAAAAAAAAAAAAAAAAAAAGCTTTATCATAATCAAAGCAGAAAAAAGCACATTGTTAGACTTTTCTTTTTTTATTCATGTTTTGTTTTGTACTACTTAATAAGTGGTTATTCATGTTTCATTAGAAAAATAAACATAACCATTGTTTTATAAATAAATCTATTTATTAAATGATGGTTTCAATGTTGATTAAAATATTTTTTTTGACATTGGGATGAACTAAAATGATGTTAATGTCCTTGTATATATGATTTATTTGATAATAGCTAGATGATTAATAAGAAAATAAATGGAAGATGAATACGAAGGTTTTCTTTCTATTTAGATGTAAGGACCATTGAAACTGTTGAGAAGATTAATGAAACATAAAGAATGCGAATGAATATATATATATACAAGAAAAAACGATGGAAAAAATTTGTAAGATCATATTGATAAATTTCCTTTTTAAATAAAGATATTGGATAAAATGAGAAGTTTTAGACACCATCTTTGTTGCTTAGTCTATTAAGTTACAATGGATGATGATAGTCTATTGTACTTCCGAGTACATTCTTGATGATCTTTACGACAAGAAAAATCTAAAGCATATATATCAAAAGTTGCAACAAGTTAATTAGATTCTGTGTATAATGTAGTTAAATATTTGTTTATTATTTTTAATTCAAGTGTACTGACAACAGAAATTGTTCGATTGATAAATCGCTTTCGAGTCGAGACTGTGTATTATGTAGACGCAAATGAGCTATGAATATCCTGAAAAGAGTCCATGTCCTTATTGTATTACTGCGAAAATAGTGAACTTTTACGATAGTTTTTAAATGAATATCGGACATCTCTCTCACAGATACCAGGAAAATAAATTTTTGAATTTTAACTTGCAACTCTGCATAGAGAGAGGTTTTAATCAGAATAGTCTGTTATTGTGAATGTTTCAGATCTTGTCATCGTTCCTATTCTAAGATATCACTATAGTAATAGGATGTCTCTCACTTTGCTCATATAAACCGGAAGGCTTGATGTTTGTATTTTAGGATCGAAGTGAATCAAAAGACTTGAAACTTTCACAATAACCTCTTACTCTCGTAAAGATCTGTCTCTATGCAAAATTTCAAATGGAAATTAACAGTTTATCTGTTGGAGGACTTCCCTCGTTAGTAATATTTCATATCTATTCTTGAAAAACTTCAATTTCATAAAAAAATGATTCAGATGTTTACGTACTGTAATTATAACTCGAACCATAAATCATCGAGATAAACAAGCTTTTTTGATAGAAAGTAATAATGTCAATTATATTTTGAAAGTTTCAATAGATTTATATCGTATTTTTTCATCGTAATCAAGATTTTTTTCAAGAGAAAAACTGTTATAATCTTACTCGCTGTTTAACATAAACTTGAGTATGACATTTAGAAAGTCTAGAAAAAGAATGAGATGAATACAACATTAGAAATTCAGATCGTTTCAATATATTTCTAAATTTATAAACAACTACGAGACAAAGACATATAAAAGTGTTTTATTTCTGTGTATTTGAAGATTATTTTTCTTTTTTCTATGGCTCATTCAACAATATCAGCATCAAATATTCGACATATTTTAATAACTGGACAACCAGGTCTGTTTTATTTTCTTATAAAGTCTACTGTATTATTTGATTATTAAGAAATGATGAAAAAAAAAAAATAAGGAATATCTTTAGATATATCTATCAGTCGGAATAACACCTGAAAAATTTGCAGAATCTAGAGGACATCCATCTCCATTTAATCCTCCTAAACCCCACCATTGAGGAAAAGAAGTATGATTAAGTTGAAGTGCAAAAAATATAATAAAACCACATATAGCTACACCACAACTCATTGCAATTGAAAATATATATGCATATTTTTCCCACCAATTATGTGCGTAACGATATAAAATAAAATTAAAAATAAATCCAACCAAAAACCATGATGGAAATTCTCCAGCCGGAGCAGGTGGCATATTTATTGTAGCCATTAACAAAATCGGAAAATTAATTAATGCTAACCATTTAATATTTGGAAATGCTTTCCATAACAACCAACTTATTATAGGCAATATAGAACCAATTAGAAATCCATAAAGTAATGAAGAATATCGTGCACTCCAAATGAATGCTCCTAGTCAATATGAAAATATCTCAATTTACTTAGAAAAAAAAAACAAAAAAAGAAAGATTTCTTTATTTTACCAGTTATACCAAATACAATTGATGATGTGTGAGTAGCTTGAAGACTCAAACATCTCCATGCAGGACTTTTTAATGTACAGATATGTGGTACATTGTTAAGAAGATATATTGCAGTTATATAGTGAATTACACTACTAAGGATGGAAGCGAGAATAAATAAAGGAAGCACGATCCTAGGTGGAATCTATAGATTGTATTGAAATAATATATTTAAAGAGAAAAAACAACAACATTTATTTCTACCTTCATATAATGAGCAATTTTACTATTCATCAAATAAACTAAGATTTGATTTTGACATGTATATGTTAATGTACGAAATGTAAGATAAGCAATAGGATTACCCGATAGAATTAGACTACTTATAAGATCGACTGCAGAAATGGCAGCTTAAAGAAAATATAAATTAATATTTGAATTCAAAAGAAAGAAGTTTCTTATTTTTGATAGAACTAACTCATTGGCATATTTGTTATTGCTGTAATAATACCACTTGGTAAAGAGAAGATAATTGTAAGAAGAAATGAAACTAAAATTAAATTTAATGAAAATATATATTAGTTAAAATAATAGATAAAAGAATTGTACCGGGCACGAAAGATGTTGGCATTATTTCGGTAAAATAACAAAGAAATAATGTAATCAGAAATGAAAATAAAACCATAAGATAATACCTAAGAAGAATATTATGAGTAAATTTGTGAGTGACCCAGGCATCAACGATGCAGCAATATTTCAAATTTTGTTTTTTTGACATATTGTGGATGGTAATGAGGTTAAGAGTGGTGTCACATATCCAAGATGTTGGAGAAGTGCTCACTTCTCCCACAGGAGATGCGGCATCTCTCGAGGGAGACGCGGCACCCACACTCGGGAGATGCGGTGATTTGCTGTTGGAGATGTATAATCTCATTGAGAGATGTGCGTCTCTCACATTGGGTGCTGCATCTCCTGCTGAAAATGTAGCGTCTTCCGGCAGAGATGTGAGCACTTCTCCAAATTGCAGGATATGTGACACTGCTGAAGAATTTTAGTCCTTTGAAGTAGTACTTTAAACGATGCAGAATTTCAATAGCTTTCAAAAAGTAAAAATTATTTTCAAATAGCATGATCCAAGGTGGCTAGAGTCAAAATACCAAAAAGTTGCTGTAATACTCAATTACCCTTTTAGCTCGTATATTGGCACTATCGATTGGTGATTGGTATTGTAGAAGTGATTGAATTAATCGGTTTTGTAGAGAAAACATTCTTGCATCTTTTGAGATATCTCAGAACTCGAACGTATCCTTGAAAAGTAATAGCAACATCCTAAAAAGCCTGAGTTTTCGACTAGAAGTCAAAAGTAGTATTACTTACATAATTTGGCATTTTTCATAGGTATGTCAGAGAGAGCTGATATTTTGGATTAAGAGTATTCTAATGGTGGTCTAGTGTTTGAGATATTTAAATCCAAAATCAAGATTTTAGCATCGGTCGGGTTCATAGGAAGTTTTTAGATCTTATGGGGAACCCTCTCTCTTAAACATGAGGTGTAATATATATAAATTCTCACCACCAATCCGCAATTTCTGGATAATGGGACATAAGTTTGGCATGAATATCATTATTTGTATTTGATAAACTTGAACGAAATTGTTCAACTATTGATTTACCTATAATAATAAAATCATATAGAAATATCTTATGCATGATATTATAATTTATAATTGTAAAGAAAAAGAAATATAAGAGTATCCTAATCGAAAGAAAAATTTGAATTAATCAATGTTTTACAATTTTAAATTCACATGAAATTATATTAGAGCTTTTAAATGTGAGATACTGTCATTCATACTGTTGTACTTATTATTTCTATAATTCTCTCAATTCTTTGTCTTTTTTTTTTTGTTTTTATAAAAGTGAAGAACTGAAAATTGTACAGGAACTAAATTAATTTAAATGGTTATATCGGACAGTGAATAGAAAAATTCCCTATAAAGTTCTCTTTATATCGTGATAGTAAGCATTACACTCTTGATAATTAAACAAAAATAAAAATAAAAATTTTACACTTTTGATTCATCTCGAAATAAGTCTTATTTTACCATGGTAAAGTATTGTATGGACAATCAATGCTGCAATACCACAAAACGAAAAAGCACATGAAACAACATAACCAGCACTTATATACACTGGTCCTAAGACAACTTAATTGTTTAGTAGCTTTTAAAAAAATTTTTAGTCACCATAGGCTTCATAGGCAGTATTATTCAAACGAAGATCTTTGGTCAATACTTCAGTCGTATTAAAAAAATAACCATCTTTATCAAAAACTCTAATTGAAATAATAGGCATTTTTTGCGAATCCCAAACATTTACATAATAAAAAATCGGTGTTACAATCCAAACAACAACTATAAATCCAATGAAAATATTTACATGTGCCCTTGAAAAAAATAAATAATTAATTAATTATAATAAAAAAAAATAAATAGAATCTACCAGAATGGTACAAGAATAGGTGAATCTAAATAAGCTACCAAAGCATTCCAATCGAATTCTATCGCACCTAAACCAAGTCCATATGTACCTGTTATCTGTGAAAGAATAATATTTTTAGGTGCCATGAAACAAATTAATGAAAAAAATGATAAAAGAGGAAATATATAACCGGGAAACCAATACCAAACAAATTGAAATAAAACAATTAACCAAAAACATTTCGAACGTGACATTTTCCATCGAGAATTATCTTTATTAAATTCATCTTCATTAACTAATGTACGGATTAAAGAACAACTCATTAATGTTTTTGGCCATATCATAAAAGCTGGCCATATAAGATATCTTCTCAAAACACCCGATATTGAAATAGCAATAAAATGCATTGTTATTAAAAATAACACTGAATTAACATGATTAAGATGATGTTTATAATGCAGACGTTGAATTATTATTGTTTCAACACCTTCACCTGTACGTGTTCCTGATGCAGCCATTATTGTAATAATAGCATGTTCTTTAAATGTGAATGGACCCGGATTTAATTTTATATGACATAGACGCTCCGGTAATATTTTTGACATTAATTTGCCAAGCAAATATGCAAGTAATATAATAATACCAATATTAAGATCTAATGGTGATGTACGAAAAGAAAAAAATTGAGATATAAATCCCATAAGACATGTTAATAGAATACCAATAAATATTGAACGAACTGTAAGACATAATGTTGTTGGATCATCTGTATTTGATATATTAACAGCTACTTCTTCGTAAGGTGATTGTTCAATATTATTTGATGATAATGAATTATTTAGTAGTGGTAGTTTTGTTGTATCCTATAAAATAATAATAAAAATAAAGAAAAATGTTATAAATTAAATAAAAAAATTTAATTTACTTCATGATAATCATGAAAAACTGGATTTTTATAAATGGATTCAGTTATCAGTGGTGATTTATCATTAATATATTCATATGTAGCCCGATCTTGTGTCATTCTTATATTAAGAAATTTTTATTAACGAAGCAATGAATAGAATTATTGAATGTTATTCATTCAGTAAAATAGAAAATAATTATATAAAATGCACTTCAATGATTCGTAAATGATAAAACTTTCAACGTGCACACATATTTATTTTGTCATGCTCCATAGACCATAACGAAACTCTGTGTAGGAGAAAAAAGAAGTGTAGGAAAAGCTTAGTTGTGTTACTGAGAATAGTGAGTTTGTCTCTTCCAATTTTCACAGCTAAGACTATCTTAACCATGATGTATATGTCTTTTGTCATTTTTAATTTTTTGTATTTTCAGTGAAATGATATGACATAAGATTAATATGTTTTGGCACATTCTCAGAGCCATGACGGAAGAGTCATTAATGAAATAATCCTTGAAATAGAGTATAGGTATCTCCAATATATCGATAGTATGGACAGTTCGATCAAGTGCATTTTCATTTGTGACAACTATTCGGTTACTCGAGTGACCATGACCACAGAAGAACGACTTGAATATAATTTTATCTGATGTAGTTCGAGAAAAAAACATTGTAGAGAACTCGGTGACATCTCATGTTGTAGAGAATAATTTGCTCTATCATTTCATGTGATATGAGAAAATTTTATACCTAAGTTGTAGATACTGAAAAACTAAAGGTTTTGTTTTCTGGAAAATCTATAATGACCATTCTGTATTTTACTATTTATTTTCTACCTAGCTTTTGTGAATAGTTTGAATAATATTCATGCCTCTAGTAGATTTAATCGTCGTTATATATTATATAATACATTTCCATCGTATATCTTGCTTGTTGATAATACAAAAAAAAAACATGTTATTTTTGAAAAAATCCAACTTTTGCAATTTTTTCGAAATTTATCGATTTTGTAATTCAAACAAAATATTTTCTTATCAACTGATAATTTATGAAATCCACTACAAGAAATGTTCACAAAATTTTTTTAATTCTATGTTTCGTTTATTTTCTATAATTGTTCTATGAATAGTTATTCGAGTAACGAAAGAGAAATGCAGATAACAAAGTTAATTATGTTCCATAGTTTTGAAGTTAATTCTATACTTGGAATATATGTTATGATAAAATCAAAAAAGTATGAGAAATCATTTTAGTCATCAAGTCAAGTACTTAACTAAGCCTATATATATATAGAAAAAAAAAATTATAATGAAATAATATTTTTAGAACGTTATATCTTCACCTTTAAGCATTAATTCTTTTTAATACGGATTATATTATGTAGGAATATAAAATTATATTTAGAATTTTACATAAATATGAAGATTGATTGATACAATTCAATTTCTAATTCATAAATTACTTTTTCTCAGTTCACATGATAAAAAGAACATTCATATGATTTTTTAAATTTTTTGATGAAATTGACAATTAATATTGTATTTTATCATATAAAACTTTTTCACTATAAAAGATATTCTTCTAAAAAAAAAATTCGATTCTTTATTACTTTATTGATATTCAAATATAAGAGATACACAAAAACAAATGTTTATCAAATAATTATTTTTAGGTGTTGGTAAAACAACATTATTGCGACGTGCATGTGAATTATTTCTTCAACAAGAACAAAATATATCTTGTTATGGTTTTTATACAGAAGAAATTCGTGGTCATAATGGTTCACGAATTGGTTTTGATGTTGTCACGTTGGATGGAAATTCACGTGCTTCACTTGCACGAATTAAGTAAGAAATTTAATAGTTATATATTTATATAGAAATCAATAAACTTCGAACATAAATACAGTAATCATCAAAATTATTCAAACAGTAGATAGTTTTATTTTATTTTGTACATATCTGGAAAATTATATACATTAAAATGATCTAGTTTCCATCAGGTTACAATTCATTGTCTTTAGTATACTAGTAGAAAATTTCAGATCAACACATTAATCTCTTGATGTTTTTACATGACATAATCACTGAATGCTTTTTTTTCATCCTTTCAAAATTATCCAGTCACTTATTTTTGCAAGTTGTTGCGCGCTCGTTCTAAATTAAAATTTCTCTTATGCTACATAATTCAATAGAACAAATGGTAGTTTATGTAAGAATAACTTCTTTGTATCACAGTTTTCCGTTGATTATGCATGAAAAAGAAAACAAAGTTTTTTTGACCTATACCGGAAATTAACAACAAAAAAAAAACATACTGCCAAAAGACATATTTTTCATGTGATGATTAGCCTATTTTCATTGTTCAATATGTCATTCGGAAGAATACTACAGATTGCATCTGATATTCAATATGAATAGACATTTCATGCTGGAAAATTGTGTTAGTCGTCTCCTATGAATACACTAATCACATATAAACTTTCTTATACTATGTCATTCACGCATTCAAGGACATATAAAAAAATTATTTTAAAAATATAGATTTGTAGGGCATCTCTTTTCGTAGAAAGCTCTTGTAATTGAAACTAAAAATCGATTATATCACTTAAGTTATAAATCTTTATTATATTTTAATTAGAAGGAATAAAAAGTTAACTGTAGTCTAAGCAACAACCAAAACGCTGATCTGAATAAATATATAGCTAATTTCTGTACTTCACATTTATGTAAGATAGAGGATGAAATTTGGTACAATACACTATGTTATGTTTCATTTAATACATCTTTATTGGGATTATGGTTACGTTTTTACTTCTTCTATTTATAGTGTAACAACAGTTTATATCTTAATTAATATAATCCGTTTCGATTTCAATTAGAAGAGTTTTTACGGAAAAAGATGCCCTAGTTAAAACAATTTTTTATTCATTCTTGAATGTGTAAATGAGACAATGTAAGAAGGTATATATATATATAGGTCTAGTGTATACATAGAAAACGACTAACACAATTTTCTAGCATGAAATGTTTTTTTCATATTGAATATCTAATTCAATTAGTACTGTTCTTCCTAATAACATATTGAACAATAAAATTAGCTACGTATTACATGATAAAAATATCTTTTGTCTTTTTTTGTTGCTAATTTCCGGTATGGAACAGAAAAACTTTGTTTTTTGATACATACTTAACGGAAAGCTACGATCAAAAATAGCTCTCACGGAAAACACAATTAGCTCGTTTAAATTATATATCATAAAAGAAACTTCAACTTAGAAAGAGCGCACAATAATTTGCCAAAATATAAGAGGTTGGATAATTTCAAGAGAATAAAAAACAGCATGTTGTGATTATATCGTAGATAAAGAGTGAAGAGATCAATGAATTGACGTCAAATTTTCGACTAATATATTAGAGACTGTGTGTTGTGATTTGATAAAAACCAGATCATTCTAACTTATGTAATTTCTAGGCTTTGTATAAAACAAAATAAAATTATCTACTAGTTGATTCATTTCTACAATCACTCTATTTAGTCAATAGTGAATTAATAATCAAATATTAGAAAGTGCGATAATGACTTTTTTTTTCCATAGAAGAAAAACATAAAAATAATCTTTGAATATTATAATCTTTCACGAGAGAACATATGTACCTGTCGAATGACATATTATGGTTACAAGTTAAGTACTTGTAATACAATGAAAAATGTACAAATGTTCATACCGATAACCTTTTCATACAACAAACTTTGACTGGAAATATTTTGTATACACAGATTTAATGTTCATTAAATATTTGAAATGTTCAACAATAATGAATATATTTTTCTCGAAATATTTAATTTCCAAAAAAACTAATGAGTTACTAAAGAAGGATTTATCTATTTGAAAATCGAATATCTCAAGAAAAAAAAACATATTCGTTGTTGTGTTGGAACTTTCAGAATTATATGATAATTATTAAATTTTCCTGCAAACAACATTTCAGATTCAAACTTGTTGTCTTCAGCTTTTCGGAAATGCTTTACTTTCAATAATACTTTCATTAAATCGATCATAATTCTTCATTTAAAAGCAATTACTCCGAAATCCTTGTAGCTTTTTCTTAGTCTTACAGGAACTTACTCCTAATCATAATAAGAAATCGAATGACGTTCGACAGCTACATATGTTCCCGTGTTAATTAATAATTATTTTTATTTTCAAGTGAATATACAACATCAAGATCATCATTATTACCACTTATTGGACAATACAATGTGTTTGTTGATGAATTCGAAAGCATAGCTTTGCCATTATTAACAGTAAAGTTTTATAATTAACAGTACACAAAAAAAAAAGAAAACATGAATATTTGTTCTTTTTTTAATTTAATTAGAATATTCAAACACCATGTATTTGTTTTATTGATGAAATAGGTAAAATGGAATTATTATCAAATAAATTCAAAGATTTAATTCAAGCATTAATTGAACGTCCAAATTTAATTCTTATTGCAACTATACCTATAAAACCTTTAGGATTTGTTGATAAAATTCGTACACGAAAAGATTGTCATTTAATTACAGTATGTTTCAACAAAAAATAAAACAGAAATACTCATTTTATGTTTGGAAAAAAAAACATTTAGGTTACACGTGATAATCGTTCTGGTTCAACATTACGAAATGAATTAATGGCATATATTGAAAAATTGACAAAAAACATTGCATAAGTTTATATTTTGTTAGATTTTTCTTTGTTTTTTCTTTTTGTTATGGCTATTCAAACGAAAAATAAAATAAACGAAAACTTCAAGTAATTGTGTTTTTCATATAAAATATCATCTAATTCCATTTATGTTTGACATTATTTTTTTTCTTCTCTGAAAACTTTTATTCATTACAAAAAAAAAAAATTGCACTGTATTATACAAAAACAAGAGTAAGTCCAAAAAAAAAATTACATGTCGACAGGTAGTAGTATGGAGATTGTTCAAGTAAGATTATATCGAACATTTATTGGATATTATTATATTTAATGTTTATTAGATTAACGTTGAAAATGAAGAACTACTTGCATTAGTAAAAGATTCAAAAACTGGTATTCATTTTCATACGAAAAGGAGAAATAAATCATTGTTTTAATTTTTATTCTTTTATTAGCTGCTAGTGGAAAGTGTCCTGTACCAAATTGGGTTCTTCCTGTCTTGGTTATTTCTTTGATTCTTACAATACTCGGTGCAACATTTGCTATGGGCTACTTTATATCATATCCACGAAGTAAGTTGATTATTGAAAGAAATAGTTTATGAATTAACTTTCATGTTACACTTTCCTTTGTTTTTGTTTATTAGAATCGACTAAATCATTAAAACTGTATAATGAAAATTGTACAGTTTTAAGTGGAGAATGCGATAGTAGTCGAGGATTATATTGTCCTTCAAGTCAATGTGTATGTAAGTTTGAGAAATTTCTTTTGTTCTCTTTTTTTGACTTTTATCGATATATATACGTATATATATATATATGTATGTATTTCTAAATTTAATATTTAAGGTGAAAGAGCGAGTTCATATTATAATGGTAGTAGTTGTGTTTGTCCAAATTTTACACATAGTGCTAATCAAGAATGTGGTTTGTATTTAATTTTTTACTTTAGTTTTTTATATTACTTTTTTTTTTTTCTTTATTAAATTTGATTAGTTCCTGATGGTTTCTATGGTCAACCATGTAGTCCACCAACAGCAAATTGTCTTTCAAATTTTATATGTGATTCAACAAGTGTATGTGCATGCAATGCAACAGCAGAATATTTCAATGGAACATATTGTATTACACAATATTTATACAATGATTCTTGTTCAGAAACACGTCATTGTCTCAGTACTTCAAATTTATATTGTTTATCGTATGCATCATGAAACACGATCGAAAAAGAGTATTGAAGTAGAGGGGCAAAAATTTGAATCTCTCGCAGACATTATTGACGTCTCGTTGTGAAAACAGCTAGGGTGGATTAGTCTTCTGCCTCTTCACTTTTTGCATCATGCGTGCAAAAATTTCGAGCTGTTGTAAAGTTGTGTGCCAATATTTTGTAGGCAGCTTTTCTCAATTACTTTCTGTCAGAAAGATTGCCTTCGACTGTCTGTCAAATTTTTATCCCTTTACACTTCGAAAAGCTATTCAAAGCTCTTAAGACCATATGGCAATAACGTCTTGTTATCATATATGAGCTACTTTCTTATGGCGTTTTGAGAGGATTAAGTAAAGCTACGATGAAGACATGGGTACCTATATGCATAGAAAAAAAAAGCAATCCCTTTGTGATTAGCAACAGTAGCTGAATCATGTTTTTACATTTAATTTCCGCAGGGATTGTGAAGACAGATTTTTTTCTATATATTTTTAATTAATGAATAAAAAACTTTTGTATTATTTAGAAATAGATGCACATGTGTGTCAAATTATTATTGGAATGGATCTGTTTGCGGTAGAAATTTGTCGTTGTTGGTTAAATATTCTTGTTTTTTTTTTGTTTTTCTAATTAGTACCGAAACAAAACGGTTGGCAAACATGTAATAATATAACAACGGGTACTAGTGCATCACCATGTGATGATACATTAGGTCTTTATTGCTACTCGAATGGTACATGTCAATGTCCCAATACAATGTTTTGGCATATCAATAATCAGCAATGTGGTATGAAAGAATGAAAGTTGTCTTTTGTTTTTCTTATTTATTCATATTTATATATATATTTGCCTAGAAACTAAACGTCTCTATGGAGATATTTGTGATGCTGATTTTTATTGTAATGAAACACTAAATTTTATTTGTCCAACAGTACCTGGTAGAGAATAAATATGTCAATATTTACTTTTTCTATTTATCTATTTAACTAAGGAACATGTAATTGTCCAGCTTGGAGTAATGATTATACATGTGATTGTCAACCAAATTGGTTTTATGATGGATTACAATGCAGTATGGATCTATATATATTCGAATAAAATTAATTTAATTTTCTCGATTTAATATTATTTAGTTCAAAGAAAGACTATTAATGGAACATGTTTTGGTACTTATGCATGCGATATAAACACGCCACTTGTCTGCTTTACAGGCCTCTGTCTTTGGTTGGTAAATTTTGTTTTGTTAGTTGTTTAAATATCGTTTTTTTTTTTGTTAGTCCAACACCAACAACGTGGACTGGTTCTAATTGTACATGTTCAAGTGGTCAGACCTGGACTGGTAGTACTTGTGTTGCTGTCGGTTAATAATAATGAAACTAATAATACATGTTTATATATTGTCACATCAAAGATCATATAATGACAGACAACTGTTATTTTTGTTTTTATTTTTTGTAATATGAAAGTTTGAATAATATTGCCATTTCAATCTCTTCTTTTACGCACTTATAATTGAGTGATAAATGCACGAATATATATATATATAACTTTTATTTTTCTCAAGCTGAATAAGAACAAACTAAGACAACTCACTAAAAAGCCTAATGAAAGAAACAGAAGCAAGAAAACTTGATGAGTCGTTGTCTTTTTTTCTCTTGTCATCAATATCACTGAGAGGTTACAACTATTGTTAAACAAGCGAGAACGACAACAAAAGAAGTGACGTTGATTTTTCCTTTTTTTGTTCTTCTTCTGCTTCTTTCAGCCTTGCACTTATTTATTTATTTATTTATTTATTTATTTCATTTTAGTTTTTTTGTTGTTGATGTTGTTGTCATTGTTAGTGATGTTTCCTCGATAAAGCGAATTCCATTATCATTCCATATTGTGCTGTTCAGAGAATGCGCTCTGGAGAGGAACAAAAAAAAAATAGAAAAGGAAAAGGAAAGGATCGAGCTCTTCTTTCTTTCTTTCTTTCTTTCTTTTTTTTTATGTGCAGGCGTATATCTAACTAAAACTGAGGGTGAAAAATGAGACGCTACAAACACACCGGCAACAGCGTCAACCGGCTGTTAGTAGTCGTTGTGATGAGCATCGAACCAGCAAGTGCATCGTAAAGATGTAAAAGAAGAGAGAGAAAAAATGCAAAAGAAGAGTATATGGCGATGTCATTGACGATGGGTTCGGATGTTGGCAGCTTAATTGCGTAGAACAATTTTTATCAGTGAGACCAAACATCGAGGAGACATCCACGCTTCCTTAGCTTCTCCGTTCTAGTTTCACAGCGATAAACACAGAGCGAAGAGGAATGGAACAGATATATAGAGAGAAAAGCGCTTAGATATTGTTTGCTGTTGTTAGCAAAAACTGTCTTATTATTTGACATATATTTTACACCGTCAACATCGTCTGAGGTAAGAAAAAAGCAAGCAATCAAAAAAAGAAAAATGAGGAAAGAAAAGAAACAGACAACTTCTGACAAAGTCAATTTATTCAATAAACTAGATCCAAGTTTCATATGAAATAATTAGCATTAGACATATATACATACAGTTACTATATTATATACAATTATATACTGCTAGTCAAATGTTACAAAAAGCTTTCAGAGTTCACATACTACAAAGAGCAAACATAGCAAAAGAGCAAAAGTTGCTCTATGATTGATAGAATTGATAAATTGTGTGTTAGAATAATAAATTGCTAGTAGACTGACAAACATATGCAACTAAGTTTTATATTGTTCATTCATGAGTAATTCTAAATCGCGTTTTTCTTGTTCAATTATCATCTATATTTTCTTATATTGTGCCATTCGATGACGACAGCACAATCTATCTTACTATCGATAAGATATAGCATGTGTGTCTATACTTTAACACAAAATAGCATATCATTCGAGAATGCGTTGTTGTGCTGTTCGATGCGCCAGAATGACCTTGATCAAATCAGACTCTTTTTATTGTAGTTAGGAACTCTTTTTTTTTTCTTTCTATTCTATTTCTTTCTATCGCTGATTCTTGACAATTACACATGTATTCCTGGTTTTTCTGTATTTCGTTTTTTGTTACTCATAATCACTATCAATCAGCCAGAAAAAAAAAAGAAACGAGTACTAAGAGAATTAATCTATCACCGTCTGCTTTTACTATCTACTCTTCTGGAAGTAATGCATTCCTGAGCCATTCTAGCTCATATTTGAATAGTAGTACCATAACACACACACACACACACATATATATATATATAAGCACAGAGAGAGAAAAGCGAACGATGATGATCTGAGTTGCGTGCTCACTATTTTTCAGGATTGTGCCGATAAGAATGGGGACACAACGACGATGTTGAGCTGTCAACAACAGGAAATATGTCTGCCAGTTTGTCTTCCATCAAAACAATTTATTATGGTCGCTGTTGTATATCGATGAACGCCATTCTGAAATTTATTCCAGGTAAGCAAATACGGCGTATACTTAGTTTTCTTCATAACGCACGAGGAAAAAAAGGATTATACGTTTGAATAATTATTTAAAAAAATGAAAAAAATCTTGCTGGTTTCTGAGAGTTTTTTCTATTAGCCTAATGAATCTTCTCAAAGAAATGTTAGTGATATCTTTTTCTTTTACTCTTTGAAAAAAAAAAGAACTTTTGAAGCATTATGTAGATGACTGAATGTGTATGTCAAAATACTGAATCGAGAATTTTTTTCTCTTCTCTATATTCATCAGTCTCTTTTTTTTATCTATGAGAAAAAAAAAATTTTTCTCGTCCATGCTGATTATCATTATTTGTAAATGAAGATTAGTTGAAAAACATACAGACGACGAGTTAATAAAAAATCAAAAAAGAAGAAAAATCCTATCGTGATATGTTTAAATAGTAAAAGACATGTTTTTATGAGAAAAAAGTAATAAAATAGTGTAAGTTCTCATGTTTTTTTTTTAAGAAGAAAAAACGCCGAGAAAATTATTTTCATAATATATATATATATATAATCATTTTTTTATTTTCCTAAGTTAAAAAGAACATTAATATGTCTTTCAATTTAGGAAATAATGCAAGTGGACACTCGATGGGCTCAACCAGTCGTGTCTGACTTAGTTTCTGTTCCAATCGATAATAATAATAATAAACATAATATTGAACAACAACAGTTATCTGTTCATTCTCTACCATTATCAACATTACAAACACAATTAGCAACAACAACAACACCAATAACAAGTTTTTTCCCACCACAACGTGTTGAACCAATTGATATGGCACGTTCACAACAGCCAACAACACAAAATCGTACTAAAACAGGTTATATTCAATCAGCAACAACTGATGAACAACAAACAACAACAATAAATTTTATACAAAATCAATCTATTAAACGTGTTAAACATCCTGCTGATCGTTCATCAATTGTTTTCTTATTTCAATATGTCTCAACAATATGTTTTGGAATCTTTATTTCTTTTCCATGTATTATATTATTAACTGTTCTATTACCTATATGTTGGCTAATACGAACATTTGTACGGTTAATTTGTCGACATCATTGTACTGTAACACCATGTGCATGTAATTATTTATCTGCTAGTGATTTATTTTGGTTTTATAATAGTAATATATCAACAAATCAAGATAATAAAAATCATGACACAAGAAAATATAATTCTCGACCTATGTCACCGATAGCAGCAGCAGTTTTTTTTCTTGAAGGTACAATTTTAAAAATATTATTTCATTTAAAAGAAAAATCATAACTTGATTTTCTTTTTTTTTTTTATTTAGGAACAATAAATGAAAATTCATTAAAAAAATTATTAATTAATCGTCTTATAACAAGTAGTGTTCGACGTGGTACAAATATTGGACGAAAATTATTTCCACGTTTTTCACAATTAGTTGTTTCACGTTTTTCTGGTACAATGTGGGTCGATTATTCATTATTTTCGATTGATGAACATGTACATGAAATTTCACATAATATTCAATCTGATGAAGAACTTCAATCATATATATCAACATTATTATCAAATGAATTACCACGTAATCGGCCATTATGGCAATTATATTATAAAAATCGTTTAACAATACGTCCAAATGATAGTATACTTATATTTTTATATCATCCTGTTTTATCTGATGGAATATCATTATTACGTATTTTATTAAAACATATTGTTGATAATCGTACAACACAATTAGATATAAAACCACGTTTTGCTGGTCAACATGGCGAACATGTTATGTTTGATTATTTAAAAGCATATCTATTCGGACATAAACTTATATTTAGTAAATTATTATCGAATACATCTAGAGAAAACTTTTTTAAACGAATATTGTTTAAAAATAAAACTAATAATCATAATAATACATCAACTATTAATTCTAATACACAGCAACAACAACAACAACGGGTTGTTGTTTGGTCAACTCCATTTAGTTTAACACAAGCTAATCGAATGAAACTTGTCACAAGAACGCGTATGAATAATCTTCTTTCAACATTAGTTATTTCTACTGTCAAATTATATATGGAACGATATGGGTAAATTTTATTACTATTAATAAATAAATGTTGAAAAGGTTCAATATTTTTCGGTTGAAAGAGTAAAAGCTATTTTTTTTGTTTTATCAAGCATATAGAAAAACATATGAAAAATAATTTTTTTTCCTTACTTCATTAATTTTTTTTTCTTTTTCGTCATAGCATTATAAATCCAGCAAATATAAATTGCATAATGCCTTGTGATCTTCGATCAAATGTGGCTAATATTATTATGGGAAACCAATTATCACATCTTTGCATTGAATTACCTATGGATGTTGAAGGTAATATTCCAATTTTATGGTCATTTAATGATAGTACAAAACATGTTAAAGAAAATGGAGATTATGCTACTATGTATTTATTTACGCATATCATTTATCTTCTATTTCCTTTTTGTTTTGGTATGTTTAAATTAAATTTAAAAAAAAAGAAATTCATTTCATTAGATGATTTTTATTATTTTTAGCTAATAAGATAATAGCTAGAATTTATAACAGTGCTAGTGTATGGTTAACATCATTAGCTGCTGGAAGTAGTACAGCATTAGCTACAGTGTCAATATGTAATCGTGATGTACGAAGTTTAATATGTCTTAGTCCAAGTATTGGTACAGCTAGTCTTAATTTTTGTGTTACATCATATGCTGATGAAATTCGTCTTGTTGTTATTGCGGATCCAAATGTTATACCCAATCCAAGATTTCTTACAGAATGTTTTAATCAACAAGTAAAAAAAAAAACATAAAATTTTTTTCTCACTGTTTTTTTATACATTCAAATTGTTATATTTAGTTAAATGTTGTTCAAGATCTTCTTGCTCATAGACGAATTCCTGGTGAAATTCGTCGAATAATTCGACCACCAAAAATACTACCACAAAAGAAAAGTATCAGTAGTATATCTGATATGTCTGAGGATTTATCAATAGAAGAAGTAAAACTAAACGAAAAAACAAAATTATTATTATTATTATTATTGTTTTTGTTTTTAATTTAGATTCAAGCAAAAATGACAACATTACAACAAGAATTACTTTCATTAAAAAGTCAATTTGAAAATGTTGATATGAATGATGCGTCATGTCAAACTCAACGTTTAATAATCACAACAAAATTAGAAGAATTACGACGAGAATTTCGTGAATTACTTATTAAATTGCAGGAACGTCAATGTGAATTATCAGGTATGATACCAAGCGATGAAGAAGATGAAATGGATCCACATGTTCGTGTACGTTTACGATCGGCAAGTGTTGCTTCAAAAGTTTCTCTACGATCAAATGAACAACGACAATTATCAGCAAAGTAAAAATAATAGAATGCATTTTTTTTATTTGTATTCAATCATATTTTTCTTTTACAGAATGTATCAATTAGAAAAAGATGATGGAAGTGAATTTCATGCTACAATTGTTCATAAAACTCCTTCACCATCAAAAATGAGTTTATCAGTGCATCAAGTTGTAAATATTTTTGTTTTTATTTGAGGAAAAAGATTTTCTAATTAAATTTATCTTTTATTTTTCTTTATAATAGCAAGATCAACAAATTAACATGCGTCGTGCACAATCAGTAAGTATTTGTGAAAATACTCCAGCTGACATGCAATCACGAACAACATTGAATCATCCCCAACCAACAACAACAACATCTGGAAAATTTGAAACAGCAACGAATACTATTGTTCACCTTCATCCGAGTGAAAATTGGAAAAATGGAAATTAACGTATATATATATATATGTTTCCATTCTTGCTCAATTTATTTTTACTTTCATGTATATACGAATAAATCAGTCGACTGTCAAAACAGTTGAGATTTCTATTTTCATTTTGCTGTGCATATATTTGTTTATTTTTCATTGTTGTCTCGTTTTGTTTGCTTTTTCGTTATTATTTATCTTTTTATTTGAATCAATTAAGAACAATAAGAAAAAACAAAAGAAAAATACTATTAAACGCATGAATCCTTTTAACAAATTATTCAACTGATAAATAATGATAGATAAATAATGATGAAAGACATGTAAATTAGAGCGGAAATTATCATATTATATATTTAATTCGGTTGATTAAATGTTATTAGTAAAGCATGAAAGACATGCTTAGGTATTTTATGAAATACGATCTAAATGGAGTGTTGAAATATAGAGATTGAAATTTGAACTTCTCATATCCTACTTCATCCTACAGACGTGAGAGACACGTTAGAAACGGTTGATTACGGATGTAGCAAGCATCCTTAACAACGATTCATCACAGGAATGACATTCATCTTAGCAATGACACGTTACAAGACATCCTTAGCAACATTTCTCCTTAATTACAGATTATGACAGATTTGATTTATATACAAGCGCAGACTGTATATGAATAACATCTAGTTATAATAAATGAGCTACTTCCTTACTATATTGCTGAAGGATTAAGTAAAAAGATGATGAAATGTGTTCCAAAATAGATAGAATTACGCAATCATCCTACGATTGGTAACAGCAACCATGTCATGTTTAACTTTTTAATCTGGTAGAGATTGTGCTTACAGTTTTTTTTATTTTTAATAGGATTAGAAAAATTTTTCATAGTTTCGTATGTGGGTTTTTATATTTGAATTGTGTCAGTCGGTTGAAATAGAAAACAGCATGTTTTGACAGTTTACATAATGTTTCCGTTTTGCGGAAAAAAAAAGTACAATAATATACTGAAGAGTCTGTAGAAATACCGATGGAAGAGCTATACTGTTGTTGTTTTTTTTCTTTGTTGATGAAGTAATTTTAGTAAAGAACTAGGAGAAGGAAGTATTAGTAAGTTTTATTCGACTGAAAAATGCAGTACAAAACTTACAATGTCGATTATCGAAAAAAAAAAAAATGAATGATTGTTTCTACAATTGATTACGAAAAACTTTTCTCCAGAAGTTACTTGAGTTTTACTAGAAGCAAGATTTTTTTTTCTGTTAATGTAAATCAGAAATGTCATGTTTCGATCAATCATCTGATTGAAGTCCGAAAGAATGTGAAAATGAACAATTGCAAAATTTGTTACTAAAAGAACTTCAGTGATAGATATCATCATGATTTTCATGCAATACTATCAATTGATTAGTTTATTTGCATTCTGATTTATCGTCTATTATCAGCTGTCGTATATAAAATTACTTGTGCAAAGAGAATAATTGCTAAATTTTTAATGTCCACAAAAATTAGTCTTTTTCGCACATGATTTTCTGTAAGAAAATAGAACGTTCCATTGAAGATCCGACCAAGAATAGTATCAATTTGGTTTCGATAATATTCATTTGATGTCTAAAACGAATATTGAATGAGTTTTCATTCCGGAAATCATCGTGACAGGAAATAGCAACCTTTTATACGGATGTCGTTAAGGGAAAAAAATCCACGAAGGACAACTTAAATTCTGTGCGAAGCATTGCATTAATGAATAGAAAAAAAGAAATAAATTGTCATCATTTGCATCCTTTTATTCCTATTTAAAATAAGATTGACTTGAATATCATTACAGAGACATAGTAAAAAGCAAAAACTATAACATTTTTATAAAAGATTTAAATAATAATACTTCTTTTTGTCCGAAAAAAATGAAATAAATATTCTTGTTATTTTAATTCAATGATATCTATTTTAAAAATTCGAATTTTATTTTAAACTATTTGAAATCAATCACGAGTTGTTTTCTCTACTTGCAATCATCATGATTCATTGTTCAGTAATTAAAACTCATATACAAGATAGTCTATAAGTACTTTTATGATAAAAAATTTGAGTATTTTCACTTTGTGAAACTAATTTGTTTTTCCGTGATAGACAAGACTCCAGAGTTGGTTTTTCATCAGAACTTTATGATTTTCCAGATCATAACATGAATCTAAAATTTTAACATATATTTTTTCAAAATCTCTATATAAATAAGTACCAGACAAGTTTAAGTAACACTTGCTTTCACTTCATTGTACTTAAGAAAAGGCCGATATTCATATCGACAGCGAGAGAGAAAAAAAAAGCCACTTATAGCATAACGAAACATATGATCAAATCAAATATAGTTATCAAAGGACAAATATATACACACATGGATCTGTTAAGACCATCTTCAACATTGTAAAACATAGAAATTCATTATTGAAGCAAATGACGATACTTTAAAACAATATTTATAAATGCTGATCTTAAGGAAAAAACAAACTGTGAAGTCTTTACTGGAAAATGGTGTGTAGTATCTATCAGGTGTTACTTCCTCTTTATTTTATCAGGACATGATAACTCCCACTCAGAATACATGGCCAGGTATTATTTCATTTTTAATGGAATACAAAAGATTAACAATAGTCTAACTATTTATTTATTTATTTCATGAGATGTTTCATTTTTATGGGATTATAAAAGAAAATAGATATCAATATCATTTGCTATGAAATAAATAGTCAATAAAAATGTATTTTCTAAAGTGATATCTGCAAATATAACACAAATGATGATGTTATCGATCAATATTTTGGTTGTCTGTCTAATAGGATTTTCTAATTATGTTCATGGTCAAGGTGAAGGTAAATGTGATGCTGCTATTGATCTTACTCTTTTAATCGATTCATCCAGAAGCATTTCTTCTGAGGATTTTAAAAAAGGCAAAGAAGCACTAACTGATATTGTTAATCGACTTAATATTGGTGTAAAAAAAGCTGGTGTAGCGATTATTAATTATGCATCAAATTTATCACTTGTTGCTCAAACTAGCGTATTTGAATTTGATAAAGGAGAGATAATCAAACAGATTAATGAACTTTCACATTTTCGTACGAATACAGCAACTGGTAATGCTTTAGCTTTAGCCAAAAAGTATTGTGAAGTAAGATGTCGAAGTTTAAGTAAAGGAATTCCACGAATTTTTGCTATATTTACTGATGGTCATAGTAATGAAGGTCAACCAGTAATATCTGCTGCTCAAGCATTACGTAATGCACCAATTGAAGGCGAAGTTTTTGCTATAGGTATAGGAAATATTGGTCAAAAAGGTCGAGATGAATTAATTGGAATTGCTGGTGACAAAGCAAATGTTATGAATATTGATTCTTATCTTGACTTAATTGGTCTTTCAAATGCTATTGCAACGGAATTGTGTACATTTCCAGCTTTTATTTCACCTGAGACAAAAACTCAAACTAAAGTAACAGGAAATAATACTCGATATTATAAAATGCAAACATTACATAACGTACAAAAAAGTGGTTTTTTTGAAATTGAAGTAAATGATATAGAAGGACAAGTAAGTCTATTGAAATTTTTCTTTCCATAAATAAAATATTATATTTGGTATTATGTTTTAGAGTATTATATATACATCGACAACCAATAGAAAACCAACATCATATTCATCAAAAAGTGTTAGTAAACGTAGTGCAAAAGGAAGCAATGTCTATACAACATATGTACCAGCAAATGCAAAAAATTTTTACTTTAGTGTTAAAGGTGTTAAATCAACAATAAATAAATCGGATTTCGTTGTACATGTTCGACCGCTTGACTTTTAAAAAAAAACATGAATTTAATTAATTGAATTAAATAAAATAAGGAATTAATTCATCAATAATATCTTATTGTTGAATAGCAATGAAAAATAAAAGTATAAAAATTTATTTTCAAAAATGACAAATTTTTATCTTTGAAAAATATTCACTAGTATATACATATGAGATTAGTTCGTCATATATATGACTTGAATTTTTACTCAAATTTGCATAATGAATAGAAAGATTTCCTTCTTTTAAGCTCTTTTCGAAAATTCGACTATGAGTTTTAGACTAATTCCAAGCGATTCATAGAGCTTCAATTCAAAAATAATTTATCTGTAGTAGTGAGAACCCACAGATTCATGTCAATTTTCTTGTATCAACTGTCAATGTTCAATCCAATGTTATCATTTGGTTTCTTTGAAACGTTAAAAAAAATTATGAAATTGATCAGATTTTCTCTTAAAACTCATTAATTTCGACGATTTTGAACTTCATTTTTTTTACAACTTATTATAATATAATGATAGTATCAGGTGGAACAATCAAAACTGAACAGAATTGTTATAAAAAAAATTGACAGAACACTAAATTTTCAATATTAAAAGATAATCATTGAAAGTACGGTCTAGGAATTGATTCATCCCTATGGATTATATTATTTTCATTGTTATAGAAAAAGTCAACATAACTTTATCAACAGTTTATGTTGTTAATCGTTGCAATTTTATGAAACTATGAAAGTTAAGATGATTATACCGTTTAAATTTCATAAAAAGAGCTCTTTGTTTTTTTATATTCAGCATTAAGAATACTATTATCTTTTCTATAGGTAGTTACTATCTTATATTATCCATTGTATTTTAATTCACTCTGTTTTATGTTTACTATTCATATATAATGTTGATTAAACCCATAGGACATATTCTTCTTCAAATATGTTATCTATTATTGTTCATTTTTCTTTTGTTGTTATACAAAATTTCAAAAGCACCCAATATCCATAATCTATTCTTAACAAATACTATATATAATCAAACCCCAGTTATCAGCTAATGCTTAGTTACGATGTAATCAATCTAACATAAAATAATCTGTAAAGAAAAGAAATTATCGATATAATTAATAAACGCTTTGCATATAATTCAAATTTGTTGAGTTTATTGTATTTTGATATGTAGATAATGATTGTTTTCTTTCATAAAGAATTCCATCAAATTTGGTCTTATTGAACAATGATTAAGTAATATTCATTAACTATCGATATAGATTACTGATGTTGTACATGAATCAACATTCTATACTATTATATCTGCATTGTGAATATTGAAAAATTTGTTTTTTTCTTATCTTGTATTAACTGAACGTACTAGCAATCAAATTTGTAGAATTTTTCAGTAGTTCAAAAACAAATGTGGCATATACTGCATCAGTATTCCATACTACTTCAAATGTTTACTATTCTAAATCTCACGATCTTGAATCATTGAATGAATTTAAGGATACCCTCTCTTGTTCTTTTTACCGTTTGTGATTTTTGAACGCGGTACAACGGAGTACGCTGAGTTTTTTTTTACCACAGATGAAACACCAAAAATAAGCAGATGTGTGTTCGAGACCAAAAAAAAATTTAAGTGGAGTTTACCGTTTTTTCTGTGAGCCCGCGATTTTCTATATGACTGCATCTTGGTCGCCTACGAATCTCATTTAATTTTGTTCAATCGGGCTAAAATTTTTACCTTTCACACTTAGAAGTATCCTCCAGATGTAAAATTAACAATTTTCATTTTTGACTTTCCTACCTGGATTTACGGGACTCTGAAAGCCAAGACTCAGATTTTAGCACCGAACATTTACGTATTTCTCTCATGGAAAAAAAGAAATTGAAGTTTTTGGAAAACTTTAAAATTATCTCTGAAATCTAGTCTTAGATGTCTGCAAAAAACTTTCAGCCTAATCGAATAAAATTTGATGAGGGGTCGTAAGGTAGCAGGATGCGACCCTCTAAAAACCAGAGTTTTTCAGAAAAAAAAAAACGGCAAAAACACCACTTCAAATATTTTGACTCGAAAATATATGCCATTATTTTTTGTATTCTATCTGTGGTAAAAACTCCAGCTTGATCAGTTGTATTGGCTTCACGAACTAGAAACAGTGAAAAAGAGGGAAATATCCTACAACATATTGTTCATACTACTAATTCTAAGTAGTATAAAACTTTGTTTAAATAACATATTCTTTAGTTATCTTATTGAGAAGACGGATCACTCTTGTTGCATTGCATTGTTTACAAAATTAACCTCATTAGATAACAGAAGAACTAAGTCTTTGAAAAGCCAATATAAAATAATAAATAAATTTATGAAAATACTCTTTTCAAGGTTTTTCTTTTTCTTTCCTTTTACGCTTATTATAAAAAATATCAAATACGTATATAAAAAAAAACAACAGGTATGCAATAACCTTGTGTTATTCATATATCATTTGAGAGAACAATTTATACAGTTTTTTATATGAAAACTGAAAACGACAGACAAATTGTAATTGTAGCTCATCTTGATGATGAACAATGTATTGAGCCAATAAACGAAAAATTAAATGAACTAAAAATTCATTTCAATGAACATTTAAAAACAATTCCGGAATTATATTCAGAAGATGATGACCATGATTCAGAATATATTGATGGTTTTCGAATGAAACGTCGTTTTATTAAATCAAATCATATGTTATTATTTACTAACGAGCAAGATCGTCTTATTGAGATAACTGAACCAACACGACGTCAATCATATATTGATGTTCATAAACATTATCGTATAGATTTATTTGATTTATATATTTTATCGATTCATTTAACTCATAAATCAATGTCTTTAAATGATTGGTGGACAACTTTTAAGACTTTTATTACAATATCGAATATTGATAGGAACGAAAAACAAATTCAATTACTTTGTGCGCCTGCTTTTACTTTACCTTTACCAAAACAGATAGCACTTCAATCAGCTTCTTTAATAGAATTCTATGAAATATTTAAATCAACTATATTTTCAATTTATCGGCCATCAACATCAAGTCTAATGTCAACTATAACTTATATTACTCCAGCTATACAATTATCATTTCGACCGAAAATTCTTCAATGGTTTGATGAACGAATTCAAAATCATAAACGTTTAAAAGATCTTTTAAATAATAATTGTTTATGTTTAGTTGCTTGTGGATCTAAAAAAACATCATTTCAATATGATTTTTCTCTTATTGAATTTTCTATTATTAATCAATTTAATGAAAGTGAATGTCAATTAAATATATTTGTTAAAAAATTTGCTATGAAATATTTACATTGTTCATTAGATAATTATTTTCTTCGTACAACTATTTTATGGATATGTGAAATACATGATCTTGAAAATTATCATGATATATTTGAAGTTTGGATATCATTTATGCGTGATGTATGCCGAAAACATTTTTTAGCACATTATTTTCTTGAAAATGTTAATATATATGAAGAACATTCTGGTTTAAAAGATATAATCAATACAATTGATTATAAAAATATTAATTTATTTATTGAAAAACTTGAAGAAAATCTTATTTTTCCCTATTTTCATCAATATAATGATCGTCTTAAATGTTTAATAAAATTTGTTGAATCTCAACCTGTTTTAGCATTTAAAATGAAAGTACTTTATAATGTTATTGTTAAATCAAAATTTCTTAATGCTAATAATTCATTACATGAAATGTGTAGTATACTTTGTCATTTATCATTTTTAGAAGATACGGATCAAGAAAAGATAATTAGTTTTTGGTATCAACAATGGAAACCATATTTTTTAGATTTTGATCGAGATGATATTGTTCTTCAACAACCATCCGTTGATTATCCACCAGATCAATTAGCTCAACATATGACAACAAGTATATTTAAACTTGTTCAAATAGATTTAAATCAAATGATTAATTCTCTCAAATCGAATATATAATAAATAAAACGAAAAGAACATTTATTTATCTTTGATTAAGAAAAAATAAAAGAAACAACAAAACACAAGACTAGACTAGTTAGTGCAAAAAAAATGATATCACATATGAAAGAAAACTTAAAATATATCTTATTTAATCTATTCAATTCGAGATTCAGCTATATTTAATATAATTTGAATAGATTTTTGTGCTTTTTGAAAGTACATATTTGCTTCTTCTTGATAACTGCTTGATGATTTCTAAACAATATTTTATAAATATAATCATATATACGTCGAAATTTAATTGTTTACTTTTGTTTGTGATTCATTATCATTATTATTATCAGTATTTTTAAGTAATGATAAAGAAAATATTTCAATACGTTTACATGCACCATATATTGCTGTTTCAAGACATTTAATACCAACCTATGATTGTGATATTTAGGTAAATTTAATTTAATTTATATTAATAAAAACTTACAAGAAAATCTGCTTTTGCATTTAAGTTAAATAATGGTGCTAATCGTTGAAGTGGTTCCCATAAATCATTGATTTGACGAATGACTTGCATTGAAACCTCAAGACATCGTTGTAAACAACGATCTTCAGTTATTTGTTTACTATAATAAAAGATATTAAAATAACAATTGTTCATTATCAAAGCAATTTTTAAAGAAAATTTAAAATTTTTATTTTACTATCACTATCATATTGCAATAGAAAATTAAAATCTTCTATCAACTTTATATTTCCTTCGTAAATAACAAGTATAAAAATTTTCGAATAATTGAACAAGAAAATTATGTTAAGCTTAAGATTTGTCCCGAACGGATGACGTCAGAAGATATCCCTTCAGTCTTGAAAAAATTCCTTTGTTTCCGACGGAGTTTCAGTGTTTTATTCAATACTTCAGATGAAATAGCTACAATTTGAAAATTTTTATCGACAGAAAATTGTGTTGATAGATTAACCGAGAAGCCAGCATGGGTCTTTCGACGAAAATAATATCTGTGTTTCACTCTATAGAATGTTATTATCTTCAAGAAAATAAATTTTGTTTAAAAAAGTAAGAATTTTTTGAGAAGAATTAATATGTACAATGAGACTTGACTTTTCTTACAAATGTCACAGATCTAACAAAAGTTTTCTTGTCCTTTCTTCTTTTATGTAATAATAAATTTTTATTTTCATCTGCATTGAGAAAACATAGTATAAACTTGTTTTTTTATTAATAGTCAAAGTATTTATTTTCACTTATTCGGATTATAATGTATGTACCGATGACTTTTTCTGTATCGACGTCGAAAAATGATTTCCGAAAGAATCTTTATGAACAACTGAAATAACATTACAAATTTTTCGATGATTGAATTGTAAGAGAAGGCAGAGATTATTCTACCACAGGGAATATATAAACTAAAACATCCTTTATTAATACTATATATATACACTCCTGGACAAAAGTAACCGCCTCCCCTGAAGTAGTTCGAATTTTATTGATATTGAGCTGAGTTTTTCTATACATGTGAATCATGATTAATGCTGATCGCAAGCACTGACCCGCTCTCAATTGATTGCTGTATACTTGAGTTATGAATCGAACATTATCTTCNTTTAATGGTCAAAATGTAAAAAAAAATTTGAAAAATTGTGATATAAAATATCCTTGACGACCGCTGCTTTCCAAATCGAATGTGTGGAGAAAAGTAAATAGTTCACGTTGTAGAGCAAGTTTTGCTCTATCGAACTGCTAATACCACCATTCTGGTTCATTCCAACTTTCTCATCGATTTTTTCAAACAGTGTGCTTCTCTAGTACATTACTTAGGAACCTAGTGGACTGTATAAAATTCGTCAAATCTTTTTAATTCCTATGGATTCTGATGCAGTTTTGCACGAGGAATTCGAAAATGTGATTACTTGTAAAATCCGAGTAAAAAAAGTGGGGCTATCATCGCTATTTCGATAAAATTACAAGTTTCATTTTTTGTTGTTGAAAAAAGTGCATTTTTCGTATTTGACCCATATCTTCGCGAAAACAGAGTTTATTTAAAAAAAGTCTATTACCAAAATGATCAGCAAAAGTTCTCTACAAACCATGAAAGTTTCAATGAATTTGGGCGTAGTCGCCGGATAGACCTGGTGACATCCGGTGGAATGACTCATATCTTATTTAGTCGGGCTAAACGAATACAAAATATGTAAAGTAGAAATTCTGTCGCACATTATAATTGTTTTCCAAGATAAACGACCGACAGAAAAACAAAGAGTTACGTTTTCTTCTATTAGCGCACTAGTTTTTGTCTAAATTGTTGCTATTTACTTATTATTTTCATTTTTTCTATTTTGTTTTCGCATTCCTTTAAAATATTAACGTTCAGGCAACATGCGAAAATTCAACTTTTTTTCGGATCTGTGAAGTGTGATCCTCATATGAAACGTAAGATGACAATAACTACTAGGATAATCTGCTGTCTTTTCTCTCTTTGAAACAGACGAACTACTATATATATAAGAAACAAGTGGGAAAAATCCATAAGATGGAATATCCGCTAGGTGATGATACATGAGAAGGAAAATCACCTGTGAAATATCAAGAGAAAAGGAAAGAAGTGAAGAAAGAAAGGAAAAATCCATCACACATATCAAATAATAACATGAATAACACAAGAGAGGAGATAACATACTACTACCTAACAGGGTCCCATAATAATATTATTGCAAAACTTGTTTTTTAAGTTACTTTGATTTGTAGAATTATTCTAATCTTTAAATTATTCGAATTCCGAACAGTCGTTTCACTGAACGTAGTTTCGATGTGTTCTCATTAAGAAATCGAAGTGTCAAGTCAAAACCGAACAATTAAAAAAGAAACGTTGTCAAATATTATTAGGAAATTAAAAAAAAAAGGCTAAATTCTTGTAACTCAGCTAATGGTAATTACTTTAAGGAACATTTTTCTAGTTTGTTCGTAGAAATAAAACTTTCATGATATCACCTATTGTGCGAATAAATATTTTTGGATAGGAACTTTTAGGATAACTTGTAAATGTTTCGTATTGAGTCCACAAAACCCAGCTGCTCAAAGGAAACTTCTCGTAATTCTTAGGACAATATTACTTGCTCAGATTATTGTTATCTTTGCTATTGCTTTAAATATTCTATTTCATTGAAAAATGTCAATATTAAGCTCTTTCTCAAATATTAGGTAGTTGAGTAATAAAATGTCATTTACAATACAAGATCACATAACAGTCAAGCAGTAAATACTCTGTATTTTGAAGATTTAATGTCGATTCTTTGTATACTAAAAAAAACTCAAAGTTCATATTTAAAATGAGTGACTAAATGGATTATTCGATGAATAAGTGTTTAAATATTAAGATCAACTCAGAGATTGACTAGAGAAAATGTGAAATGACTGAACATATAGCAATTTTCTAATACTTAGAAAACTGCAATCCGAATTGTAATTACTGACCAATGTTTCACTTGACTTGCAACAGTAAATTTATCTTTATTTTAATCAATACCTAGTGCTGAAGTTTGAAGCGGATTTTATATAGTTACTTGAAACTCTAATAGTCTTAAACAACTCATTCTATAAGTGTGCTCGTAGCGAACGTTCTTCATTAAACGCTTAAACTAAAGAACAAGTCTGGAATATTGTCAATCTAATTCTTAACGAATGAGTCTCACCTTTTTGTTTCGTCTAACTTACTTGTATTGATCATTGTAGCTTAATCTATATCAAAACTTTTCAAAAAGAGCTCATGGTTCTCATACACATAATATACATATGCATTACTGATGCCAAATCGTACACTGATTCTTACTATGTGGTAGAACTTAAGTCAATAGTTCCATCTAGGTAACTGTACTTCGAATGAGTGTTCAAGGCTGAACGAAAGAGAAATTGTTTCGAATGTTGACGAATGATGAATTATGTTTCTATCTGATGACGAGAATAATAAAATAAAATAAAAAATAACGAATTCTTGAAGCTTGATGAAACCATTTAATTCGAACTTATTTTTGGATGCTGATGGGTAATAAGAAAATACATAAAGTTAATTCTCTTCCGTAATCACACATGTTACTAATACATTTATCTCTATTTTTACAAGTGAGAAAAGGAAAAGATTTTTAATATTGTATTATTCAAGGGAAGAGGAGTAATCTATAAACTGAATATGATATCTGCACATTTGATGCTATTAGCTATTCTTTCTGCTTACCATATAAAGATTGCAACCTTTCTATTATCTATTTGCCCGTTAATCTAGTGTACAGTGTACACTAAAACTAGAGTTGACTTTCTTAAACGTGGAGTGAAATAAATTGACGTTCGATAACATGGTATTATAATGTTCTTTAAAATTGCTTGTTTTCCTTCTCATCACATATTAGCAAACAATAATATTTGTCTTAACAATCTACCATTCTACTGGGACATTAATGAGAAGATACAGTGAGAATATCTCTAAAACTATGATGAAGACTCATTACAAGAAGTCATTTCAATTAGATTTTTACGTTTCTCGTTACTTTAACTTCTATTATTGATAGTGGAAAGTGCTTTCTTTGAAATTTGTACATAGCAGCAATAAGTAGCGTAGTTAATCTTCCATTTTTCATTAGTAATCCATAGGCATTATAATGATCAGTTACTTATTACTAATAAGCAATAAATACCAACACGTACTACTTCCTAAAAAATTGGCAAATTGATTATTCACTAGTGATTGCTATATCATTTAAATGTATTCTATCACTTATAGATACTGCAGATTAGTTAAACTAACTATTTGCTAGCGGCAGGGGAGGAGCTATAATTGTCGACGGCTAGCAACTAGCACGTAGCTAAGCGGAAAAATCGTTTAAATGTGTTTTTTTTTCCGAAAAAAAATACGATATTAAGGCGTTTTTAACAAATTCGGTCAGAATTTTGGAAGATTGACTGCTAAGAGGCGTTTAATGTGAAAATGTCGTCGATAAACACGTTATAACGCGTTTGTTACCGTTAATTATTTGCCTAGGAAGATAGAAAAAAAGCTCTTTAGAAAATCATTATAGCTATTTATTTGCTACACAGCCCACCAATGCTTTTGGTACACTAGTAGAGCGTGTCGCTCCGTTTCCTCACATATTGTTTAGTATTGCTGCAAACGTAACATCTTTTTTGAAGAGTTCGGTTGCTTTTATTTGAAGAAATTAGAGACAGCAAAAGTTTGACCGTCAATCACAATGGATGAGCAGTGAATGATCCGTCAACATTGGGTCTCTTGGAGCCATACTGCAATAAATCCTTGAATAAGAAAAAAGAGAAGAATAGATAACAATATGTACAATAAATTGACTATTCCCTCTGCATACTCTTTTCTAAGGACACGACTATAGAACCTACCATTATGATGTGATGGTATCACAAACTTTAGTTGCTTGCTGCTTATTTCTATGCGGGTGTGGGTGTAGGTGTATGTCACCAGATGATCGATACCCATGCTTACTTGAAAATACTAGAAAAATATTCGAATAGATTTTTAAAAATGCCTACAAACAAGGAACAGAAGGCTTACAACATATAATAACGTCTGTTTGAATTTCAAAAACATGTTATTAGTGCCTACGTCGTATTGATTAACATTATAAAAATAGAATTCATTTTATGTCACACCATATGGTTTGCCTTCTTACGTCTGTTATCTCAAAAATGTGTAAAACATCGACTACTACATAGTAAAATTTTATTTACATCTAGTTAAAATTCAATTCCTATTCAGAAAATATTCATAAAATTATAGGGTACATTTCACAATATGAAGTAACTTCAATTTAAAGTAGCCTCATTTGCTATTTCATTTGCCAGTAACTCTTCAAATAAACAGTAATGCTGAAAACCACTTATCCAAAAGAAAGCGACACATTGTTAGTATTCTGGGTATGAGTGTCGGTAGGAATGCATTTCAACCGACACCCACACCCAGATCCACACATATATCCTTTTTTTAAATCCTGTGTCGACGAAATTCTATTCTGCGAAACATTCTTTTAATGAAATGCTTTTCTACGAAAATTTTTCGGTGAAATGTCTTTTCGATAAAATGCCCTATTGACGAAATACTTTTCTGCAAAATAATTTCGACAAAGTTACTTCGACGAAAAGTCTGTCGACTAAAGTGTCGTTCGACAAACAACATAACATTCGTTAGTCTTCTCTTCATCCACCCCCGCACTGACAGTATGTCGAGATTGTTTGGCGACTGCAAGTGCCATGATTCTATTTGTTATCATACTGTCTTGGAAATGTATGACTCATAACATGTAACTTTGTAAGACATGTTTCTCTTAGACACTATTTATTCACTATGCGTCTGAAGTTATCTACAGCACCTCTCTCTACAGCATATTCATGTCGACAAAGCACAGCCAGATTGTGAAAAAAGATGTACCTTTGCCGAATGCTAAAGATCAAGACAAGTTAGCTTTCATCCTATTGAATGTTTTCACACCGAAAGAATGTCAGGATTGGATTGAGTTGACTGAACAACGTGGTTATAGTCCTGCTAAAGTTAATATAGGTGGCGGACGCGAAAAATTAATGACTGATTTTCGCGATAGTGATCGATGTATTATTGATGATGTGAATATGGCCAACATTCTATTTCAACGTATCGAATCATTTTTGCCGAAAACATGCAACGATTATCATTTGGTCGAACTCAATGAACGCCTTCGGTTTCTTCGGTATGATCCGGGTCAAAAATTCGAACCACATTTTGGTAAGACTGCTCATATGGTATTCTATTTGAATACAATATTATTTTGACTTTTCTATGTAAAGATGGTGTTTACGCACGTGACGATGGTTCTGATGAGAAAAGCATGATTGTGAGTACGCTGCAAGATGAAAGTATAGAATGTTCAGAAAGGTCACTTTTCAAAAAAGTGTCAATAAATCGTCCCCTTTTCAAGTGATTCATGTGACTTTTTCATCGACAACTATTGTTTTAAATAATCTGCATCAACTACAATGCATGAACCGATTTGTTTCAAAACATAGAAAAACAGTCCATAAAGTTGGTTCTGAGATCATTGTAATTTCATCATCATTTCTTATTCACACATCAAAATCATGTGAAATAGAACTTCAGAAAACATCTTATGAAATGATGACAAGGTCACGTGAATCGCTTGAATCATTGAAGATATCTTTTGCAGTTTTATTTCACGGTAAACTTTTGGGAATCGCCTGAATATTCCATAACACATATGTAAAATGATTCTCAATTTAGACTATACAACTCTACTTGAATGAAGGGTACAAGGGTGGTGAAACGACCTTCATCCACTATACTAATTAGTTGTTATGTATTCTTTCTTTCTTTCTTACTCTATTATCACCGAGACAGCAACGTGATGGTATTACAACAGAACGGAACAAAAGGATAATCTCCCTCCGAGGGAATCGAACCCACGTCTTCTGCTTTCCGGGCAGCTATACTACCACTGTACTAGAAAGGAGCGTTTATTATTCGTTTTGTTTCGTCTTATGATCAAAGGGGAACACTTCGGTCATAACATTAGTGAATTTCATGGTCCAAAGGCTAATTGTTGGGATAATGATTATCCATCATTTCCTAGGCGAGTGTATAATTATTGATTTAAGTGGTCGAAATTTTTTTAATGTTTTGTTTTTGTTAAAAACTAGATTGTATAAGGTTGACTGTACCTATGCATGTTTTCAATAAAAAAGTACGTTTCAAAAACTATTCAATTGATAAAAACTAATTTCAGAAAAGAAAAATAAAGGATGTTCCAAAAGTCTGCCGAAAAAGTAAATTCGTATAACTTCATGATCCACCAAACTTAATGAATTAAGTTTTTTCAACTGATAAGTATCTCTGTGAAGTTATTATTTATAGGGACAGAGTTCACAAATACGGTTCAAACTTATCACTTTCGACTGAAATACAAAAGGCAATCTTTTTCGATTTAAAAAACAATGACTTTGCAGTGTTTCTCTTTTAAAGCTTTAATTTCTTTTGGTGTTTATATCAGCAAGAGCTTACGCTACAATTTATATGCATTTGTTGATATGCCACTGCAAAAAGGAGCCTAATGGTGTCAAGTCCGATGATTACGAAACCCATAATATCGGTTTGACTTTTCGAAAGATAACTAATAAATCGGAGAAAATGAATCGATCTCATGAGCTTCGTGATCATCGGACATGACACCATTAGGCTTCTTTTTGCAGTAACATATCAAATCAAATGCATATAAATGATAGCGCAAGCTCTGGCTCATATAAACGCAACAAAAAACACAAGAAATTGAAGCATGTAGAGAGAAACATTGCGAAGTAGTTTGTTTGAAATCGAAAAAGTCTGATTTTTGTATTTCAGTCGACAGTGATAATTTTGAGTCGTATTTGTGAGGTTTGTTCGTATAAATAAAAGCTTTACAATAATACCTATCAGTTGAAAATAATTAGTTGATTAACTTTGATAAATGGTAGAGTTATACGAATTTACTTTTTCGGTGAACTTTTGGAATACGTCGTAGGTTCAGTTATTCCATAATCTAAAAACATGCTTGCCATGACAACATATTGCACAATGTGAATTGTGAGTGATCGTAAGAAGATCACTGAAAGAAGTTGTGTGATTTCTCAAAAAACGAAGTACTTATTTGATTAATAGAGAATTTACCTGTATAAGTCGAATGTAAATAACATAGGCGGAGATTCGCGAGTCACGGTGTTACTCTACCTCCGACGGAATGATGCTAAACTTTTTGGAAGTGGTGCAAAGCTGGGCAAAATACTCAAAGTACTCGTACATCTGCTTGAGCATCAAGCCCTGCAAAGGAAGAGGGCAGATAACGTCGTTTTTCTGCCGCCAAAATAGTTCAATGTTTTGTGTTGAAATCAATTCAGTGTGGACCTCTGATGACATTTAAAATATTTATTTCGCAATGTCTCTCGATCAACTTTTCGAGTCATACCCATACTTTCCTCACAGAAATGGCTAGCTTTTTGTTGATCCCCTAAAGGCGTATGGCTGTGACACGAAAAATTGACCAAGAGGCGTTATGAAATAAAGCTTTCCAATGCCATCGAGAGTCCTTACTAAATTCTTTTCAACATAAAAAGCTAAAATATTTTAAGAGCAGGAAAAGTGATCTTTTCCGCTTTCGTTCTTTTAGATAAAATGCGTCATATTAAAATGATGCCAGGTACCTATTCATGCCCTTTGAAGATGAAACAAGTAGCTAATTTCTTCCATTCCTCCATCTTATGTAAAATGCACCCATACATATTCGATAATTATACTATGACGGCGATGAATACATATTTTCAAGTAATGGTCGTCGAAATTCTTTTTTTCCAGTGCGAATTTCGCTGTATTCATACTCGAAAAAGTTTGTACTTCCCTACCCCTGCGACGGCAGCGAAACACTGCGATATTTGTTGGTTTCTCGCATTTTGACGATACCATCTTTTCTTTTGATAGCACAGCTAGATCTATAAAAACTAGTGATCGTTATTATTAGTCCTTTGTATTATGAAACAGTATATATGGATTTTATTAAATCAAGAAAAATTTGTCCTACATAACACAAAAATCTTTTGCAGAATCTCAATACCTATACTACTTACATTCCGATTTCGACTCATGTTAAATACCAATTTCTGTGACTTTCACACAAAAAGAAGCAGCATCGGATTTGCCGCTTCTACCTGTATGCACCATTAGAAATTAGCAAGCACATCATTTTTCAGTCCTATGATGATGGCAAAAGTTTAATAATAACGTATTTTTAATTGTTTTCTATGATGTTAAGTATCTAGCTTAAACTCGAATAGTGATTTAATAACCAATGGAGTTTTCTATCTAATACATTCTATACCAAGATTTCAGAGATGACCGAACTATGGTGGCAAGGTTTCAAAAACGTAAGGTACGGTAGTTTTCAGGTCACAGAAGACTTTATTGGAGCTATTTTTTAACAGTGGCATCTGAAAGAGCACAAAATTCTGAACAAAATGGGGGGGGGGGGGGTCGACGCATTTTCTATGACCTTTCCTTAAAAGCGATAAGCATCAGAAAAAAAAGCCGTTTTTAGCAGTTTTTTTTGATAAATTTCGCTTTTTTTCCGTTTTTTGTGATGCTTGTAACTTTTTAAGAAAGGATTTTAGAAAATGCGACCCCTAATTTTGCTCAGAATTTTCTGCTTTTTAAGATAGCACTGTTCAAAATAGCTCCAGCAGAGTCTTCTGTGGCTTGAATACTGCTAGGTGTGGATTCTTTTTAGAAATATAGCCGTCGTGGGTTATTATAAAATCTAGGGATAGAATGCATTTTATAGAACATTTCATTGACTATTAAATTTACTATTTGGATTTGAGCTAGGTGCTTAACATTATAGTAAAATCCGTTGTTGCTAAACTTTTTGTCGCTACTATAGTCTCTTAAATTCTCTAAATATTTTTATCCTAATCTGCAAACTCGTGTTAAAAAAGTCCCCATCCTATCGGCAGTATTTTAAGACAAAGACAAGTTTTACTTTAAAATAGAAATAAAATTAGAAAATTTAGAAATATGAAGGATATACTTTCGAAAATTTCAGGAAGTTTTTATTTACATAAACAAAGAAAAGTCAGGTTTTTTAAAGTCACAAATTTAACTTTCGATGAAAAACGAACGCTATTACGAATCTACATTTTCAGGATTGATCCTAGTTTCGCTCATCACTGTCTCATATTCCATTCAGGTGCAGGCTTTATCATTCACGAACATGCTTGATACCAGCAAAGTGAAACGGACATGTCATCTAATAAAAACTATCAGAAGTAATTAAGAGGTGATTGGGATAACAAAATATATTTGTTCTCAATGACCGAAACGCAACAGATCATCTTTTACTATTATCTTTTCATCTCTTCTCACGTACTATTGAATCAATTTGAACTCTTGCAGAGTGGCCAAATCATAATCTCGAAATAATGTTTTTATTCGAGCTCTAATATCATCTCTTATTACTGGACGGTTTTTACAGTTTTTCTCTTTTCATAAGGAGTGCTTCAATGGGACTTCCTTCTTTTTTTTGGAAGATTCCTTTCGAATTTCCTTTTTTCTTATACTGTTCTGTTGCGACTCCTGTAGTTCAGAATAGACTGATTTCTACAAATCTATATAACGAACTTGTTCACTATTATCGTCCATTATCGTGTAATATACCCGTCAAAAATTTAATATTTGCTTTAAAATCTTCTCAATAATATAATTCTATGTTCAATACTCTTGAAAAACTACTATAGAATATAATCAATTATTTAAATCCTATTCCTTTTTTATTTTCATATTATGATTTCAACCAGTGTTATTATTCCCATTATATATAAATAATACCATTGATAACTGATGTCTTAATTTATTATTTATCATGATTGAAGTATATTTTAATTTTCTTGTCGAGTTTCTTTTTATTTAAATGATTTATACAAGATTAATATTTACAGAGAAGGAAAATATGAATGAAAGTTTTGTGGACGAACAAATAGGTCATGTGTTTTTAGAATTTTTACTTTAGCACAATTGAGACGTGTCGCATCATTAGTAAAATTATTTGTCACAGTTGCTAATGTTTGATATTTAATTATAAGATGCATTAAACAAGATAAATGAGTGTTTCTGTCAGAAAGAAACTGTATGACATAATCTTTGTGTGCTTTGTTAAGATTGAGTCTCAACAGATGATTAAATGTAATCAATGTAGATGAATCATGTTGATCATTTTCTTGTGGTTCAAGATTATATATGATTAATAATTGAAGAAAAGGAAAATCTTGAGAGATAATTTTGAATAATTTATGTTCAAATGGACGTTCATCAAACATTGATAACAGTCGAACTTTATCAAATTTACCACCTTGAAAACAGCTACTCATAAACAAGAAATCATTAAATGGATATGGAATAGAATAAACATGACAGTGAGCCATATCATTTATAAATTTATCATGGGCGCACGCATCCATTGATTGAAATCTTCTTTTAATGAAACTCTTCCGAATTTCATCACTCGATGGCAGATCAAGTTCCAGACCAATGTCATAAATTTGAGTGTGTATACAGAAGATAAATTTATGCAGTCGTGGCATATAGTTAAGAACTTCATCGTATAACTGATGACCATTGATATAAGTTGGTTCCATTCTTAATCTTACTACTGAAAGTTGTAACGTTAATTCTTCAAGATTTAACATTCGACGAAGTAATGGAACAATCTGTTCATCATAAAAATATGTATGTTTGTCTGCTCGTAATGAGAAATATTTCAATTTGACAAGTTTTTTCTAAAGAAAACGAGACAATTAGCAGATTTCAATGAACAAATTTGTTTATATTCAATGATCACACTTATACTTACTGTATTATCTATCCTCGATGATGAACGCTTAATTTTGTTGATACGAATGATTAACGTAGATAAAGATTCGAGACTTCCATTAAGAAGATAAAGACAATCATCAAAACCATTGACTTCTATTGTCAAGTTAGTGAGAGTTGAAGATAGAAAACTTCTGTATGAAGTAGCCCAAGATGAAAATGTTAGATAATTTGTTGAGAATGGCTGAGAAAAGGTCAAATCAGTTAAATATTTACCGAGCCATAATATCAAGAGAAATATATTTTGTTTTTTTCCATTTTCATTATGTATTTCTGCTGTCTCAGGATAAATATCGGCAGTAAGATGTGTAATTTGATTACAAAGAAGATCAGCTATTAAGCGACCTGAAATGTAAATAAAAACATTAGCAATTAATGATGTCAAATACAATTTATGATTATACTTGATAAATGTTCTAAGAATATATCAGATTGAAAATTGACCAATGATAATGAATGCAGTTGAGGATAATGAACAGCATCAAGAATACGTTCCACAGAAAATGGATCAAGAGTGAGCTTGGTTACTTTCTCATTAATTTGAGGTAAGATTTTTTCACAAATTTTATCAATGTAAACATCTACCGAAGAATTATCAATATGAAATCGTTGGATCACAAAATCCAGATGATGAATATAAAGAGAATCGAGAGCTAGTCGATCAAATCGCTTATTTACACCTACTAATGAATAGAATATATCGATCGTATTCAATTTATTAAAAATGATGCGTAATATTTCATCCGGTAGATCGAGAATATTAATATCGTTGCTGTTTAAAATGTTCATCTCGAATAAATATTTTTCACTTCAACCATTCTTATCTTCTTCCAGTCTATATATATGTCGTGCCGAAGTTACACCGATTGCCTAAGTTATAACTTAGGCAAAAATTTTGCCGAAGTTACAACTTTGTCGTTTTTTCTTGCCGAAGTTATAACTTAAGCAAAATTTTTGTCTAAGTTATAACTTCGACATTCATTCTTGCCAAAGTTATAACTTAGACGTTCATATTTTGTCGAAGTTGTTCCTAACATATAAATCAATATATTGATTTATATGTTAGGAACAACTTCGACAAAATATGAACGTCTAAGTTATAACTTTGGCAAGANTAGCTGATGCATTACGAACTAATACAGTAACGCGGATGCTCTTCTCGTCTCTCTCATGTCACCACATCAACCCTTTGATGTAGACACTTATAACACTAGATATTAAGTACAATAGTATTCGACATGAAGGTGCAAAACATCTTGGCGATGCATTACGATACAATAATGTGAGCCTAATTCTCACTTCATGTCTTTCATGTAACCATCTCGTTTTTTTTCACATAGACACTTACCGCACTAAATTTTTATAGGAGTGAGATCGGAGACGAAGGAATACAGCATCTAGCTACTGGATTACGAGAGAATACAGTGATTCTGATTTTCTCTTTATTTATCTTCTATCCACATATCCACTTCTTTCCAGGGAATCACGGAACTGGTTCTTCGCGGTAATAAAATAGCAGACAAAGGAGCGCAACATTTGGGAGATGCATTAGCAAAAAACACGGTGACCATGAAGCTCTTCCTTTGTATATCATATATCGATCTCAAATTTCTTGCACAGACACTCAGCAAACTTGATCTCACGGACAATCCAATCGGAGACAAAGGAGCACAACATTTGAGTGCTGGATTAGCAACAAACAGAGTAACCTCTATTTCCTTTTGATATCTGTCTCACTCAAATATCTAGTTTTTCGGCAGGGAATCACCGTACTAGATCTGTATGAAAGTCATATCGGAGTCAATGGAGCAAAATATTTGGCTGATGCACTGCGAACTAACACAGTAACTCAAATTATCTCTTCGTTTCGGCGAAATCACGATCTGCATATTTTCTCATAGACACTCAGGAACCTAGGACTCGGTGAGAATCAAATCGGAGACGAGGGAGCAAGACATCTGGCGGATGCACTACGAAAAAATAAAGTGATTCTAATTTTCTTTTCATCTCTGTCATATCCTCATCTCATGTTCATCACATAGACACTCGCCGAACTCACTATCTGGAAGAATGAAATCGGAGATGAAGGGGCACAATGTTTCGCTGATGCATTACAAGAGAACACGGTAATCCTCATTCTCTCTTTGTCTATGTCCTATCCCAATCTGATTTCTTTCATATAGACATTAACCTCACTAAAAATTTTCTGGAATCATGTCGGAGAGGAACTTGAAGAATTCATCAGAAAGTTGACAAATCAAAATAAATTTGACAAGAAAGAATGATTGAAGAATTAGAATTCAAAGCGGAGAAATGCGACTTGGATTCAGAACTCGGTTTTATTCAAAACTCTTTCTTTTGAAATGTATTTTTGAATACAATGAATAAGAATGCTATTCATGTTAGATGGTCCATAGCACGATTTTCTATTCTTGTCATTCAGAAAAAGACGGTAACTGCTATCAGTCGGTGCTCGCCTTAAATCTGTTCCGTGCTGTGAAATGTCATGACTCCATGAATTGAACCGTTTATTTTCCATAGGTATACGTTTCATATATAACTATTGCTAGTGATTTTATGCTACGTATGGTTATGTACGAAAAAGATGAGAGAGAGTTTTGAATCCGGGAATTGTGGGTGTGGGTGTGGGTGTGGGTTCAGGTGTTGGGTGTGGGTTCAGGTGTGGGGTGTGGGTTCAGATGTGGGTGTGTGTTCAGGTGTGGGCTCAGGTGTAAAAAAAATGATCAGTTGAATTTTACGACTATTGCTAGAAAAATGTTTATATAAAAGATCATGATGTTAAATAAATTCTTATATTTCTATTCAGAATGTCTATTTCGGGTGGTTTGCCATTTGACACAACGTCGTCAACAATTAAATCTCGTCATTTATGTTCACTTTGTCAATATTTACTTGTCGAACCCATGTGTACTACATGTTGTCATCGATATTGTTCTGCATGTCTTGAAAAATTAATAAAGTATATTTTATATATTGAATTTTTTTGCTTGAAACTCTGTTTTTTCTGTTCAGTAGCGAACAATTTCCAATATGTTCTATCAAAGATTGTACTCGAGTAATTACAAATAATATAGTAAGTGATAAAAAAATCTAAATAAAACAACAATAGTATTTATACACTATTTTTTTCTTATAGATTTATACAGATTCACCTATGAAAAATGATATGAAACGTTTGACAGATATTGTTTGTCATAATAAATCAAAAGGATGTTCATGGAGAGGAGATTATACATCATATGCAGTAAATTTTTAGAATAAATTTAAAAAGACAAAAACCTCATATTTGTCTTTTTTCTGTGAAGAATCATCTTCAAGTTTGTACAGTTGAAGGCTTTCGATGTGAACAGTGTTCATCAACTTTTACTGATCGTCTTTTATATGATCAACATGGTCAACTTTGTCCAAAAGTTCTTATTTCATGTCCATTAAAAAAATTCGGTTGTGATATTCAGGTATTATTTGTATTTTTTTTCATTTTGCTTTCAAAAACAAAATCTAAATTTCCTAAATACTAAAAGAAATTAAAACACATTTAATAAGTTAGATATAAGATGTTTTTAGCATAACAATTGCGTCTCGTTTCATCTAAAAAGTAAATCATGATTGAGTTAAGAATGAATCTATATATTCATTTCGACTAAGAATTCATTGAAGTGAATGGAAATGAACGGAAAAATATAAATTGTTGCTGAGAAATAGTTTTCAATTCGATGTTAATAGATCTATGAGATGTTTAACTATATACATACATATTAAAGGAAACATAATTTTGTGTCTATTCTCAAAGATTGATGCGTTTTGATTTTTGAGTGTTAATTTTCAAGTTAGATATATCGTTGATAAAAATTGTCTGTAATTGACAGAGGAGATTTAAAAAATGAAGACTTCATAAATTATGCTGAGATATAAAATTTACAGGGTTGAACGGTTTATAAAAATCAATTTCAATGATCAAAATAAATCTATTATCATATGTTAACAATTTTTTGTTCTTTTCATCATTTTTGACTAATTTTAACGTAAATCTGTTCTATACAGAGATGATCATAGTCACATCTTAAGATAGAACAAGGTTAATGTTCTTTTACCCTAAAAAATTGAACATCAAATATTGATCTTTCAAAAAGAGCGGTTTTTTTTTGAGTTGGTGAGAGTTAGAAATCGAAAATAGACTGTAGAGAGTATTATCCAATTGGTATGTCGAGTTATGCTCTATAGATGTATATTCAAATGAGCATGGTAGAGATAAAAATATGAATAAAATAACTATCAAAAAATTGCAACTGTATTTCTTATACCTAAGATTTTACTATGTCAAAAGGAACATATTACTTTATGAGATCAATATCATTTGATATCTAATGATATTCATCGATTGTCTATGTTCGACTGATTTCAATGGTACACAAGTTCGTCTATATCTTTTCATGTCAACAAATCAACTTTCTTTACTTGAAATTCTTATATTGTTGAATAATGAAAGTATTTCTTATGAAAAAAAAAAGACCAAAGCGTATGTACTGAATATAATAATTCAACAAAAGCGTCGGCATTTTGATGACGTTCTTTTGAATATGTAATAAGAACGAATTTGAATGAATTAGTGGTTTTCTTAGCTACAGTGGGGGTCATAAGTCTCGCCCCACTTTTGTATTTTGAGTCGTCCATTTGAACTAAACAACGTTGATTTAATTTGATTATCTATTCTTGTAGCGGAGATCGAGCACTATCTGTATACACCTGTTCCATACGGAAAACTCTCGAAATATATAATAAAATAGGCAAAGCAATCTTCAGTCCTACGAAAAAAATGACACAAAAAAAGACAAAGTGATATTGTTGTCACATGCACAGTCAACTACAAAATAAAAGAAGTATTGAGAAAAGTTCTTCATTTATCATACTTTGTAGAGCTTTTTGTGCTGATTATTTTCATAAAAAAATATTTTAAATTTCATGCAGAAGTGACAGTTTTATAATCAAAATATTAAACACTATGGTCCGAAACGTTAGTAGCATAAGTTGTTTTGCATATATCCCTGCANTGAGCATAATCACTCTTCGTAGTTGAGTACTATATAAAATAATTTAAACAAAACTATGAGAATAATATAAATAAATATAAACTCACACATGGACGACTAAAAGAAGAATTATGTCCATTGGAATTCATTAAATGACTATCACTACCATAAACCGGCTTTCGTTGCTCGGAATTCCTATAGAAGAAAATTAATTCAATTGTTTAATTTTTCTATAATATAGGTAAAAAAGAATTAAGGAAAAAAAAAATATTTTGTTTAATTTTGACATAAAATCGTTCAAAGGAATGCATTATTTTAGTATTCGAAAATTTTGATTTGTTATAAGAGTCAAGTTTTTATTTCTTAACATTCATACCAAGTATGTTTATTATTATTATTATTTTGTTGTTGTTGTTGTTGTTGTTCAATACTGCGACTAGTCGAATATGTTGTCGAAACTAAATATAAATATAATATTATTTTCCTACATAAAACATCATAATCAATAATTAACCTGTCGTATCGATATCAGCTTGCTCCATTGGATCGGATACCATTTGATAATGCTGAAAACAATATTAAAATAAATATTATTAAAACAGTGATTAATTGAGTTATTCAATTAATTTAACCGTAACAATATTCTGTCTTGAAGGTACTCGTTGAAGAATAGGTGTTGTTTCTACAGATGGCGGATGACAATCAATTGTTCGACTACGAACTATATCTCGTGTCTAAAAAGAAAAACATTATTTCAATAATAATTGACTTCAGGAGACTTCTCTCTGCCTTAAAAATCTAACTACGACAGACTATATGACATGGGAATGAAACATTCCATATATGTTTGATTTATGAAAGTACATTTGTAAAAAAAAAAATAAAACTTCACGTCTTCCTACCAAACTATTCAGAAGATTTCCAGAAGCCAAGCTGTAGAGTTCAGATTGCTTTTATTTGAATGAGAATTTCTTAGCACTTAGAATAAGTGAAAGAGCCTTTTTTGAAGTTTTGCTTCGCTTCATTTTTTAGATCATCGAAACTTCAAAAATCTGTTATTGTCAAGCATAACTTTCTAGAAAACATCGAGTTTATCTAATATTAATAACTAATCAGAAAACTTCTTTTCCTCATCTGAAGGATTATGCATGTGTCTATTAATTAAAAACAATTACAGCATCCTAAAATGAAGTTTATTGAGAAAAAATTTCTCCACAAATTAATTTTGTGAATGACACTAGACAAGTTTTTCTCTTTTTTTTTTCATATAGTCTTCCTATTATTATTTAAAATGGAAGTGAAGCTTAAATACATTACATATAAATCGAAGCAATTATCTATATACATTAGATTGTCCTCGTATATGTGTAATTGAAGAGAAGATCTACATCCACATTCTCATGTCATTGTAGATTTCGAAAATATGTCTGTACGATACTCAAGATTTGATTATCTCTAAAAAATATTTGTTTATTTTGCAGATTTAACTCTACAAAAAACGAAGTTACAGATAATGAAATATATAAACCTTAGGTCTTGGTTGTTGTTGAAATTCATTATTTAATTCATCTTTTTGTTGTGATTGAGGTTGTTTCACTGATAATGATGAATTATTATTGTTATTATTATTATTATTATTATTATTTATTTGAACGCCATATACATTAGAATTAAGACTAGGTACAATAGCCATTGATGAACGATAGATGTTAGATTCAGATATTTGTTGATTATTTGAAAACGTTTGATATGGATGATGCCAACGATTTTCAACTGTATCTAATGTAAATCTTTTAAGTTTTTTACCCATGTCTTTTGATGATTTTTGAAAAACATTCGTTGAATTTTGTTGATTATTATTATTATTATGTTTAGGTCTTAATAAAACTCCATTTGATGCACATCTTAATGTTGGAGATGTTGGTGGTGGTATGGATTGTTGTTGTTGTTGTTCACGTAATGATTGTTGTCGACTTAATGATGGTGGTGGAGGTGGAGGTGGTGGAGTTGGTTGACGATTTTTAATATATTTTCTTCTTAGACGACTATGATGTGAAAGAATACTATTTGGATCATCATCGTCATCACTTGTATTATTAGAACTTATTGGACTAACAGCAGCTATTTGAATTCGTTCATCACTTGATGATGATTGATTTCTTGATTGTGCTCGAGCAAATTTTGATGGATAACGTTGATGATGAGAATTCGATGATCGATCAGTCATTTGTGTATTACTACGATATCTTTGTTGATGTTGAATAAGAGAAGATGATGCAGCAAATGATATATCTGTTGAATTATCAATACCATTATGAACAGGTAATGATGGAGATCGACGACGAATTTGCATTTCACCATTTTCATCATACCTTTTTCATGAGGAAAAATAAAAATATGATTCTATTTCAAGAGGAAAAAAAAAAAGTTTGTTTTTTCGATTTTATTAATATACCATCTACTTAAACGGCTATCAGCAAGTGGTATAGCAAAGTGCACTATTTCATTATTATGATCATGTTGTCCTTGAGAAGTACTTATCGAAGCGAAAACAGTTTTTCTAGAAAAATATAAATACGAAAATGAATTCAAAATCTTTGTTTGCTTATGATTTTATATACGGTCGATTTTGTTGTCGTTGTAAACGTTTTTGTTGAGGTTGTTGTTGTTGTTTTTGATTTAAATAAATAAATGCTTCATGTTGAATACATGCTTCAGCTGTTAAACGATCTGCAGCATATAAACGTAAAGTTCCCTATTACAAAAGCATAAATTATATCAATTAATTATAAATTTTTATGAAATATTTTACTTTAAATAAATGCATTATATCAAGTGGAAATATATGACCATAGCGTCGATCTAAATTTTCCAAATGATGAATAGGAGGAAACTAATATAAAAAAATTGTTTAATTGAAATAATGTAACAAAAAAAAAAAAAAAACACTAAGTTTTTAAATACTTTTAGTCCTTCAAATTTTGGATTTGTTCTCATTGCTTCATTATATTTAGGTGGTAATGGTCCTAAGCATTTTTGAATACGATACAATTGATCAATATCACTTTCACCGGCTGAAAATTTTATTTGAATAAAAAACAAAAAATGTTGAATGAATACAGGTCATATATTACCGAATAGTGCTTGGCCAGTAGTAAGTTCCGCCATAATACCTTGAAGAAAAAAAAATTTCCTTTTTCGAACATCAGCAAAATCAATAACATACATCCACATGCCCAAATATCAACCGGTTTTCCATATGGTGATCTAAAAATTGGTTTAACATAAATTTTTTGTTTTTATATTTTAAAGTATCAACACTTGAGAATTTTAATAACCTGATACAAGAATATAAAAATAAGAACTTCCTTTCTTTTCTTTAAAGATAAGAACAATATATTGTAATGTTTTTAGTACGTTTGAGACTTTGATGGTATTTGACATATAATTTTTATTACTGTTAATTAATTTGAACAATATTTTTACATGTTATATTCTTTGGAATTATTCCAGATAAATACAAAATCTCAACTTTCTAATACACTTTGTCACTGAGTTTTATGACAGATGTATAAAACGAAAGTATCATTCTTTGAATAACATGAGGAAAGAAAAGAAACTCTTTTTTGACAATAATAAAATGATAAAAGCATGTAAATAGTCCATTTTACAGAGCGTTAAACTTTCTAACAATTGCTTGTATCAATCTTTCAAATGATATATTATTGAATAATATTTTCTCTTTTAAAACTGAAAAATAATTTGGAATAATCTGATTACATAAAAAACTTCAATTAACTTTCATGTATTTGTTGTACATGAGTTTTTATTAATTTGCTCAGTCTTATAGAAATTTTATCAATTATTACAAGTTATTTTTTGTTTCTTTCTTTGTTCAATCTAGGTTTCTGTTGTTTAAAGCTTGAAAATTGTTTTTTTTTAATATTCTCTATACACTTTTAGTGCGTCATGCGTCAGCAAATTTAACTTCATCTTTTTGGCGTAAAACTCAATTGTTAAATAATTTATTAATAGTTCAAAATATAATCTTTGTTTTTTGCATTTTGCACGCGATGTTTTTCATATATATATTCTTTCTATTTCAACCCGGTTATAGAGTATATACAGTTTGACTAAACATGCAATCAGTGCCTTGGAATAAACATCGAATAAACAAATAAGATAAATAATTATTGTTTCTACTACGCTATTTTTTATGTACAATGTATAAAGCACTTTAGCGAAAAAATCTTTAAAACGAATCATTTCAATTTATTTCAAAAAAAATTCATTCTCATTTTTATGTTTGTATTATTCGAAGAGAATATATTATCCAATAATATATCATTTGAAAGATTGATAGGCGTACCAAAATCCCATATAAAAAAAAAAACATTCGTCAATGGATTATTCTCTGTCTGCATATAAACTAAGTTTGCCGCATTTTAAGACTTATGAAATGCCATGCATAAACATCATTTCTTTTCTGTTTCTTCGGCTAACATCTAAATGACTGGCAAAATCAGGACATTTGACAGTGATGGATGAGAAGCTTTACATGACGGAGATCTTCCTGATGGAGGGAAGCTTGTGACAAAATTTAGCTGATACAGCTTCAATTGGTGGGAAGGTTCAGTCCCTTTGCTTACGCCACTATCTTGAAAAAGAAACATAGTTGTTTCTTATTATCTTCGTTGTAGAAATAAACTAAGAAAACTTTCTGAGAAATTGCTTGCTCGATAAACACTTCAATAAATCATTTGATTTATCTTAAATTTTTACAGTAGATGTCAAACACAATATCTTCTATATAGAGAAAATTTTCGTCTTTAATCTTGTTCTATTCAACAAAATAATTTATATTATACTACAAAATAATAGAGTAACAACTTTTAACTTTCTAATTCAATCTGCTCGAAAATATTCTTTTCAACTATAATTGAACTTAAACAAACTATGGACTATTAAATCTGTGTATTATAAATTTTTGTCTCAAGTTAAATTTTTATATATATATTTATTAAAGTATTAATAAACTTTAGCTATACAATATTAATATAATCTAAATTGAAAAGCAAAGGCTTTCACGAACTGACACAAATTTAAACCTCTTTTAAAGGTTTCGTACATTAATATGAAACCGTTGGAAAGAGTTCTTATACAATAAGGAAATATTTTTGTAAGTGTTTCGTATGCATGTACGAAACCTTTTTCAAGTTCTACAATTGTTCCCTTTTTTTTTCATTTTACAAATTGATTTATTCTTTAAAAAATGTAATGTAATTTTCTTTATCAATAGACATATTTTAATAAACTTGAACATTTGAAAGAAAAGGGTAAAACTGATTCAAAGGTTAAATCATTTTATTCTTGACCATGAATGTTAGTAATATTTTAGTAAAGTAAAGAAAAGATAAATGAAACAATCGTAAATTTCTTTTTTTTAAGTACTCGAATTATCTTTAAAACTTTTTTTTTTTGTTGTTTTCAAAAGTCTTCATACATACCCGATAAGTAATTCTGGTGATCGATACCATCGTGTTGCAACCTTGAGTTTTAATGGGTAGAGAAGAAAAAAAAGAAAAAATAAACTTGTAGTAACATTGAGTTTTCTTTTTAATGTAAATCTCTTACATAATCAGTATAATAATCTGCTGATGTTTGTGTATTACAAAATCTTGCAAAACCAAAATCACATAATTTTAATACAAAATTTTTTGATATAAGTAAATTTTCTGGTTTTATATCACGATGAATTATTTCATGTGTATGACACCAATGTATAGCACTAAATAATTGATATGATAATTGACGTACTTGTTCTAATGCTAAACCATCTGGATGTTCTTGTAAAACTTGTAACATATTCCATTCAACATATTCGAATACAAGAAAACATTGCTTTTTATCACGAAACCATTCAATTAATTCAACAACATTTACAAATCGAAGTGATTGTAGAATTTTTAATTCACGTTCAATTATATCCATATCAGTACAATATCCTAGAATAAAAAAAAAAAAAAAAAACAATAAATAAAAAGATTTTCAAATATAAAATTATAATATCAGATTAAATATTAAACCTGGAGATTGTTTAAAATGTTTAATAGCAACTGTTGTATTTGTGTCCTAACAGGAAATGAAATTAACTCTTATTTATTATCTATTAAAATTTCGTACTTTTTTTCGAGCTTTGAGTACTACACCATATGAACCTATTTGTTTTTTTTTTTAAATTATAAATAAACAAATTATTAGTAAACAAAACAAAAGAAGAAAAAAAAATCTATACCTTCACCAATAACACCAAGTATTTCATATTTATCTTTAACATTACTTGGAATGTGTTTCATTGCTAAACAATTTTCTGTAATATAATTTAAAAATAATATCCAAAAAGAGATTCTTATAAATAACCAATCACTATGATGTTTGTGTGCCTTTCTGTACAACTATTAGCAATTTGAACACTCTGATTATGATGTTACCGATAGTGACATGATCGTCTTTCTTGATGCTTTATTTGCTTACTTTGTTATGTCGTTATTTTACACTCTCTGTTCGCCTTTTTTTTTTTTTCTTTACGACCATTTATTCAATTCACTCCTATCTTTTGCTATGGTGATGGACATTAAAACAATGACTAACGAAAGAGGTCACCTATTGGCAACTTAAAAAAAAGAACATAACTATTTTGAATCTTTTACGCAAGAAGTAGACTGAACAAAAATCTGATAAAGAAAAGGACTGTCGAATGAATATATAGTAGAATGAATAATTTATTCTTTGATATGAAATATCTCACATATGTAAATTTACAGATATACAATTTCATACTCTCTATATCATACTGATAACGTATTATATGTTAAAAACTGACATAATTTATGCAATAAAAAAGTAATCCAATGTAATAAAGTCATAGATAATAAATGTCGATTAAACGAAAGTTCGAACTCGTATTTCAGTATCATTTAAATATACATATAAAGAAATTCTTGATTAAAAAATAATACTTCTTTTTTCGAATGATACCATAGTATTCATTTACAATGTTTAAATTTTCAATTGCAGTTTCAAAACTTTTTTTTTTTCTATTGATTCGTCTATACGAATATAATTTGCTTAAATACTTGTGACATTGAGTTCATTTCATTTACGAATAACAATATTAAATGAAAAGTATTTATTCAAGAAAAAAAAAAAATACTCAGATATGCTTTATACACCAAAGTTATATACAATAAGAAATATTTGGTAATGTTGAACTGATACTTAACTAATAAATAGATTCTCATTCAATTAATATTGATAGTCAGAATAAATTTTACAATTATTTACCAATTAAATATCAGTTCAAATTTCCAAATAATAATATATAATTCATTGAAAATGTATGAAAAATCTTCGAATTTTCTGACTACAATTGTTACAATAAATCTCTTACTTATTGCTTGTTTTTAAATATATAGCACTGTTTTTCTCATATTCATGAAGAAGAAAAGCGAAAATATAATACATATATATACATAATATACAATACAAAAGAACGAAACGAACAGACTATTAACATTAAAAATCACATCCATCAATACCATCTAAATAAAGTTCAAATTCTTCACGATTACATTTTCCATCAGTTGTAAATATATGCTTATGAAATGTACCATCAAAACTTGCAGCAACAACATGACTTGGACCAGAAAATGCACATATACATGGCCATTCAATAGCTACTTTAAAATTGCATAAATCACCAAATGCTTCATTAAGTGCATGAGGAATTGCAACCATACGATTTAATTTTGGATCACGTATACCATATAAATGAACAGTACCTTTATCACTTGATACACATAAAAAACTAGAATCAAAACTAAATGCAATACAATGAATATCAGCTGTATCAGATCCACGTCGAAATTCAAATAATTTTTCACATACACCTGCCGTTGAAAATACACGAATTAATGTTCCCTAGTAATTAAAATGAGAAAAATATTTTGGTTTTTTTTTTTTTTATAGTTTAAAAATGTTTTTGATTTTACATACTCGTTTAGAAGCAGTTGCTAATAAAGTAGCTGCATGATTAAGTGCCATAGCAGCTAATTCATTTGTATGTGCATGAATCATACGTGGATTATACGACATACCGTTCTCAATTCCGTTCATATTCTAAATTTTAAAAATTAATTTTCTAGTTTTGTTTTCATTAATAAAATATATTCAATTTATTTTGTCATACGATAGAATATTTATTATTTAGACTTACAAAAAAAAATATTATAATATTTATGATATAATCATCCATTCAATAGATCCTATTTCTAATTCAACAAAAAAACTTCGACATTCTTAATATGTAATCTTAGATATTTTCATCATATTTCATCTAGAAATCTTTTGAATTAACTGCATTGTGTCAATATAAATCTATTGAAAATATAGGTTGAAAAACGATACAAATCATCTTACAAAGGAACGACCTCAACTAATAAAAAATCTTTTTAATTCAAGCGTTTTCATGCACAAGTTGAAGTGTACACAAAAATAACTCTGAAAGTATATGAGCGCAAGTTGTGATTTGGCTATGATATTGACATGTTTTACTATAATTTTCATAGAACACACCGCGTTTTGCTAGTAAAATCAAGGTTTTAAATATTGACCTAAACCTCAAGCAATCACTTCTTCAATTTTGAAAAGTTTTCGTTTTGTTGCTCACCAATTCTAAAAAAAAAATATTCGACTCACTATCATATCCGGTCAATTTTAGCAAAAGTCTTCCGATCAACCTCTTGAGTCATCAATCGTCTTCCTCAATCCTGACGAATCTCAAGACAGTCTTGAACTCATGATCTCAATAGAATTATTTTATCCATAAAATTTTAAAATTTTCTGACAAATTATCCACGAGATGCTCATATGTTCAGCATGAAGATGCTTTTTCTCATTGGTATTGTGTTAAGCATAAATATTCTGGATAACACATATTTCCAGTGATATATTCAGTCATAAACCATTGGGCATTTGCCCAGGGATCATTTGAAACAATCATAATTACTCAATGTTCGAAAATTTATTGGTCATAGTTGCCCACAGCTCTAAAACTTCTCACTAGACCACTGCATATTTCAGAGATCATTTTTCGACTTTTTCTAGTATATCTACATATCCCCTAGTTGTACATAAAATTTAATCTCAAAAGCTTTTTACCACCTGCGGAGATTTCCTTGTTAGATTTTTTTCTTTTAATGAATTTAATGATATATCATAGTTCATAATAATCGTTTCGTTCGAAATTTTTCAATTAAAAAGAAACAAGAAAAAAGAACTTCATCTTTGATGTCTTGCAAAAAAAAAAAACTGTTTTCTACCATGACGGTACTCCTAATCATTCAACGATACATTATTCTCATTTGATGAATCCTTTCGAACATTAATTTCATTGACCATAGATCGAGACGCGTGTATCTACTCGAATTTCATAATTGATTATAATCGTTAAGCTTTAAAATTTTTCTTTCTTTTCACAACTAAATAGTCTCTTCCAAGTGGAAAATTGCAGATTTTTTTTTTTCGAATAATACATCTCTCCTCTTTCCATTCAAACGTTCTTTTGATCCTTCTCTCTTATATGTATCCAAGAAGTAGAAGAACGCTTGACCATTCCATCCATCATAGAGTGAAGAAAAAAAAAAAAAAACCTCTTCTTCCACCAATAAGCTTTTTTAACCAATCATCTTTTTTTTTTCTCTTCTCTTTACTCTTCACATATATCATTAAGAGAAAGTACGAGACACATTTGATCATATTACTCGAATACGTGAAAGGCGAGATTTTCTATGTGTAGACGAAATTGACTACTACCATACAATAAATTCTACTATTATGCAAACAACTTCATATCATCATTCATCATATGATTATAATACATTTCCAACATTTTTACCAGCAACATCAAATACATATCCATCTTATTATCCAAATCATTATAGATCACAATCAAATTTATCACCAAAAATTGAACACGATGATTCATCAAATTCAAGTCTAACACCACCACCACCACCACCATCACTATCAAAAAATTTATCATTACCACCAGCAACAACAAATAATTCACTTTCTCAAATTCCAATTGTTCTTCAATTATCTTCAACAAATACAGAACAAAAATTAATATTAACAATTGATCATTTAGCTTGTGTATGTGAAGCTATACAACAAAGTGGTAAAATTGATAAATTAATTAAATTATTACAATTATTACCACAAAAATCTTCATCACCAAATGCAGCATTAATACATCAACATGATAGTGTTTTAAAAGCTCGTGCTATTATATTTTATCATCAATCAAAATTTCGTGAATTATATTGTTTATTAGAAACACATACATTTGATATATATCATCATACAGAATTACAACAATTATGGTATAAAGGACATTATATGGAAGCACAAAAAATTCGTGGTCGTCCATTAGGTGCTGTTGATAAATATCGTATAAGACGAAAATATCCATTACCAAAATCCATATGGGATGGTGAAGAAACAATTTATTGTTTTAAAGAAAAATCTCGTCAAGCATTAAAAGAATGTTATAAATTAAATCGTTATCCAACACCTGATGAAAAACGTTTATTAGCAAAAAAAACTGGTTTAACATTAACACAAGTCAGTAATTGGTTTAAAAATCGTCGACAACGAGATCGTACACCACGAACGTAAGTTAATTGCTACTTGTCCTCGATACATTATCCGATTTGAAAAAATGTTAATTTCTTTTTTTGTTTTGTTTTATTCTTCAATTTATAGACAAGATTGTCAAGATCTTCAAACATCATTATTAAATCAAGCAGCATATTTTGCTACAGGTTCAGTTTATCCTCATGGTTTATTTAATAGTGGTACAGCATCATCATCATCAAATTTTTCGTATTCAACACCAACACAAAATAATTCAACATTTCTACATTATCAATCTTAATCTATTTTCTTTATTCTTCTAGTCATTAATCTATTGATTAAAACTTTAGTTTTTTTTTTTTTTTTTTGTTGTTGTTCTATAAATGGAAAGATGCGCTAATGAACATCGTCATCTATTCTTCGTTTCGAATAACATATAATCATCAACGTCTTTTTTTCTCCAATTATGTTGTTTCATCCATTGCGCATCTAGTTACCGTTTTTTTTTTTTGTGTTCTTTCTCAGCTACCTGCTGTATTTTATTATTAGAATTTGATTTCGAATAAAGACAGAAAGATGACACGATTATTATAAATAAATGATGTCTAATAATTGAAATTCTTCAACTAATCAGAAAAGTCCACAAGTTATTTGATGCGATCATTATTATCATAAGAGAATTAAAAAGTTTGCACCTATACTCTGTTGTGCTCTTTTTTTCTTCTTCTTCGTCTTTGTTAAAATGAATATTAGCATTAGAAAGTATGTGCCATATGACACTTATGCATATTGATAATAAAAGTCATGATACAATGTATACTTATGTCAATCAACTTCAAATAAGATTTTATTTTATTTTGAAGAAATTAAATCAATGATAAGAATCATTTTCTATAAGAGTCTATTTGAAATAAAGACGAAGATTATAATTGAATATCGAAATATTCTCGATAATCTTTATTAGATGATAAAATACTTTGAAATAAGAATTAAATCATTAAGTGGATCTAACAAGGGAACGTTCCCAAGTGATTAAAAGATTTTGAGCTCATATGTTGCCCATTAGGTACAGGACCACTAGATTAGAGAAACCTCCAAAGGATTCGTGCCCATATTGAGATTTGATAGAGATATCGAATTTTCAGTGGATTTTTCTTGCTGGACCCTAGTTCTACAGCAAAATCATATTTTTGAATTTCGACCTGAAACTTTGCCCAAATGAAGGCCTCAATCAGAGTAGCTTGTATAAAAAATTTCAGAATTTTTGGACATTGAATCTTCAAGGTATCAATTTTTGAAAATATAGGCACTTTTCTATAGATAACATGGATACTTTGAAAGATTGATACCTTGAAGATGCAATGTCTAAAAATTCTGAAATTTTTTATACAAGCTACTCTGATNTCAAGACATAATTTCGTCATTTGAATTTTTTGTAAATACCTTGTCATAGGCCGAAAAATCAGTAAAATGGCCATAACCCTCGAAAGAAGCAACATGGGCCTAAATCCTCTTAGGCTTTTTCTTAGCATACTGACCCCTACATATGGGCAAAATATAAGCAAAATCGGCGTGAATCACTTGAAACGGTTCCCTCGTAAGTTATTGAAAGACTTATCGTAGAATTCTGTCAAAATTATAGTAGTGAACATAAATTTTCTTTTCGATGATAATAACTAATAAGAATCTGAAGAAAAGATATTTTCGTAGTTGAAAAGGTTCTCTATTAGAATTGCGAGGACTGCATTCAATGTTTTTATCATGGTTAACGCTTTGAGACTTTCATAGGACTATAATTCAGAGAATTGTATTCCAATAATAGAAATATTTAATCATGAAAATAATAGATTTAATAAAATTTATACAAATAATAAATATATTTATCTCGAACGAAATTAATATAGATAATAATTAAAATTTTCAAAAATAAACTATTCAATTTACCTTGTCTTTCTGTATAATTATTGCGTTCATTTTTGTTGTCATGTTCAATATTTTGTCTTAAATTTCTATTTGATCTAATAATTCGTAAGAAAAAATATTTTGTTAAACAATAAACAATAATATGTTTTAATGCAAATAAAATAATCATAGGTGCAATAATTTTTAAAAGAATTTTTGTTAATAATGGATGTATAAATAATAATTTAAATACTAAACATATTATAAACATAAAATAATTAATCACTATAAAACCATATGCTAAATAACCAACTTGATAACCTGAATAATGAAATGATTTTTGTAAAACAGATGATGATGATATAAAATCTTGTTTTTTTTTATAATATTTTCCTTGATAATAATCTAACATATCTGTTTGATATTTTTTTAAACCAAGTAATAATTGTATAACATAAATAATAAATGATAATAAACATGATAAATAAATTTCATTTTGAAATGATAAATTTTCAAATGATTTTATTGATAAATTTATATTTGTTATATTTATTAATTTAATTATTATATTACCAGTTAAATTCATAATTAATCGTAATGTAAATGTACTTGAAAATATAACAGAACATGTTAAATAATATAGAACAAGAAATGAAACAGTATATGTAAATAAAACTAATAATGAAAAACGAAAATATGCTTTTGGTTTATAAAATAAATGAATAAAATTTTGTATACATAAACAATTTTTTTCTTCATACATTGTTTGTGCATATAAATAATAACTTGTTGATGATGATTTACGTTTATTAATTAATAAATTTTTTGTATAATACCAATCATTATCATATTCAATTGATGTTGTATGATATGTTGTATTTGTTGTTGTATTCCATCTATCACTATTACCTTTACATAAAATAAAAAAATTTCGTAATGTTAATGTATAAAATCTTGCTATAATATGACCTAAGGCAATATAATGTGGTAAACATTTAACTAATAAATAATTTATACGTGATATTTCTATTTGTGTACGTGTTTTTAAACTAATTATTGATGTTAATGTATTAATACAATTAGCTTCATAATAAACAGATAATAATAAATCAAATGTTAAAAATATTGATGTAAAAAATGTTGATAAAAATGATTGAATATTTAATGATAATAATATTGGAAAATATCTTATACCATAAAGTATAATTAAACCAAAACGACGTATTAAATCATATAATATTCCATGATGAAAATTAATATTTGATGAAAATAATATTTCATATAATAATGTTATTAATTGATTTGATATTATTGCAAATACAATTATTGTATGAAAACGATTTGATTTTTGAAATGGATTAACTAATATTGGAAATGATAAATTTTGAAAAAAACTTTTTTTTTTATCAATATTTATTGTTTGATGAATTATAAATAAAATTAATGTTAATGCAATTGATAATGGTAACATAATTATATTTTGATTTGAATTATTTGAACCAATTATATGACATATGTAAGATTTTGTTGAAAAATTTTTATTCATTTTTTCATGATGATCATTATATATAGAATTTGTACGTTGAACACAAATATAAACAATTGATATACCAGCAAGAGTAACAGTTAAAAATGATTGAATAAATGTTAATAAACTATCCATAATTGGTTTTGAACGATGACGTTTTGGAAATTTTGAAATATTCGGACGAGGATTAGGTAATGGAGGAGGGTTCGAAGATTTTTTGCATTCTGATGATGGCAATGATGAAGACGAAGAATGAGAGAGACACATAAATTTATTAAATAAATTTCGAAATAAACAATCTGATGAACCATCGGTGACATAATTATCGCTATAATACAAAAATTTACATTTGTAAATATTTTCAAAAAAACATCAAATTTCCGATACTCTCGTATCGAAAAAGTTAACATAAATATCTGTTATATAAATCGAGTTATTTAATTAACAGTTTTTTTATAATATATAAAAATTTAAGTTGCCCATTGTTGCGAAACTAAAACCACAAGTCAAGTTCGACAAAAACACATTAAATGAAGGTTACATTTCAATGCTTTTATGAAAATGATACAATGAAAGATATATATATCATGTGTTCGAACTGTCACAAAGGTCTATTCATTTCAAAACAAATTGCGCCTTGTACAGTTTTAACGAAAGATATTTCGTCATAATTCAGTGCAGTGTTGTTCATGAAATCAAGCAAACATTTACGACAGTTGATCAATTAGATTGAATTGTATAACAGATATTTATGTTAACTTTCATAATAGATTCTTGGGAAATCTTGTATTATCAATAAAAATGAGAAGAACAAACGAAAAATTTTATTCCGTCTATGTCTTATATTAAAATAGTACGGATATTTAGAATAAAGCTTTTTTTTCATTTCGTGTACTCTGTCTAAGCAAAATTTTCTAACCCTTATCCTACACATCTGTATTGACTATGTTTTTTTTTTTTGAATGAATTGATTCATTATTATTCATATTTAATCACAATAAAAAGCAACTAAAATTCATTATTAGATCTAGCTTTACCTTTTTGTTAACTGTAATTTACTATTGTTTAATAAACTTTTCGATTATAAAAACAATTTCATCAATGAATATTTATCTGATTAAATCATCTTAAATCTTCTTATCGTTTATAGAATTATCTTGATAATCTCACCTATTTTTATTTCGTCTTTGTATTTGTCTTTTTTGATAATTATTTTTATATTTTTGTGATCGTTTACATATACAAATAACAAGACAAGCTAAAGCAATAAATAGAGAAGCTGCAATAACTTGTATCGCTTCTGAACTATCTATAAACAAAAAAAAAAAAATTTTTTGTTTTTAAAAAAAAAAATTAATTAATAAATAAATACATTTATCACAATAAATTCCATCATAAAGAAATTCACATTCGCAATGAAATGTTGGTCCATCATTATTACATACACCATGTATACCACATTGATCATTTTCAAAACAATGATCAACTTCTGTTAAACAAAAAAAAAATTTTTCCAATAAAAAAAATAAATTAATATGATTATTTATACATACTAATTTTACAAAGTGCACGTTCAGTTTTTGTACATTCTTGTTGCATTAAACCAAATAGAACTGTTGTTTCATTTGGTCTTAATAATTCAAGTTTACCACATGGTTTTTGTTGTTGATAAGGAAAAATAAGATTATTCGGTGCAATAACACTTGGTGGTGTTTCAGAAAAATTAACATGACGTCCATTTAACCATAACCATGATTCTTTAAAAAGAGTATTTTGAAGAAAAAAAAAACAAAAAAAAAATTTTACTTACGATTTCGATAACTAAAACCAATATAAGCTCCAAATTCTGTTGCTGATCGATTAAATACTCCAATTATTTGTCTAACATAATCAAATTCAATAGCATCATCAAATAATGCTAAGCCACCTTGGTTTTTATTTGTATCAACATGAAAATGATTTTGACATAAATTATCAGCTTGTGACCATGTTACAAGTTGATTTGTTAATGAATAACAACTACCACGATGAGCAAAAAGTAATACAGATGATGTTGGACCAAAATCTCGACAATAGTCTAAACGAAACACTTACACTCATTAGTCATTCGATAGAGACAAGTCAATGCGATTCACACGTCAATCGTCTCTCATTTTACATGTATATAGTCAATTGTCAATTATACATGCACAATTGAACTCTGCTTGTGTCGTTCAAGTGCCAACACAACAAATGAAGGTGACATTAAACAAGCGGCATTTATATTACGAACTATCAATGAGGTGAATCAGAACGGCTCAAAGTTTTCTATCTATTAATAAGCCGTATCCATATGAAACAAAGAACATAAAAAAAAAAGAAAACGACGAGTGTAAAAACACACCTTCAGCAATTGACGATGTCGAGTAGATATGGTTGATAGTAGCATGAGTAATGTTATTTGTGTTTGCCTGATTAACCAGACGCCTTTGTGAAGTATCAGATATAACAATAGATGGTTGATATGGACGATGATTATTTGAAAGTTTAGTTTTTAAATTGCGATATTCTTTGAATAGAATAGAATCAAATAACATTCAATCAAAAATATGATTGCTTTTTTCCGTTTTATATTGTAACAACAACAACAACAAAAAAAAACAGAGAGAAATTTTGATAGTTGTTAACTATCATTTTATGTCAATATAATCTCCTCCTATTTCCCAATGGGAATGAATAACACCTGTCTTATTTATCATCTCAAAGTACTAGTGGCATTTCTATATATGCATCTCAATTCTTCGTCTTCTTTTTTTTTTTTATTTAGCCTAAAGCTATTGACATCTCCTTGAAATTATATCCTCAATCGTTTTAGGAATTCAACCGATGATTGGCTTTTCAACATCGTAAATCGATTTATCTATTAATCATTTGCTTGCTACTTGCTGGTATCGGTCTAGTTTCTAGATGATGATGAATGTGTATAATTGATTTATCATCTCTCCTCGGGCAAGATCAAAACGTTTTCTTATTTCTGTTATCTTTCGACTCAGATCATACGACGCTGTCAATATATGTTCTTCAGACATATATCACCTCAAGATCGTATAAGACAATATCGAAGTCACTTGACCCATAGACTATAACAAGAGAAGATTGTCAGCTACTGAAATATTTATATATCTAAATAGATAAGAGAATATATATATACATTTTATACTTACTATTGGAAGCTTTTTGACGAAATTTTGGTAGAGTACCATCATTATTAAAAAGTATTTGTTGAAATAATTCATCAGCAATAATAGGTGAAATAATAGGCAAGATGAATAAAAGGAAGAGTAGAAGGCCGAATTTCATATCTATGAATGTAGTCACAACATAAAATTGTTTAATCTGTATATATGTATAATGTCTCGTTCGCCTATATGCATACGCCTATATGAGCAACAACAATCATAATTTTTCTCTGTGTGTCTCTCTCTCTCTCTCTCTCTTTCTTTCTTTTCTCTTTTATTTACATATACCGATTGAACAGTATTGACTTCTATATATGCGTGCATGTCTCTTTTTTTTTCGGGACGAATACCCTTCTTCTCTTTTGTTCACTTTTTTTTGTGTATTTTAATAATGCAAATTACCATATCATAGTTGATTATAGTTCATATGTTCAAGGCTAATCACGCGAACTGAAAAAAATTGGCTCTATTGTATTAATATGCTACCTATATTTAAATTAAACCTTTTCTTATCACAGCTTCTTGTTAATTTTGTGATTTTATTATATATATATATTTTTTTTTAACAATCATAAAACGATGATGGAGACGTATTTAATAGCGGTTGCACAATAAACAACAATAAGAAAAGAGAAATAAGTAGTACCGGATCGTTTTTGAAAGTGTGAATGAAAGAATAGCGATGTCGGAGCAAATATCACGTCTGCTTGACAAAATCTTAAGTCATAAAAATACGAAAGAATGAAAAAAAAATGATGAAAGAAAAAAAAAATTCATCTCTTTATGTAAATGCTTCTACTGGCAGCATGTTTTTACGTTTATGCAATAAGGCAAGTAGTTGGTAGTACCGTTCAATTAGATGTTACGACAATATGTACCATCACGCTCGCATACTCAAGTATACCAATAAGAAAGAAAGAATTATTTCTTTTGCTTGAACTATATATGTCACTGCTTTAATACACAAAAAGGTACTCATTTAATTGAATATTCAAGTACTATATACTGCTGTTGCCATCACCATGATGACAAAATGAACAGTTGTTGTCTTCTTTTTTTTGTTCATCTTACGTCATATCATTTCGACAATTGAGAAACAAAAATTAAATTCAAAAAGACAAAAAAAAATCAATGACTGATCATGCGCACTTCTCATGACATCTTATAGATAAACCGATGATTAGTAGTATAGTATGTTCGCACACGAAATTTGTACATATATGTGTCTTCGATCAAAAGCAATGATAAGACAAAGTAGTTGATTTTCACTATCTAGTTTTACAATTAATGATGATGACCTTCGAGAGAGAATATTGACAAAGGCGGATCTTTTTTTAAATATTCACTTAAAAAATCAATGGGTGACAACAATGACACTCAAAAACAGATAATAGGATTCACTTTTGATATAAACATGGGATGAATGAACATATGAGAATTCTTCAATAGTATACATCTGTTATTACACATAATAGTTCATAAAAATGGCTACTTAGTTTTGTTGACGCAATACTGACCAGGGGGTCAGTCAACCACTCCGCCCACCCTATGTTTCACTTGAGTATCATTTAACCAGCAGTAAGCAAGTTGGCACACACAACCTCTTGTAATAGGCAAGTGCCACCAGACGACTATTCTTTCTATCCAATATTCCCTCTTCACTTGATGAACGGATCGTTGGTGCATACTAATGTCATCCAACTTTTTTTGTTCGATATTAGTACGCGCGCGCTTTTGCGTTTGCAAACAAATGAATTACTTCAAGAGGCAAAACATATACAGGTGAACGTGTAATTTGAGAGAACACACTAGTAGTTGTTCTTGCTAGTGGCAGACAGATACGCCTTCGTATATGTATGTGTGTGTGTTTGTATGCATGCCTCTCTTTACATCATACTCAAGAACCTTCATTCTATTAGGCGGCGATGACTAAAGTGCTTGTGTAGGTAAACATAAAATGAAGACTCTTCTCTTTTCGCAGACAACAGAGTAAATAGACGATCAACAGACAGACAATCTAGGTCATCATGCTCCTTTAATTTTATTTCTCTTTGTCTTCTTTTCTTTTTATTTATTCGTTAATTGATCAAGCGATCATCATTGAATAAAGTCATTTATCACTCACACTCTTATTATAACAATCATCTCTATCATTATCTCAAGGACATGATTTTAGACACACGCCCTTTTATTTCTTATTATCGAAAAGAAGATATTGGACAGATCGTCAATTGTTAGGAGCACTTTAGATGCTTGTCAATCATTTCCTCCTTACATAAGCGCACATTCATATATATATATATATATATATATAGGCATATGTGAGGGATGAAGTTCGAGTGATAATCGAAAACAATCCATACAAGCGCTTGCATTGACTGCTTGACATGTAATCGAAACAAATTCCAACACGTTCATACTCTCTTTCTTCTTTGTTAGCTTTCGATAATCATACGCGTGTGTATGTATGTATATATGTATATCAAATCATTCTCATCCAAAGTTAATTCCTGGTGTCATGGACATTACGTGATAGAGTGAGTATGTGTACAAAAAGCTCAATCAAAACGGAAGATATCATCTTTAAAGAAGAAGTCCTTCGTGAATGTAGATCAAATGAACCGCAGACGTTTGTGTATACACCAGACAAGATAACAAGTGCAGCAAAACAAAGAAAAGATTAATCAGCAAGAGATATATTGAAAATAAACAATTGTCAACAAGAAAAAAAATCTATGATGTTTCGATGTTGCCCTTTTTTTAATTATTTTACTTCTTACCTGTTCAATTGAGTTAAAATGCATTGAATTTATTATTGATCAATTGTATCGTCATCATGAGAGTCATTTTTTTTAAGTGACACGAACATTTCCTCTCGTTTATCGTCATTTGCATCCTTCTTTTTTACTTGTTCTACAATTTAAAACGTCGTTTTTGTGTCTCCTCCTCCGTTTCTTCTCTCCCACTCATACATACACGTATGCATCTATATTGTGTTCATCACAATCACCTATTCGTTATATATATATACATATATATAGAACATACATATACGCCGGAGATCAATAATCACGATGCAAGTAAAAGAGATGGAATTACAACTATTGTTCCAACAATATATATATATATAAGGCCCACTCTTATGCAAGCCACCTCCTCCTTGTCGCACCTTTTTTAAGTTATATTATACAATGATGACGAGAAGACTGACATAGCCTAGCCGATAATCGGCATGTTTGTTTTATAATGAGTATAGCCACTGTTTCTCCATTTACATTTACACCCACCTATGGTGTGAACTGTCAGTATGTCTTCAGACATAAAGAATTCCCTTTTTTTATTTTTTTCTTCTTTGTATAACACCTCATTTGTTCCATTCATTCATTCAATCTGTCTGTCTGATGTGTCAATCAAGTAAATGAGAATAAATTTTCATATGTCATCATTCCTATCATAGTATGATGTATTTCAATAACCACAAATAAAACAAAAACAACAAGTAAAGAATAAATAAAAGATGACATTATGATAGTATTATCTATGTACAAAGAATTAATATAATACATTAAACAAAACAAAAAAATAGACAAATTAAATAAAAGATAAACTATAATCAAGAAAGATCTTTAGGTGCAGCATCAACAATGCCTTCAGGTCCAATAGCAAAAACTGCATCAGTTTCAGGCAAACATGGACTATCTGCAACATGACATATACGTGAATCACCTTTACCTTTTTTTAAATAGAGTCTAAAAAGAAAGAATACAAAAAAAAAATCAAATATAAAATCAAATAAATATGAATCGAAAGTACCGTGTTGTTGATGCATGAGCCATTATATTACCACCAATAGGTTTCTTTTGATCACCATACATTGCTTGACCATCAACTTGAGCAACAACTTGATTAGTAAGTACAACAGCCACACCAAACTTAACAAAAAAAGAAAAGTGAAATATTTATATAAATAAAATCAATTTTGACCAAACCTCATCAGTTATACGTAATAACATACGCATAAATTTTGCTAATTGCATTTGTCGATTAGCTAATTCACCACGACCAGAATAATCAGTTCGAAAAAGTGATGTGGCACTATCGACAATTAATACAGCATATCTATTAAATAATATTTGTATTATTTATTAAAAGAAAATATTAATAAACCTTGATTCACACATCATAGCTGTTGCCATATATAATAATTGAATTTGATGATCAGTATTATAAGCACGAGCATAAGCTATATTATCCAAAACATCTTGACCTGATAGACCATATCGTTCAGCAATAGCTAGTAAACGTTCAGGTCGAAATGAACCTTCTGTATCAATATAAATTGCTTTGCCTTCACCACCACCCATATCAATTGGTAACTAAAAAAAACAAAATGAAATCTTCTTTTTTTTTTCTTGAAAATTAAATAATTTACTTGACAAGTAACAGCTACTTGATGACATAATTGTGTTTTACCACAACGATATTCACCATATAATTCCGTAATTGAACCAGTTTCAAAACCACCTTGTAATTGTTTATCAAGTTCTCTTGAACCAGTTGTTAATTGAATGATTTCAGAACGTTTTTGATGATATTCAGTAGCTGTAGTAAAACCCATTGGTACTAATTTAGCTGCTTCAGCCTAAATAATATATTCAACTGTTTTTGTTTTAATTTATTTTGTTGCAAAAAAAAGAAACTTACAGCTAATTTATCTGCTTTTGCATCACTAATACCTTTAACAGCTAAAAGACTTTTTCTTGGTGCAAAAGCAATAGATTCTACTGTACAAAATCCAGCTTCTTGTAATTTTTTTAAATCTGCATTACCAATACCACATGATTTATCTAATTTTGTAATTGGTGTTGGTCCACCAGAATCACAATCAATTGATACACTTTCATTGACATGAAGATCTGTACTAACAGCAACTGATTGTTGAATTGATAATGTTGTGTCTTTTTCAGCTGTTGATTCTCGTGTTTTAGTTTTAGGTGGCATTATTAGAAACAAAATGAATAGTCTAATTCTATTGAGAAAAACTTTCAATTTATGTATGTGAAAGAATAGATGAATTCCAACAATGACCAACGGTCAATCTCTTTAGATAGTGAGTAACGACTTTTATAATTGTTCCATAGGTTCAATTCATTTTTTTTTTCAAAAGAAAGTATTCAAATCTATCCGATACTATCATTTATTTCTTTGAATAAAAATAGAATTTTCAAAATAAGTACAAAATTTCTTTTGGAATCAATTAAATAAATGATAGATGTCGTCTATTTCTTATATAATAATGTTTGATTCGTTCAATCAATCCAAAATTTACCTAATGTAAAGAGTTTCTAACATTGACCAAGTTACAGAATTTTACTCTTTAGCAACAAAATGACAGGTGTATTATAGTGAGATTCTTATCAAATAATTAAAAATCGAGATCTTTTTTTTGAAATACTTATTCTCAATTCTCAATGCAAATGAGTCAATATTAAGTATGACGAACACAAGAGTTCTTTTTTTCTGAAGAACTATCTCGATCAAAAAAATTATTTGATAATGATGTCCTCGTTTTTGATTTATAATAAATATTGAAAATCAGTACACTAGGATAATAAAAAGAAGATAGATATTCATTGATGTTTGTCATAATCTTAGCAAAATATTCGTTTGAATTTTCATATAAAGTGTAATCGACATTTTTTGTTTGTTTTACTTTTAGATATAATAGTAACATCTTGTTTTGTTTCATGAAAAGAAAATATATGTTTTCTATTAAATAATACATTATAGAATAGTTTATGTTTGAAATGTCAATAATAAACGGATGAAAGTAATTTCCTGTAATACCTTTACCGGAAACTTATATTTTTACTGTCATTATATAGAAAAACACACTTAAAATTTTGAATAGACTTGCTTATACCCTAGTTTTTACTTTGATTACTTTTGAAAAAAACAAAATATATATTTATATATTCAATTCATTTTTTTTTGTCATAATATCATTTTTATTCATGCTGTGATATTGTAGTGTATTGACAATATTTGTTATTATTTTTACATTTATCTCATTTCTTACATGTTGGTGTTTGTCTACTGATGAGTCATGATTTACATATATGTATAATTCTATACATATATTTATGTACTCTAATTTCGTATATAACAATATTTCTATTGTTTGTATTTCTTTATTTCTATTCTATTCTTCATTCCATTGGTATGAGTCATCACAACATATAGATCTCTATATATATGCTTGTCTTTTCTTAAAAAGATATAACTTTTGTTCGTTTTGCTTCATCTAACTTGTTAGTTGTTTCTGTTCTTCAAGTCAATAAAACAAGTTATTGACTTTGACCTTTATTGTATTACGTAATTGATAATACAATGCATTTTCTGGCTTTTACGTATAACTTGAATACGTGACAGATATAGAATTACCAACTGTCCAATTGCTTTTTCAACTGGCACTATGTGCATTCTCTAGACCATAGTGAACCATGAATATTCTAACAAGCGTACGGATCCTTCTATTTTTACTACAGAGATATTGTATTTTATAAATCGTATATCCTAATTACTCCTCAGGAGCACTAAAAAAACTGATTTTTGAATTTCACGTTGTAAGTTTGCATAGAGATAAGCTTTAATTAGACTAGTTTATTATAAAAGTTTCAGATCATTTGATTTACTTCTATCCCGAAATAAGAACATCGAAATAATGGATATATATATGAGCAATGTAAGATGATGCATACTTTTATCGTAGTCATATTTTAAAATAGGAATAATGAAGGATCTGAATTTTTTGTTATAAATTATTCTTTTTAAGAACTATCTCCATGAAAAATTTTAAGTCGAACTTTAAAAATCAGTTTTTATGTTGTTTCTGATGAAGATCACAACATAGATTTGAAAAATATCGAAAAAAAAATGTAATTTCTCCGAAACAACAAGCTAAGAGCTGAACAATTTTTTCTTTCCTCAAAGTATTCATAATTTATTAGGGTTTACATGATGCACATAACCTCGATTGAAAAAAATGATTAATCAGTCAGGGAACTTCTCTCATGAGAAAAGTCTATCATGCAAAGACTGTCTTCATGCCTTGTTTTTGTTTAACATTATATTCTTTATATTATAGAATTAATCGAAAATGATTGATTCTACTTATACAAATATTAATGAAATCGATTCTAATTTTCTCTATAATTAATGAAAATAAAGTATATTAATTTCTATTTGTTATTCACCTACGAATAAATGCTTTAGTATTTCTTAAAATTTTCATCGTTTTGTTTTTATTGATTTCAATTATGTCGTTTAATTCAACGATATTTATTTTTTTTTGAAATATTCTATATAAATGATTATTTTTTAGATATGAGTTCTCCTAGAGTATTTTTTGATGTTTATGCTGATAGTACATCTCTTGGTCGTGTTGTATTTGAATTATTTGATAATGAATGTCCAAAAACATGTGAAAATTTTCGAGTATTATGCACAATGGAAAAAGGTTATGGATATAAATCGTCTATATTACATCGTGTTATTCGTGGATATTTTTGTCAAGGTAAAAACGAAAATGATTTGCTACATATTCATTCATTCATTCATATGTTTTCGATTGCTTGTAGGAGGTGATTTTACTTCGTATGTATTGTCTATGATTTATTTATTTTTTAATATTATTTTATTTTATTTTAGTTATAATGGAACAGGTGTATGTAACTCTTACAAATAAAAAATAAAAAACTTTGCAGGATCTACTTGTTTTGTTTTTTTTCTCATTTATAGGGAAAATCAATATTTGGTAAAAAATTTGAAGATGAAAATTTCAATCGAAAATTTACTGTTCCAGGATTATTAGCAATGGCTAATCAAGGTATATAATATTGCTAAATTTGTTTTAGTTTTTGAATAGATTTTTCTATCTCAAGGGCCAAATACAAATACATCACAATTTTTTGTTACACTTTTACCATGTCCATGGTTAAATGGTAAAAATGTTGTATTTGGTCAAGTTGTTGAAGGAATGGATGTAATTAAACAAATTGAAACATATGGTAGTGAAACAGGTGTACCTACACGTCGTATTCTTATCCAAGAATGTGGTCAATTGTGAACAATATTAATATTCATGATAATTATCTGGTTTTTTTTTTTTGGTTTTTATTGCAGTGAATATCTTATACGCACCGTCCGTTTTTAATTTCTTTTTGTTTTTTGTTTTTTTTTTATTTAAATATTTTACTCATATGTTTGTATGTGTGATTTTAGGAACAAAAAAAAATAACAACTAGTGAATCATAATGAATTGAAGCATAAAGTACAAAGTATAGTTAATCTTCAATAATGATTATTTTCATGTCTAGCGAAAATAAGAAGAAGAAAAATTGAGAAAAAAGAAGAGAAAATTGTTGGTTAGACAACCTTGCCATATGAACATTACATCCGTCCCACTCGATATTTTTTCTCTTTCAAGACGAGAAAGTAAAGGAAAAAAAACGTTCGCAATTCAAGTCGGCAGGACTATTTTTCTTTCTTATTTCTTTCTCGTCAGAAAACATAACGAGTGAGTAGAGTAAGTTGCTTGTTTTATATTCTACAGATTTCATACTCATTGACAACAAGTATGATCTTCTCCAGTTGGCTTTTATTGATCTGCTTTACTTCAGCATTTTCTCAAAGTATATTATTGTTTTGATAATTTTTATTTGTTAATCATTATAAATATATATTTAATATAGATTGTTCTGATTATTATACATGTCAACTAGAGTTATATGATCGACTATTGACAAAGTCACGTCCATCTATACGTCCAATACAAAATGATTTACAAAAAATTAATGTTCGTCTTGGATTTTCATTAATCAGACTTGTGTCTGTTGTATGTTACTTTATAATTCTAATCAGAAAAAAACCAAATGCTGTTCTTTTTTTAGAATGAAGAGGATTCATTAATAACTATTCGTGCACATATAAATCAAGTAAAGAAAAAAAAAAACAACTAATCCATTAAGTCTATTTTTTATTATTACAATTCTTTGTTTTAGACTTGGAATGCTTCAATATTTAGCTGGAACTCTACAGCATATGCTAAAGTTCAACATTTTCGTGTACCAGCTCATTCAATTTGGACACCGAAAATAGAATTAATTAATCCGTATGATTTTTTTTTTCGTTCATTTAAATAATCTACATATTTATTTCACACTATTCAGAAGTACAACAATCGATTCTGAAGCAAATCATTTTATTGATGTTCAATCTAATGGTCAATTTGAATTATCATATTCAATACTTCTTACAAGTCCATGTAATTTTGATCTGAAAAATTTTCCATTTGATCAACAATCATGTACATTCAAAGTAAGAAATTCATTCAAAATGACAAATAAAATCATTAAAATTTTTCTCTTTTTAGATTGGTTCAACACTTTATGATATTAATGAAGTATCAATATCACAAGCAATTGACTTTGTTATTGATGAACCAAGTTTAATGCCAAATGGTTATTATTTTGTATCACATGAAGTCATTCAAGAAAATGTATTTTTTGCTGGTTTCGATCGAAGTTATGATCAAATATCTATACAAATAAATATTCATCGACGTTCAACATATTTTATTCGACTTATTAATTGGCCCGGTACAATTCTTATATTTTTAACATTAACAATTTTTTTTCTTCCACCATCAGCTTCTGAAAGGATTTTTTATGGTAACAATAATCTATTTTTTTCAAATTAAATCAAATATAATTATTTATCTTTGTCTTTAGGTGCATTATTACTTATTTGTCAATTTATTTTATTAATTATTTTTGCTTTTCATGTTCCCAAACGATTAGGTGCATCATGGCCATGGATGGGACATGCTATTTTTTATGATATTTGTTTAACAACATTGGTATTAGTGTTTTCAGTCTTGACACGAATGCTTTCAGATGGAAAAAATTATATAATTGAAAGACCATCTATGAAAATACGCACTGTATGTGTATGAAAATGTGAATTTTATTTTTAAAATAAAATTTATTTTAATTTTAGGTCTCTTTTTATTATTTAGCAAAAATAGTTGGTCTTAAACGAATATCAAATGCAACATTAATAACTACTCGTGAAAAGTATGTATCTATTTATTTTTTTAATAATTAAACGTTCGCATACTTTCTTTTTTTTGTTTCAGTGAATATGATACAAATGATTCGGCTATGGAACCATTAACAGCACTTTCAAATGGTTCAACCACAACATCTGATCCTCTCATTTTATCATCAAATACAATGACTCGTGATATAACTTCAATAAGACAAAAATTGAATACAGTAATAAATGAACAAAATATTCATCAAGAATGGATTCTTCTTGCTCATATTATTAATCGTTTATGTTTTATTATTTATTTATTTTTTTTTTCATTTTCAATTGGAAATCATTTATTTCATAAATAACACAATAACTAATTACATCAATATAAAACATTTTTGTCCTGTTCTTTTTTTCTTTTGTATTCATCAAGCAATATAAAATATTTACTGCTATGGATCACTATTATCTTTGTCGTAACGCTTGATTTACCTGTATATATATATATATTTCGATTCTTTTTTTTTTCCCTTCTTTTTACCATTCATACATGTGCGATATTGTCAATGGATTGAAATACGTGATATCAAAATAAGCATAGAAAAGAGTGTATGTTTGTGAGCGATCAAGAAACATAATCAACGACAAATATCAACGACAATTAAGGTATGTTTATCCATTTGTTTTTTTTTGGAAATAAAATCTTCAGATTTTACCACGATAGACTTTTCAATTGAATATTTATTACGATGGGTTGTACTGGATCAATAAGAAAGAAAAAAATCAAAGATAGATCATCAAGAACAACTTCTAGTTCATTGCCATCATACAATAAAGATACTAATGAATTGGAACTAGAACTTTCTGATAGTATGATTGAGAATTTATTAAAGAAAACAAAGTTTACCAAACGAGAAATAATTGATTGGTGGTATGGATTTTTAGCTGATTGTCCATCAGGCTCATTAGATAAACATAAATTTATTGAAGTTTATCAATATCGATATCCAGTTGGAAAAGCAAAAGGATTTTGTGATCATGTTTTTCGGACATTTAATCCGGATAAAAAAACTCATACTATTGATTTTGAACGATTTATGTCTGCTATTAATGTAACGTTAAATGGTACTTCGGATGAAAAACTTGAATGGGCATTTGTAATGTATGATATAAATGGTGATCAACGTATATCAAAAAGTGAAATGTCAAATGTACTTGAATCAATGTTTGATCTATTAGGAAAAGATAAAAAAGGTTCGAATAATCCCCGAAAACAAGTCGAACAAATATTTTCCCGAATCGATTCAAATCATGATGATTATATTAGCAAAGAAGAATTTTTCTCAGGATGTAAAGCAGATGAACATATTCGAGCAATTCTTGCACCATATTAAAAATCATGTTTATTTTTTTCTTTAACATTTCAATTTGAAGAAAAAAAAAGAATATCAATTCTTTTTATGAACATTATTTTTTTTTGTTTCTTTGTCTTTTTTGTAAAAAAACTGATGATTTAAAAGTCGAAAAGAGTAGATGTTTGAATTTTTTTCTTGTTCTTTTTTTTTTTTTTTTTTAAATTATTTATATGTTAAACTACTGTAGTGATAATACAGAATAAAAGTGAACCAAGGGTACTAGCCAAAAAAACCTTATGAATCATTATAGAATACGAATCTTCATTGTAATTAAGGTAGTCTTTATTTAAAAAACAAATGATTCATTCGAATGTGTATTCAATCAACGTTTAGGTTAATTTGCTCTATTCTGTTTTCAACAACGATCGTTTTGCAATTTGTATCAAATCGTAAAGACGTACGATCAAGGCTTTTGATAAAAATAAAAATAAAAACTAAAGATATTTTATTTTTGATTGTAAAGGATTTATTCAAGAGTTAAATGTTTAAATTCAATATTGCTAATAGTGTTGTTTTTCTTCTTCTAATATCTGGAAGATTAATCGAGTTCTTGTTTAATAAACTGATAAAAAAGTATTATGAGAGAATATTTTGGTTGAATATTTGATTTTCCGTAACACTGTATTCAAGGTCAAATAATTACATGGTAATAGAAGATAATCAAGAACAATTTAGAGTATATTTACTGTATACAAGAAAAAAACGTTTTTTTCAATAAAAGAAAATTGCATTCAAGAAAAAGAAATGCAGTCATATTTGCATAGGTTATCGATCGCGTGATTTAGTAATTTTATCAAATAAAAGCAAACTGCATTGGTAATAGTAATTAGAATGTTATTAATGAGAGGGTTCGCCGCAGGACCAGTGTAGGCGACGGAAGAAAAGTTTTTTTTCGATTTACTTATCTCAAAAGGAAAGGTCTAGTCAAATCATAGTTAAATCTAAAAATATTAGGTCATTTCGTTTTCTCTGTGAAAAACGCGAGCTAAAACAAGTTCAAGGCGTTCGTTTTGACTCTAAAAAAATCGCTAAAAGTGAACGTGTTCAGTATTTTGGCATTCTGCTCCGAATGGCATAACTGTTTGAGCTCGGAGACGTCTCATTTGATAGAGAATCATTCTTGTGCCAATTTGCTCACTTCAGTTAAAATAGACTTCGTTTTTCTATCATGTATATATGTTATCATATTGGCTCAGACCAACTCTATAAGAATCATAGTAAAGTGTCTCATTGGTAAATAGATCTGGGTGTGAGGATGGCTGAAAAAAAAACAAACATCTACACCCACCCTTCATACATCCTACCAAACTTAGAAGTCTTAAGAAAAATAGTTGACTAAAATAAGTTTTAATGAGATAAGATAAACTGTAAAAGAATAAATGACGCTTCACAAAATCATGTAGAGATTTCTTGGATCTTATTTCTGTAATACAATGATGAGAAAACTTGAGTTCTTTTGCTAAAAGATAAAATGCCGCATCTTCTCAATGGATAGTTGTCTCCAAAATAGATTCAAATAAATGGTAAAATCTGTATTAAAGTAAACATGTTCATTATTATCTATGCTTTCTATTTATATCGTCATTTTGTTGACTTAAGCCAACAGACTACTGCAACATCAAATAATTCTTACAATTTTCAAGATAAAATATCTAATAAAGAAAAAACTAATTGAAATATTAACAAAATATTCAAGCATTTACTGAGTAACTCAGTAGCCTTTAAATGTTGATGAATGAATACAAACCTTATGAAGAGTTATGATAACTTAAAAGATAGACATACTTGCTCTTGAGAGAAAATTTTTTATTTAATAATTTTTTTTTCATTATACTGCCTTTTGAATAAAAAGAAGTACAAAGAAAAATTTTAATTTCTTTTGTAGATTGGAAGATTGAGATTTCGTTCTTTGATTTTGAACTTTACTGATAAAACATGATTTCTTACGGATGCAGGTCACTTTAATATTATTCTCATAGAATAATACTGTCTCTTTCAAATAGAAGCAATTTGTATGCTTTTCTTTAATCTATATTTCAGTGGTATCTTCTAAATTGAGATTTTCATTCGAATATCACACAATTTCAATGAATAATAACGCTTGGTAGTATTCATTTAGAGCGTATTTTGCCTTTCGCCTGTTAATCCATTCATTTATTCAATTTTTATTTAAGAAGAACAACCTCATCAACAAAAAACTCCACTATATCTATCGAAAAACAGCGACGCAAGTTCAGTCAATAATGTCAAACATTAGCAACAATGCGTCATTGACTAATAACAAGGGATCGGATCTACTAGTTACTTATTATCCATTTACTCTTATTATTGTTGGCACTCCATTCAATTTTTTCACATTTACTATTCTTTGTCGATCAACTTTTCGAGATACAAATAAAAGACCAACGATTCATTATATGCGAACAATGGCTATCTTTGATATTCTCATGTTATATGGATGGAATTTAGATCATTATCTTGATGGAGCATATGGATTTATGCTTCAAACTTATTCAATACCTTTTTGCAAGTTTTGTTCATTTTTAAATTACTTCGCATCACAAGTTTCAGCATGGTTACGTGTCTTCATTTGTCTTGATCGATATTTATCATTAAGTCGTCTTCATAAAACATGGTTTAGTCAATCACGAAATGTTCTTATTATTATTATATCCATCATTATAGTATTCACTATTATTAATTTTCACTTCTTTTTATTTGCTTGCTATTATGATAAAGATGGTACAGTCAATCCGCAGGCTAGTCTATATAACATATATCCATTATGGGATTCTATAAATTTAGGTCTTTACAATTGTGTACCATTTGCTTTTATGGTTCTGTTCAATAGTGGTGTAATTTATCATTTAATTCGTCTTCATCAAACAAGTATAATTCAAAACTCTCGAATTCAACATCGATCTATATCGGTGACATTAGTTATCACCACATTTCTCTTTTTAATAATGACTACACCAGCTACAATATGTTTTGCATTCTTTATTGATATTACCGGTTATGTTCTTCTGCATTTGTTTGATTCTATACTTTACACATATTATGTGCTGTCGTTTTTACTATATTTAATTACATATAAAGAATTTAGACAAGAAATTATAAAATTAGTAACATGCATTAAACGGCACATTACTCAACCATCATCAGTCACTACAAAATCTACGACTGGTCAAGCATAACGGAAGGAAATATGAAAAAATCTATTTAATGAATGTGTATATGATCAATCATGAATGATATGACACTGAGTTCGAATGCTGTTTAGAATTATTTGGAAATATTTAAGGATTCTCTAAAGATAAAACTATGTTTCTAATTCAATAATCAAGCTTGTTTTATTGGATTCAATGAGCTTTCGCTTTTGTAAGCTTTGACTGTCGTAGTATGCATTTTACTCTAATGTTCTCTATTTTTTTCAATAAATTCATTGATATAGAAATTAATATGTGATCGAAGATTTTACATAATATAACGTTTACGCAAACCATTACCTTAGTTGTCTAGGAATATAATATTGTATGAAAAAAATGATGATGATTAGAAAGTCTTCGTGAAGTCATCATAGTTTCCTGATATTTTTCAAAAGTCTTAAAAGTAGTTCAGCAAAGTCACGAAAGTGTGACATATATAATTTATCCAATAAATAATATAATAGTTGTTTCTAAGTGAATTTTTCAAAAAAATAATAAATACATACTTTTTGTTTCTTTGTACTAAAAGAATTCCTTTAATTTTTCAATCTTGAAAGGTAACTATGAGAAAAAGTCACGATTATCTTTTGCGTGATATGACCATGATCCTCTAGTTGTAATTTGATTATTGGAAAAATCATAAAGAACTGAAATTGACGGTATGTCATTTTTCTGGCTTTCATTAGAAACTCACACTCTTTGTGTATTTGTTGGTTTAGATCTGTATATATATATATATATATCATTGAATTCTCTTCATCGAACATAATTCTACGATTCAAAACATGTTCTTATTATCATTTAATGATTGGTGGATATTTTGTTGGATTAAATTCAATCTTCTATTTCTATGATTGCTCTCTTATGAATAAAGATAATATCAGTATTCAATATTTGATCTTTGAAAATTTATCTGGTATAGGATAATGTTTGTTGAGTTGTATACAATTCTCTTCCATTTGTATTGATATTGATATTTAATAGTAGTATAATTTAACATTTGAATCGCCTTCGTCGTGCAAGGACTATTCAGAATTTCTATATTCAATGTTTAGGCATCTGGATTACATTGGTAATAATAACATTTCTCTTCTTAATAGTGACTATATCAATCATTGTTATATTTTCATTTTTTGCCTGAGATATCAGTACTACTTTTAAATGTTTTTTGAATAGAATTCTCTATACATAGCACATAATATTAATTCCATTATATATAATGACATTTGATGAATTTCAACGAGAATAATTCGTAATGATCCTATGTAATAAGAGTCAAGGAAATGTCGCACCTTCATTTTGTATTGAATAGCATAGGATAAATAATTACAGCCTAAAGTATACTGTATATTGAACAATTACTATTTCAGTCTTAGTAACGTTAATGTAGAAATCGAACAATGTATGGCAGAAATACTTCTCTAAATAATTTACATATTGATATATTTATCTTTTAATGCTATTTTCGATGTTGCATGTAGTTTTGGTTTTGTGTAACTCTTATTTTCGTCATTGTGAACTGCCATTTGTGAGCGTATTATGAACATCATTAGAAAATTTAATGTTAGTTATATTTAACATTGATCGAAATTAAAACGCTCAATAAAAGCTTAGTTTTTTTTTTCAAAAACCAGCTTTGTCTCAGTTTTATTCTTCGAAATTCAAATTCAATACAACATGAAGTACTCATAAGAAAAGCTCACAATGATTTCAAAATACAGTGTTTTTTGTTCAATAATCGTATTCTAGTTAATATGATTTGTAGTTTAACAAATCGATTCAGAATAATATCACTAAGTTCAATTGTAAAAGAATCATTTTGTCACCAAACAACAATAACGAGAATTGAACTTAAAGATGTGTAAGAAAACACTATTGATTATAGATATTTTCAATCGATGATTATTACATATAAAAAGATTTCTTACATTTCACATCCTACTGTAAAACTTAAATTTGAAAAGTAAATTTTTTAGATTAATGTCTTAAATTAACTTATTATTTTAACGGCAATGTTCAAGAACTAAGAAATAGAAACATCCTACGCTATCAATTAACTATCAACATTGCTGTAAATTATTTCTCGAGATTCGAGAAGTAATCGTCAAAAATTTCGTCACAGCTGCGCCATTTATAATGATCAAAATGAAGCATTTTATGTAATAGTTTTAACAATGCACTCGTTTGCCTTCATAAATTTCAAGCGAAAACTATGGCTGATATTGAGTTCTTTTCTAATTTTCTCAGTTATAAAACATTATGGAAATTGAAGAGGAAATCTTACTTCTCAGTCGTAAAATATTCTTCTTCTATTATGACTTTCAATTTGTGTTTTTTCAATAACAAGCGAAGATATTGTGTACATCAATTATTTTGGAATCGATAAATTTTAGAAAGAAAATTGTAATCTTATGACTGAGTACAAAACTTTTTTCACAATCAATTTAGTTAGAAAATTTACGTTCTGATAAGTCAATTGATCGGAAAATCGAAAAGAAATTAATAAGCATATGTGACGAAATTTATTAAAATACAAAATCTAAAAAATGTACATCAACATGTTTTTCAACAGTATTAGAGGTTAATCGTTTATGATTTTTCCTTTTCAAAGCTATATTAACACAAAATATAAACTTTCGATGCATGTAATCTAAGAAATAGTGAAGAAAAAATTTTGCATCAGTCCACTAAAATGCTGTGTTTCTCATTGCATTGAAACCATTTGTAATAGAATATTTGATAAATATGAAGATAAAATGATTCTAAATACATCACTGATGACGGATTATAAATATCTTTTAATTAGCAACAGGATATATATTTAATATTTGAACATTATTATTAAATCCATTCACTTCATCACTATAAATTTAATAATCTTATCAATCACAAGATTGATGTTATAATCATCAATTTTTCGCTAGCATACAAAACTTAAAATTTTGTATGACAATTGATATGAAGCATGAATTCAAGTTGTCGAAAACTTTAGTTTTCTTAGAAGGAAATATTTCCAAGTGTTTACGTCTTTTTCAGCTGACGCCTTATCCACAAGAAAGTTTTGTTGAGTTATGAAAAGCTTTCAAAAGGTTTGTATACATGAGTATTCTTTGCTGAGTTTTGAATGGTTCGCGTATACTAAATTATACTAGACTTTCTAATGTTACAACCTTAAGAAATTTACAGTTGATAAATGTCAGAATTTTTTGAAATTTCACCACGATTTTCTCATGCAATAGCAGCAGTTATCGTACTGCTGAATAATGTATAGTTGCCTTCTTATGAAAATCATTGAGATAAACGGGTAATGTTCTAACAGAAACAGTATTAAAGAAAAAAACGTTGGCAAAACTAGCATAATCTAATCATTGTTAAGATCACTCTCAAAAAAAAAAAGATTTATAGCCTCCTACCTTTTAATAGTGACCAATAAATATTTTCCATCGCTTTCATATGCATGAGAAATATTCGAACAATTCGAAACTCATCAAGGAACGCCCATGAATACAAATCCTTTGGAGGTTGTTCATAATTCACCAACGCCTACTCATAGATAAAATATTAGTTTAAAAGAGTATGAATACCCGGGAGTGTGTTACCCAATACAAAAGAATAGAATAAAATCATTTGGTTTGCAAATCAATGAATCCAAATTTTAAAATATTTTTTTGAATGCTATTAAAAAAAATAATTAACTAACATCTGTTTATTAATTAATGTCGCATTCTAAAGCAAAAAAGGTTGCATCATTTCTCACAGATCTTGACTAATACTTTTTTTTACTTATTCATTTCTCTTGATGAACGTGCTTTCTTAAAATTAATGTCTTTTTACTATACACGATATACTTCAACAATGAATCGTCACTCCCAAACTATAGATAATGTTGTTAAAAACTGCTCGCTGAGAATGAAGCAAATAACCAGAACGCTTCTTTTTTATATTAGAATTCTTTAGAGATCTTATTGGCAACTTCTTAATTAAATAGACAGTATTTGGAATGGATTTTTCATTTATGCATAAGAAATAAATTTTGTTCTGACAGATTTATCTATATACATTCTTGACAATTATGTTTTGAAAACTATCGATGATGAACAAGTGAAAGAATTGTGTTTTCTAGCATATCGCTAATTATATAGTAACCAAGACATGTCAAATAGAGTCTATCATTCTACTCCATAGTTGACATAAAAAAATAAATGTAAAACACTGGTTGTCTTTGTCTTGATCGTTATTTCTTATTTTTTTAAACTCATTTAATAACAACTACAAGGAATTGACAGTTTGTTATTGTTATTAGCAACTTATACAGCTAATGATGATGCAAGTTGACCATGCGTAAAGAAGATTTCTTTTCTTACTCGTTCTAAAATAGTTTTTCAATTTTCAAAAACATATATATCATAAATTTAGTAATTAACTTTATTTTGTAACAATTCCTAAACATATTTTCCTACTTGTTTACTTACTTTTTTTTTCCTATTTCCTTAAAAAACTTTCTTTCAAAAGAACATCTCCATCAACATTAACTACACCGACATTCTTACAACAGTTCAGAGAAACTTATATGACTATGTCACATTTCAATAATAGTAATACATCAATAGGAAATGTTGATGAAAAAAATAAATTTGTTACTTATTATCCATTTACTCTTATTATTGTTGGTACTCTATTCAATTTTTTCACATTTACTATTCTTTGTCGATCAACTTTTCGAGATACAAATAAAAGACCAACGATTCATTATATGCGAACAATAGCTATCTTTGATATTCTCATGTTATATGGATGGAATTTAGATCATTATCTTGATGGAGCATATGGATTTGTTCTTCAAACTTATTCAATACCTTTCTGCAAGTTTTGTTCATTTTTAAATTACTTCGCATCACAAGTTTCAGCTTGGTTACGTGTCTTCATTTGTCTTGATCGATATTTATCATTAAGTCGTCTTCATAAAACATGGTTTAGTCAATCACGAAATGTTCTTATTATTATTATATCCATCATTATAGTATTCACTATTATTAATTTTCACTTCTTTTTATTTGCTTGCTATTATGATAAAGATGGTACAGTCAATCCGCAGGCTAGTCTATATAACATATATCCATTATGGGATTCNATATAATTTATTAACCCTCAAAATTTTTTTATCTATTAAAAACATCATCAAGAACCATACATTGAATTTATTGTGATGATAATCATTCAATATTTTCAGGGAGTTCTCGACAACTTTTTTTTTTGTATTTTCATTACAAAAATCTTTCAAACTCAAATCAGTGAAACAGAAAAGAATCCTAAGATGTTTGCATAAATAAAAATCATTAATCATCAGCACCATCTGTACTGTAGGTGCTGGAATCATTATTTAGTTCCTCTTCGATCCCTTCAACATAAATATCGGCTTTTTAAATGTTGTGTCATATTGTTCGACATGACTTATGTAACTGGTTGTTTCCGTGACATGTAAACCATATATCCATTCCTGTGTCAATTCGCTGACTTCCATTAAAATAAACTTCCTGTTTTTATCACGTATATATGTTATCATATGGGCCCCAGGCTAACTCTATAGGATTCATGGTGCACTCTTTTATGGGTAAAGGGATGTGGGTGTGATGGTGGCTAAAGAAAAAACTATCATCTACACTCTACATACTCACATCAACATCCAATGTGCAGTTTTTGATGATGTTTTTAATAGAAAAAAACCTTCGAAGGTTAATAAATCATCTCACGAAGTTGAAGGCATCTAAAAACTTGTAGAAGAAAATATCTGTTAGCTGCTCAGATTTTGAAAGAAATTTGGTGAATAGCCTTCAGTAAAATCTTTATATCTTTTAGATGTAAACAGTTGTCGATCTCGGTCTTTCGTAGATTAATAGAGAAGAAGTTAGGCTACTTGCCCATTCTATTATAGTTGGAACAGTATATTGTTTTCAAAGCGAATTAAGCACATCTTGAAAACTCATGATGCATTCAAAGAGAAAAACGACTGGAATTTTTCATCAACTTTATAAAAAGATAAAGCAACGTCGATTTTTAGATAGTACGAAAAATTCAAGTTAATTTTCTCTTTTTTTTTGTTTAAAATTTATTCAAAAAATACACACGGCCATTTGACTCTGATATGAACATCAGTTGTTGTAGTTTGCCTTACTCACTTTATAATATAAGAACTTCATTATAAATGCACTTTAAACAGCCATTAATTTTTTTTCTAATATCAATAAAAAAGGATGCAAAGTCTTTACCAAGAACAACATGCTTACATGAATGAATATGATTCATACGAATTTCTTAAAAAGCACATCATCCATTCCAGTTATTGTAGTAGAAGATTTTTCTTAATTCAACTCATTGAAATTTGTTTCAATTATAATAGGATTATTATGCAATGAAATCCTAATTATAATCGATTAAGAATATATTTAGTCCTTTTTAATGATTAAAATCTCCTAAATCATTATAATTTTGATTTTGTTGCACAATAATCCGATTATAATCGAAACATTTTTCACTGGCATAGAACATGAATAATAGATTTTAAGACTTCAATGAGACTTTCAGGACTGAAGTCTTGTCTGTCTTTCTCTTGTTTACATCATACAAATTAACTAGTAAACATCCTAAAAAGCATGGCATATCTAGTACAGTTTGAAATGTCATAGGCAATCAATCGATGAATCATTCAAACGACTATCATCTTTGCATGAGAATATGTTTAAAACAAATCTTGATAAAATTAAAAAATTTCTATACAATAGATAAATAAATAGGAGTGTATTGTTTTATTATATATGACAAAAAAATAATATTTTCCATTTATTGAAATAATATTTGTAAATTAAGTTAAATAGAAAACAAAAAAGCAAAAATGTCTATTTATTCTCCATGTGTCATATGTTTCTTTTTTAAATGATTATGTTGTTGATGCTTTTTATTGTTCTGATCATTTATTAATGCTTCTTTAATATATAATTTTTGATCAGGATTTAGTCCATAGGGATATACAACATCAAATTCAATAATTAAATCTCCATACTTATCTGGATCTGTCATTAATGGCATACCATGAGCTGGTATGCGTTTTTTATATCCAGGTCTACAAAAAGAAAAAAAGAAATAATTAACGTCTATTAAATATATATAATGACCTTCGACATTTTTTTGCAATAACTCAACAACGAAAAGAACTTAAAAACTGTAGTTTTCATCATTCAAGAGAGAAGACTCAGGACCATCAAAGTATATCAAACTTTGATTGAAATGATAAAAATCGTAGATCTCTAGTTCTTTCTATTCTTGAATTATTGCAAACATACCCACGATCATTATATTTTTGAATAGACAATAATTTCTTATATTTTATTATTGTTTTGTTAAATAATTTCATTTTCTTACCTAACAATTTCAGTAATTGGTATATCAAGTAATCGTCCATCAAGATGTTCAATATGTAATGTAGTACCAATTAATGCATGTCCTAAACTAATTTTAGCTGTATAAATAAGATCTATATTATAACGATGAAAAGTAGGATGTGGTTTATCTTTAACAGTAAAAATAAGATCTGACGGAATATTATTTGGACCTTGATCACCTTCACCTTCAAACATTATTTTTGTACCAGGCAACAAACCACGTTTAACAGTAATTGAAAGAATTTTTTCACGAATACTTGATGTTATACCATCATCATTTAATACCTTAAATAAATGAAATATATATTTTCGATTTAGAATAAATTAATTCTTACTCTTCGACTTATTTTTATTTTTTTTATTGCACCATGATAACAATCTTCAAGTGAAAGTAAAAGATCACGTATTAGTGGTGGATCTTTTTTTATTCGACCACGACCATCTATTCCACCAAAACTTAATGTTCGATCTTGTTCAGCACTTGTATAAAATTCTAAATAAATAAATTCAATTGTTTTCTCGTTTTCTAGTAGAATTTTCTCTTTAGTTCTACCTGCAAATGGATTATCACCACCAAAAAAATCTTGAAATATCTTATCAGCATTTCCATGAAATACATAACCTTCACTCCATTCATGTTCTGATCCTTAAATTTAATTGAATATTTATTTTATTTATAAAAATTAAACCATATTTAACCTATTGGTACACCATTTTTTAAACCTTCACTACCATATTGATCATAAATAGCTCGTCTTTTATCTTAATTAAAGCAAAAATAAATGAATATATTTATTAAATATAATAAAGAGATGATATTAACACATACGATCATTTAATACATCATATGCTTCAGCAAGATCATTAAATTTATAAACTGCATTATGATCATCTAGCTTTTTAAGTGGATGAAGTTTAAGTGTCAATCGACGATAACTATATATATATGTAAACAAGAACAATTTAAAAGAATCTGTCATTGCATCTCTTACGCTGATTTAATATCACTATCTTTAGCAGTTCGAGTTATTTGAAGAATTTGATAATAATCTTTTCCCATTTTGAGTCTTTTCTTTTTGAATACAATGATTTAGTCAAATACATTCACTTTGCTTTGAAAATTAGCTAGAGGGAAATTCTCTCTTGCCATAAATATCTACTTTCACATAGCAACGACTTCTATTGTTATATACGAGTAATAGGCGACATCCATATTGGATTGGATTTTGATATCAATCGATCGAAAAAATTGTCCATAAAGAGAAATAAATAGAACTTGAGATTTAGAACTGAATATAATGTAAAAAAATTTTCTAATGAAGAATCTGATCTATTTTAGAAGTAATTTTAATCGTAGAATTAAGTGTAGAGATTTTTATAATATTTCATAAAGATATCAAATAACAAATTCTATGAATAAATAGCATAACTTCGTCGATATTTTTAATCAAATATATTCATACGAGAGTAATAAAGTATCAGTTTAGTTTTGAAGACAAGAATCAATCGAAAGTAAAATCACTAATGAAAAGTATTCTCGTCTGTGATATATAGAATTATAATCAATGAACATAAATTAAGTACAAAATTTATTCTATTTCATACATGACAAGTGAAAAATGAGTAAAATATGATTGTTGACTCTTTAATCCTTTACTCTTTTTCTTTTTCTTCCTTCTTCTCGTTATTTTGTTTCTTAAGGTCAAACAAGAAATTATGTTTGTAAGCAGAATAAGGACAACTTCTACAGGGCAAAACAGCCTCGTTCCATGTCGATTGATTATTAGTGAGTATTTATAAAATCTAGTTAATATCATATTTCGCATGCTACAATTGAATTCGAATTGGCACTATAATTAGTTTTTTTTTTAATGCTTAAGTAATATCTCAATCGTTAGTATAAGTGAACAAAAAAAAAAACCAGTATCTTTCTCAAGAGAAAGAAAAAAAGAAGCGACATTAATTTTATATTGATTGCTCTAGAACTTCAGATTTTTTTTTGAAGACACGAATTCATCATCATTTTTTCATCACACATCCGTTCATTAATCATAGTATAAAAAAAAAAATTCATCATCGGAAATCGCTTTCTTCCTTAGAGAAAAGTTATTTTTCTTTTGCTAATGAAGAAAAATGATTAATGTTGATTTCAATTTGACAAAACATCTAGTGACATCTTATTTTTTCATGAATAATTTTCCAGAGTATTAAATATAATAATATGAACATTTTATGTTTCTATATAATCATAAAAATAAGAATAAAATATCTACTAATTTGACATATGATATGGAATGATCAACACACAACAGAGACCATTCACCTAGTTAATGGCGGTTAACAACGGCTGCTGATTCGTTCTTTTTCTTTTCTTTTTCTTGTTTCCCTACAACAGAACCATATACAAATCGATTAAAAATAATTTCATTGTTTTAATATAAATTTTTTGTGTTTTTTTTTTGTTTTGTTTAGGTAGATATTATTTGTTTTCATTATTTTAATCGACATCATCAATTCTTCAAGTATTTCTTTTAGTCTTTCTCTTCCTTTCTCTTCTTTTGTCTATGAATTTCTTAATTAATCGATTATTTATTGAATAAAACCAAAAAAAAGGTCAAATTAATAATTTTCTTTTCTCAATAAAAACCAATGATCGATGGCAACGGTGGAGGTGGTGGTAGCGAAACCGACATTATCGGTAGCGCATCCGAAATATTCAAAGAACGTCTTTATTTTGCTACATTACGTATAAAACCTAAATCAACTACAAATACACATTATTTTTCTATTGATGATGAATTTATTTATGAAAAGTAAGAAGAAAAAAATTTATATTTTGACAAAAAAAAGAAAATTTCTTTAAGTTTTTATGCTGATTTTGGTCCACTAAATTTGGCTGTTGTTCATCGATATTGTACAAAACTAAATAAAAAATTAAATGTAAACATAAATAAAAGATTTTCAGGATAAATCTTAGATAATTTCTTTTTGCATTTAGAATTCTACTTTAGCACATAAACGAATTATTCATTATACAACATTTGATCCAAAGAAACGAGCTAATGCAGCTTTTCTTATTGCTGCTTATTCAGTAAAGATTAAATTTATAGATAACAACACGAATTTCATTTTATTATTCCTAGATTATTTATTTAAAAAGAACACCTGAAGAAGCATATAAGCCATTAGTAAGTGGTATAAATGCTGCTCATCCATTTTTACCTTTTCGAGATGCATCACTTGGTTCATCATCATATAATCTTACCTTACTTGATACATTACAAGGTCTTTACAAGGTTGATTACTGTCTCATTTATTCTTGATCGTTATGTTTACTAATTATTTTTTTCTCTTAGGCAATGCTTCATGGTTTTTTTGACTTCGAAAATTTTGACCTAGATGAATATGAACATTATGAAGTAGAAACTAACAATTAAAACAACGATAAAATAAAAAAAAAAAGCGTTTTTTCTATTATTTTGTAGAAAGTTGAAAATGGAGATTTAAATTGGATTGTACCTCGTAAATTACTTGCTTTTTCTGGTCCACATGCAAAAAGTAAAATAGAAAATGTATGTTTATCAAAATTTTTTTTTTGTCCTTCGATATCCTTATCTGATGATGTAATTTTTTTATAACAAAAAACATAGGGTTATCCATTACATGCACCTGAAGCATATTTTACTTATTTTCGTAAACGTAATGTAACAACAATTGTACGTCTGAATAAAAAAATTTATGATTCTAAACGATTTACTGATGCGGGTTTTGATCATTATGAGTTATTTTTTAATGATGGTAGTACACCCAGTGATGCAATTACATTAAAATTTTTAAATATCGTTGAACAAGCAAAAGGTGCTGTTGCTGTTCATTGTAAAGGTATACTATTAAAAATAACAAAAAAAAAAAACAAACAAACGAAATTTTAATCGAATAAAATACTATATTTAGCGGGTCTTGGTCGAACGGGTACTTTAATTGGAGCATATTTAATGAAGCATTATAAATTTACAGCAGCTGAGGTTATTGCTTGGTTAAGAATATCTCGACCTGGATCTGTTATTGGACCACAACAAAATTATCTTGAAGAGTAAGTGCAGAATTTTATTTATAATAAAAAAAGACTTTTGTAAAAACAGGGTTCAAAGATATGAGGTGGTTGAAGTATAGGGATAAAAATTGGATCCTCACACAGATTGAGAGATTTGGTTGGTATATGATCAAAGAGCGTATATGAATAACNGAATAACTGGGGGGAGCCCTGAACAAACAAAATCTTTTTTTGTGTTAACCAATTCCCCTAATAATGGTCCCCCCCGTGCGTGGCGGGCCCCTTCTTTTTTGTTTTTCGCCCCCCCCCCCCCCCCCCCAATGTCGTGCACTCTACCGTTTTGGTAGTTTTGTGCCCCCCTCTCCCTCAAACTTAGTGACCTTGGGACACTCCTATGAATAACGCTCCATTATAATGTATGAACTGTTTCTCCATTGCATGTCTCAAGGATTAACCAAAAAGGATGATGGAGAAATGTATCCGAATATAGATTGAACAAAACAATCTCTCTATGATTAACAACAGGGACTGCATTGTCTTTCACATTTCAATCCCGTAGGGAATGCACTAACAGCTTTTTTTTTCCTCTAATTTTAGAAAACAAGCATGGCTATGGTCATTAGGTGATACATATAGAACTAAAGATCGACCACGATATATGTCATATTTTGGTACAAATTCTTCTATGGATACAGTTGGCCATAATCCACTTCGTTATTCGATTGGAGATAACAATAATAATACTAATACTAATGAAGTTTGTCTTTTTAATTAAGTTTTGATAAAAAAAAAAGAAGAAAATTTTATTTAGGAAGAGAATGAAGGTGAAATAACTCAAGGTGATCGATTAAATGAAATAAAAGCACGTCGTATGCAACATCATCATTCAACATTATCACCGAATTGGATTTCACCAAATACGAATGTAACATCAAGTCTTACGTAAGATCTTTTTTTATTTTTCTTTCAGTTTTATTGACTTAGCTAGTGCGAAAGGGATCTTTAGCATGTTTTACAGACAAAAAAAAAGAAAAAAAAAACAACTAATCATTTAGATGTAAATATTGTATTAAAACTTATCAGTCATCAGCGGCACTTAACAAGCATATGAAAAATCAACATTCCGATAAAAATAATCATGCAAATCAACAATTATCGATAATATGTGAAAAATGTATGAACAAGAAAAAATTTTCAAGAAAAAAAGCTTTACCATTACATCAAACTCGAACGCATGATAACAATAATACTATCGCCATTGGTGATGGTACCAATAGGTACTAGAAGAGTAATTTATAATCGCATGGATGAATTTATCATCTTTGATTGATCATCGAAATAAAAAAAAAATAAAAAAAGAAATCTATTTAAATGATATTAAATTAATTGTTTTCTCTTTCTCTTTCTAAATTTTGACTGCTCGTTAACAATTTCTTTTCTTTTGCTCCATAGCTGCTTGTAGAGTGATAGTGAATGTGTGATGTGGTTTAGAATAAGAAGAATACCTTTTTATAGTCTCGTCACAAGACCTTTATTAACAACATCGATCAGTGATGATGAACAAATGATACCAGTTCAAGTATATAGTAGTCGAGTGAATTCGACTCCTATCAATATTCTTGAATCAGATCAACCTATTATAGTTACAACAACTCATTTGCAAAGGTGTTTTTCATGAAAATGGATTAAACTTTGCTTTGATTATTTAAATATCATTGTTTCTTTTGCTGTGATATAATCAATTATTCCATTAGTCATACCTATTCCTGCCTGTTTTACCGTATATATATATGTATATATATATATCTATATGATTCTTGCATGAATGGTTTCTCTTAGATAGAAACAAGATAACTAAAAATTGCTTTTAATTCATGTTTGTTTTTTCAACATGCAATGTAAACATTTTTTTTTTCTGCAGATTCAATCCAACGGCAACATATAAACGTGCTCATACACCATTGACTATAACAGGCAGTATGCCAACTCATGTTTCACCGACAATAAATCCATCAACTGGTATGCGTCGTAGTTATGGACCAATGTCAAATACATCTTCCAATGTCATATCGAATTCGAATACACGTAAACCTCGTTCTTATATATCTTCAGCAACATCAATAATGAAAAGGTAAAATTAACTTATAATTTTCTCTTCTTTTTTTTTGTTCCATATTGAATCATAATGCCTAATATGACTATTATTAATGAAGCAAGAGAAAATAATTGTAATTTCCAGGAATCAGAATGCCTCAAAACATGATATTTTACACATGAATTCACTTATAGACAAAAAATCTCTAGTCTCTAAGGATAGAATAAATCCGATATTTATTGACCCAGAAATTCTTTTTGAAAAAATTACATGAAAAAAGAATGTTTTTGATTGAAATCAATCTCTTCTTTATTCTTTTTGTTTTTTTAATACTAGTCCAATGTATCCAAGTGGACGTTATATTAGTTCAATAACAAATAATAATAATAATAATGTTGGAACAACATTAACTATATCTGATAGTGATAATCGTGATCCAATATCATCAGCTATATTAAAGGTTTCTTCAAGTCAACAACATCGTGGTAAATCACAAATGACAAATAATACTCCATTACCTACTCATTCTTATTATACACGATCAAAATCGGTAGTTAATTATTAATTGATGATATTTTATTTACGTTGATTTTTTTTATTCTTTTAGTCTTATTCCAAATATTAATATGCACTATATGAAAGACCAAGAGAGAAAAATAAATGGAAAAGTTGTGTTGCTCTTCAATGCAATCTCTCACTCTTTCTTTTTTTTTTTGTGCCAAACAGCGTGTTTTTTTTTGTCTTTTTTTTTCAATGAGAATTGCTTTTTTTTTCTTCTATTCGTTTTGTTTTTGTTTTTTTTTGTAGTTGCAGGATTCTGTGCTTGAATAATGATGAAGAATTTTTTTTTTTTTAAAGAACAAGTACTCTCTTTGTCTCTTGTGTGTATGCATTTTTTTGTTAAGCTTATTTACTGATGCTGATGCTGCTGCTATTATTGATGCTTTTTTTCTACTATTATATATAAATGGAGTTTTTCCTTTTCTTGTCCTGTATATGTATTCTCATGTAATTTAAACGAAAAAAAATATATATATAACAAAGAAAGGCGAGAGAACAAGCCCACCGAAGCGAACAAATTATTATTGATAATTGGATTTATTCTTTTTTTTTGTTTTATATTTAGCTTAAATAATATGACTAATAAATGATGATTGTAATGTATACAGGAAAAATCTCATGTTTCATTCTTTGATATAATGAGATTCAACAATAATAAATGGAAAATATATACAAATGATATATATATATATATATATATATACTTGACTCTTTATTTAAATACTGAATAATAATATTTTCTGTTTCATCGAGCTTTGCTATCAAATGTTATATAAATCTATTCGATCAAAGCTTTGGAATAAAAAAAAAAAACATCTTCAATTATGTTCTTTCTCTTCAATACAATCATTATGAACATCTAGTTATTAACACTGGTGATTACGATTTTATTTTCATTGGCCTTCTAATGACATTTTTTCTCGCTTTATTGACAGACTGATGACTTAAGCATTAAGTTAAGTAGTTCATCATCATCGTCATTTTCTCTCTTATTGCGATTGCTAGCATACAGGAAGTTCTTATTGAGCAACGAAAAAAAAGGGTAAATGCACACAAACAGAGAGACAAGAGAAAAAGAGAGTGTGAGAGAATTCTCTTGAGTCTTTTTTCTGACGAGCATTCATCATCATTTTTCTCTTTTCCTATCCCCATATCAATATATTTTTGCAAAATGTTAGCATTCAATGTTATGTATGAAAAAAAAGGCGATGAAGAAAGGAAAAAAAATGAGAAAAATATATTACTACTAGAATCGAGAGAAATGTGATGTGGTTTGATGGAAGACGCATAGAACACGAGCGGAAAACAGAGCACGACGATGAGAGATCTGAGCTGAGAAGCATACTAGACGGAAAAAGTGAGGGAAACACATCGAGCAACTAAAGCAAACGAACGATAGCATTCAAAGGCACATGCATACACGAGTTTGCTAGTTGAACTTGTGAGTATTAGAATAGAATAGACGAGAGAGAGAGTGAGAGAGAGAGAGAGAGAGAGAGACAAAGAGGGAGAGAGAGAAGAACAGAACAAAACGCAACAAGATAGTACTACTGTGCAATGGCACAAAACGAGAATATGTAATTAATATGATTGCAGTGTGGCATCGCATTACCCGTCATTGTGTCTCCGGTTGTTCGCTCGCCATCCGCCCCTTCTCTCTTTACTGAATGTTAAGTTCATTGAAAAAGTGGGTGCAAGATGTGACGGTCGATCTTACTCCTCCACCAGCACCACCACAACCGTCGACATCTTCTCCTTCCTTATTATCATCATCCTTAAAATCAGGATCAGCACATCATTATTATTACTCTACAACACCTTCAAATGATCAACGGCATAATGAACGTTTATCAACAACTTTGTCATCAACGATGGGTCTCTCACGGCCTATATCAATGGATAGTGTACGTAGTTCAAAAATGGGTCCTACATCAATGCCACTACCACTAGCATCACCTGTTGAACTTGATTTAAGTCATTTAAATCGCGAAGAACAAGAACATATAGCAAATGTATTGCGACGAGCACGTGCTGTCGATGAACAACAATCATCAGTATCACCAGTTATTGTTTCTTCAATACAATCGCCACCAACATCAATAGTTTCAGCATCATTATCACCTTCAGTATCGTCATCATCATCAAGGAGTAGTTTTAATACTGAAAAACCGGAAACCTATGAACAGGACGATAAAAATGATGGTAGTGATATTAATGAAATGTAAGTAGATTATTTTTTTGCATGTTTCATTTGATCTCACGAGAAGGAAACTTTTAACAAATTTATTTTTGATAATTTCACACATTATCTGACTATTTATATATATATATATATATATTCATTTTTTCTATTAATCATATTGTTAGAAAATGATGCATGTCGAACAAAACGATAAAATGAAAATTGTTTCATGTTCTTTTCTTTAGGTTTTTATTCTCCAGACACTTTATAAATCTATAAATATATATATATATATATTTAATGATCACGCAAATAACTATAAGCTAATGATAAAAGATAATAAAAAAAATCTTTCATATTTATACAGCAGCCAATTATAAAAGATTATATAAAAATAGCAGTGATTAGATTTCTTCTTCATATTTTCTCATTTTTATTTTTGTTTTATAATCAAGAATCAAATGTTGTTTTTCATATGAGAAATCATGTAAAGAAAAACTTTCATTCGATCGATCTTAAATCATTGAGTATATATATATTTAATTTTATGATGAATGACTTGATCTCAACACTTTCATTCTTTGCCATTTTTTTTTCTATTATTAACAGACATGAAGATGAAGAATTGCCATCACCTACACAGGAATCAACATCAACAACTATTTACCGATGTCAAGTGTGTAACAAAAAGCAACAACAAGGAAATACAACGATTTGTCCTCAATGTCAAGAAAATGAAGAAGTTACTCGATTAACGCAAAACAATACTAGTTCTGTAAGTCAATATGTCTATTTATAATGCTGTTCAAGAGCTCAAAAAAAAATCGTTTTTTTTTTTTTTCATCAGCTCACGCCAACAAGAAAATCATCATCTCCTATACCAATGGAATTCAATAAACATGAAGAAGATAAAATTTATGATAATGTCATGAGAATTGATCAGGAACTAATAAAACGAAACTCTCCTATTCATCAACATGCATATCATAAAAATCATCATAACACGAAAAAAATCAATGATAATCAAGGTCAAGAACAACAAGACAACGAAGAAAAACAATCATATCAAACATTCATCGTTGAATCTAAACTACCATCGACATCGTTAGGAACATCACTTTTAATGAAAACACGAACAAATAATTTAACAGAAATAGATGAAGATGATTTTTTCTATCAAGGACCAAGTCCATATGCAACAGCAATTGACAATAATCTAATATCAGATCATATTGAAGAACCATCCATACCATCATCATATAAAATTGATGAATATGTTGAAGATGATGATAATAATGAACGTGATCATGTCAAAGAATTAGAACAAACTATAGCTAATTTATCTCGACATTTTCCAGTATCATCACAACAAATTAATAATGATGAAATAAATCCAATTGTAACAAAATTGCAACAGCCATCAACATTATCTGTTGATAATATTGATATTGATTCAATTCTTGAAATGGAAATTGAATCACCATCAACAGATGAAAATTATATTCAATCATCTTTATCTATTCATTCTACTAAAACATCTTCTCAACATTCTCAAAATATACCTATTTCAATACCTATATTAATTAATAATCGTCGAGGAAGTCTTAGTCGTTCATCTGGTATACGAGAAAATTTAACTGATTTACTTATAACAACAACAAAACAGATAATAGAATCTTCTCCTTCAGATAATCGACAATTACAACGTACTGCATCTACACATAGCAAGGTATTATTTTTTTTTTATTTTTAATTATATTTTTAATTCTAGAAAATCATATAACATGAATTAAATAACAAAATCTAGTTTATTTATATTCACTAGGATTAATAAAGTTCTTTTTCAATAATGTATATTTTTGATAAATATATGCTAAAATATGCATAGGATTAATAAAAATAACTCTATGGAATGTCCTTTTTTTTTTTTGTTTTTTTTTCATATTAAAATCACACTTCCGTTTATACTAATGATGCAAGCCTTTTTTTTTTCTTTTAATGAGGATTAGTACAGATGAAGATTTACTTCTAAATATAAAATATTAATTGGATTTTTTTTTCTATTTAGCGAATGATACCAATACATCGACAAAAACGAAATTTGCCATCTGTGCCTTTAATAATGGATAATTTACAATTACGTCGAACGAACTCGGAATCTCGATTTAGTCTTCCAGCTGTACCATTACCTATTCAAATATCTAATAGTAATATAGATGATGAAAGTGATTTACTTGAAATAGATATTAATAATCCAATGGATTCAATCAATAAAACAGGACGTTCAAAAACTGAATCTGAATTAATTAATAATAATGATATGAATTATTATAGAAAATTCTTTACTCCAACAAATCAATCACCATCTGTTGATATTTTATCTTTTCCTAAAATACAAATTAAACAATTACGAGATCAAACAACAAATACACCACCTATATCAAATCCTAATTCAACAACTAAAATAAAAAAGAAACTTAAAAAAAAAGGGCCATCATCACCGAATAATATTAATACCTATCATACAAATCTAACATATAGTAACGGTCAATCAACTTCAGCTGTAACATCACCAACATTAGTAAATCCTCCTACAATCTTATTACCTTCATCAGTATCAACTAACAATAATAATCGTCCAAAATTACAAAAGGTTTTCTTCTTTTTCTTAATTGAAAATTTAAATGAAAAATATTTTTCATTTCTTTTACAGAGTACAAGTACAGAAACGTCATATCCTTTTCCTGTATCAACATTGATTTTAAGTCGTGATAGTCTAAATGTATCTCAAAGAGGTACGTTGTTTTTTTTATTAAATACAAGCTTCTTTTTTTTTTTCTTTGATTTATCTATTTACACCTTTAGATGGCGCCGATCTTGGCTTTCGTATAACAGGTGGTCATTCAATACCAAATTGTATGGAAGTAGCAGCATGTATTGAACATATTGATAAACGTCATAGAAATTATAATATATTAAAAAATGCTGTACAAGAAGGTGAAATTCATTTTAAATAATTAATTAATTTTTTTTTTTTGATTTCAAAATTAAATCTAGGTGATGAAGTTCTTGAAGTTGGTGGAATATCCTTACGTGGTAAAAGTGCCTTATTTGTTCAAAATTTAATGAATTCCATACAAGATGAATTTGAAATTGTTGTTCGAAGGTATACAAAAACAAACGGATTAAAATAAAAATAATATAATTAATAAAATTTTCTTCTCTTTTTCTTAGTCAACATGTCATACCACCTATTTCACCTTCAATTGAAATTCATAAACCAGAAAAAAAAAATTTAAATGTTCAATTAAATAATAGCCTTGCAGTTTCATCTAATACATCATTAGTAGTTGATTCAAATATTCCACGAAGACATTCAATGGATACATCACAATATTCTCCAACACATTCACCAACTCATACAGTTGTTAAATCTCAATCAACAATAATGCCATTACCAAGAAATGATTCAAATGATGCATCTGAACAATTACTTTCACCTACAATGGCTCGACAGAAAAGTGTTTCTTCAAAAGAACGTCTTTTCTCTGTTGAATCTCTTCATCGTACATCATCAATTAAATCCGCTGAACATTTAATAAAAGTGGCTACGCAACCATCCGATGTAAATCATAGTCATAGTGGAACATATAATTTATCAGAACCAGAACGTAAACGTTCAATAAAACGTGATGAACCAAAATCAACATCGTTAGCTGTAACAACACCAGAATATGTAAATCATTAAAAAAAAAAAAACAGAAAGAATTTTTATTCATAAAAATTCTTGTTTTGTGTTTTTCGTTTGTTTTTAGAAAATTTCAAATGATGATTCAACAGGTTCATCACAACCAGTACAACGTCGTCGAATGTATGAACATCGTAATAGTTTATTACCGAATGATCCAGGTTTAAATGGAGCCGGAAGTAATCCAAGTATGGATCGACGAAATTCAAATGAATCTGATGAAAGTGATAATCTTTCACAATATTTTCGTTCAACACAAAGTCGAAAAAGTAGTTTAATAGCAACAAATGATCTATCCAATATTTCAAATACAGATATATCTCATGAACATATACAAAATTTAACACCAATTAATGATAATAATACTAATAAAACAATAGATGCATCAAGTCGTTTACAAACTTTTATTAAAACAAGTGATGAAAAACGACTATCAAGAGAATCAACTGGTAGTAATTTAATAAATCTTACTAAAACAGACGAAAAAAAATTATCAACTTTAGGTTCATTTAAATTTTTAAAGAAAAAAACAAAATCTGTTGATTTTTCAAATCCAGTATGTTTGAAAAAAAAACTTAATAAATAAACTAAACACTATTATTTATTTAGGCAATTGAAATACGTGAAAATGATTATGTTGGTGATATTGAATTACAAATAGGACATAATAGTGAACGTGAACAATTGGTTATAAGAATAATTCGAGCAAAAAATCTCATTGCAAAAGATACAAATGGTTATTCAGATCCATTTGTTAAAGTTTATTTATTACCAGGAAGAGAGTAAGTTCATTTTCAAATACATTTAGATTGATAAAAAAATTTTAAAATTAAATGTACCTAGTAGCGGATATCGTTTCTCCCTTCCGAAACATTCAGAAATGAGCTGATACAACATCTATTGGACTTCATATCACACTTTATGACCATGATTGATCCTCTTGTCAGATATTCACCAGTAAATGCAACTTTCTGTTTATATGAAACTATCAGAATTGAATGATTATATTTATTTATAGTTTGAATCTTAATGTCTTTTTAGTAATGAACTAATTTGAACAAAGAATAATTTTATGATGAATAAAACAGAATATTCTACGAGATTATAGTTTTCTTTGACTTTAGTTATAATAGATTACGATTAAAACTAGACGATTTAATAAAGCTTTTCAACTTCTTGAATAATAAATGTGTACGACACGATTAATTGCAAAATCTTGTTCGTTAAACTGAACTTTCAATGTAAACTATAATGAAGAAGTTAAGTGTTTTATTGAAATGATAGCTTTTGATAGGGTATGCATCAACAAGTTAAATAGCGATATTTCAATCTGAGGTTTTTTTTCCAGAAATAGGTTTACCTATTAGCATAATGTTCTAAAAATTTCAGCTCAAACGAATGGTCATTTTTTGAGATATTAAAGTCTTAAAACTTATATTCTACGAAAGATGTTAGAGTTTTCTTTGTTTTTTAGAGTATTTCAAAATCTCGAAATAGAAACATTTTTTTTAACCTAGAATTTTGAGGACATTCTACTAATAAATAGATCTGTCTGTGGATAAAATGTCAGATTGAAAAACTTGCATATGATTTCTTAGTATATACCAAGTCATATGTCGAAATTCTAGTAAAATGCCTATAACTTTGGACAGAATACCTAAGGAGAAACAAAATGATAGAAATACACAACAAACAACGAATTATTTACTTGACGATAGCCTACATATAAGGTCAAAATTTCATAATTTTCTTCTTTTTATTACTTGTAAACTTTCAAAAAAGAAGAATAAAATGATTGTCTCTTAGACAATTGTGGAAATATCCTTCAGTTTATGATGAACGTATTTCCTAGATTTCGTTTTTAATTTCTTCGTCGTTTTTTTCTCTAGTCAAGAAAATAAACGTCGAACAAAACATATCTCAAAAAATTTAAATCCTCTATGGGATCATACTGTTATCTATGGAAATATGCATCGAGAAGAATTACAATATAAAATGCTTGAATTTACTGTTTGGGATTATGATCGATTTAAAGCAAATGATTTTATTGGACAAGTAACAATTGATTTGAAAGGTATTTATTAAGAAAAAAAAAACAACAAACAAAATATTTTGTTTCTTTGATAATTATATTTCGTTTTTTACAATTCTTAGATGCTAATGTTATTGATGATAAACCACATTGGTATCGTTTACAAGCATTACGTTCACGTGAAGAAGCTACAAATCGTGGTTCTTCTCCACGTTTATTTCAAATGACATCAGTTGATTCAACAATATCATCAACGTCAATATCGAATAAAAATACTATCAATATGCAACCTTGTGTCAATCAACGTAAATAATCGAGAAGTGTTAATAATTATATTTTCTTTTTTTGTGCTATTTTTTTAATCCTTATTCATATATACTAATCTATTCAGATATGAACATATAAATGCATATCTACCTTTACTTAAAACTAACAAAAAAAAAAAAAAGAAAAAAAAAAACAGAACTCTTTTTGTTTTTATCTTTCACAAATGATAAATCAAAAGATAATTATATTCGTTTTATTTATTTGTTCTATTGTATTTGAATAGATATTCTTTTTAATATGAGCTTTGACATTTGACGATATGCTTTCATAAAAAAGATATTGTTAAACATCTATCTATCCGATACTTTTTAATAAATAACATTAAATGTGCTAATTTCTGTTTTGGTTTTTTTTTTTGTTGTTGTTGTATAATCAAAACTATTGTAATATATTCTAACAAAAGAAAGATGATTAATATTTTATCATTTCCATATTTAAATATTTCGTAGTGTTTATATGTACAAAAAGTTACGATTTTAATGTGAGAAAAGAAAATATTTTCTATTCGAATTATGTTGATATAATTGAACTATTGTTTAAATTTCTTTGTTGCTTTATCTTTGGTAAAAGTTTTAGTTTAATCGTTTGTACCATCTTCGAAAGTCACAAACCGTCAAAAAGAGGAGTTATCAGTAAAATATACTAACACATTTAAAAATCATAATTTAAAAATATGTTAAAAACTCTCAACACAATAAATTTTTTTTTCTTATTTCAGTTTTCAAACATATCACATCATATCTCTGATCGGAAACAAATATTAATTTTTTTTATTAAAATATAACAGAGTAAGAATGAATGATCATTAGAAAAGATTTTAAAGTGGTTCGTTTTATCGATGTCACTGTAGACAAAAGTAGATTTTGAGTGGTAGTAAGATTAATTGAAATTTCACTTGAATATATTTGAGTTTCCGAAAGAACACATAATGTCAAGTGGTGCACACTTCTTTCTTAGGAAAAATTTATTGAACCATAGATACATGAAAATCAGTTAGCTAAACAAGAAATATAGTCTAGTAAATGTACTGACGAGGGAAGATCCCCAACTGTCCAATCGCTTTTGAGTTCGGATCCTGTGCATAAGGTAAACCCCAGTGAAGTATGAAAAACTCCAAAAGGATAATGGCCCTTAGACCTTCTGTTCGCAGTTACAGGGATTTTGATGGAATTACAGCCTATGGCATGGTATTTACCAAAATATCGAATCACGATATTTCGGGTTGAGATTTTGCCCATAGACAGGTCTAGTTGTCAGTAGAATGCCCCGAAAATTTTAGCTCAAAAGAATGTTTCCTGCCCGAGATATTAAAATCTCATAAATCACTCATATTTCACGAAAGGTGCTAGAATTTTCTGTTTTTTTGGACTTTTATATCTTGAGAAGGAAACATTCTTTTGAGCTAAAATTTTCGGGGCATTCTACTCACAACTAGACCTGTCTATGAGCAAAATCTCAACCCGAAATATCGT